TGCCGGCCTGTACGGCCACCTCGTCGACGGGCAACGGCGGCTTCTTCGATCTGCGGCCAGACGCGGCGGTGCCGCTGCCGGAGAATGGGAAGACGTACAAGTCGGTCCTGTACAAGGACTACCACTCGCGGGGGTACGACTACGGCAAGAACTTTACGCTCAACATCTGCGGCGCCGTGGTTGATCCAGTGAGCGACGTTGTTGGGCTCAGCAAGAACCAGTGGGCCAATGTCAGCGCGTACTATACCACTCACAACAGCGTATACTCGATTGGGTTTGTCTTGGGCACTCTCTGTACTTTTTTCATCCGCTTGCTAACGGTCATTCTAGCTCCGTGTCGCTAGACTTGCACAGCCGGGGGAGAAAGCTGGTCCTGCAGTACACTGGCGGATCGCCGTGTGGGGAAAGCCGATCAAGTCCGGATAATGATTCCGACGACGACTACGATTATGACAAGCGGAGCTCGAAATTCGACGAGGGCCTCTCATCGTCCGGCCATGCTCATGCAGTCGAGACGATTAATCGAGACGAGAGCACGTCCAAGATCAGGCGCAAGTCCGCCACAATCTCTTTCCTGTGCGATCGCGACCCCGGAACGACGACCGCGGTCTCGTTTGTCGGCGTCGATCCCGACGAATGCGCGTACTTCTTCGAAGCCCGATCGGTCCACGCCTGCGCCGGTGCCGAGCCGCACAAGCCCGGCAGCGTGGGACCCGGCAGCGTGTTCGGGCTGATCCTCGTCATTGCCGTGCTCGTGTACATCCTGGGCGGCGTCTTCTACAACCGCACTGTCGCGCACGCGCGAGGATGGCGGCAGCTCCCCAACTACAGTCTGTGGGCCGGCATTGCGAGCTTCTTCAGCGTGCGTCCTTCCCGGCCCAAGGCGGGACTGCCTACTTTCCACTAATACGTAAAACCCTTTTGTGTAGGATCTCTTCGTCATCTTGCTGTCGTCGTGCGGGCGCCTTCTGCCGAGCAGGAGAGGGTATCAGCATCTCGGGTCTGGCGGCATCGGGCGAAACAGCGAGGCGGAAAACAGATTGATAGACCAGCTGGACGAGGAGTGGGACGACTAGAGATGAGCGATTGCGGGCACTCTTGTTCTTTGGTCTTTTTCTTCAACGACTTTTGCTCTGGCTGTTTAAGCCGGATGCTTTATTTGTGTGGGGGGTCGGTGTTCCTATTTGGATGTACATATTACTTGACTTTCCTTTTGTCTCGCTTCTACTTTGATTGCACGGCATTCGCGGCGTTTCTGTTGTTTTTCTGTTCTTGCTGCTGTTTTAGAGCAGGAAAAAGCGTGTCAGGGTTCGTTGATCGAATTCCCTGGCTTGTCCTCTTTCTATCTGGAGAAACTTTGAAGAATATGCGATTTCATGAATTTGGATGCCTGCTGTTATCTTTGAGGTATGAAATTGTCACTGGGAATGTGAGAAATGAGATGCTACTAGTGTTTTAAATAGAACATCCAAGCCGAGGCACTTTTTGTTTCTTCACGTCTCTTCCCACGAAGCTCCATCGCTACGACTGTTATCGGAGAACATTCGACGAGATTTATTAACCAGGGCCCTTTTCCCGCTTCACAAGACTGTGGATCTTGTTGTGAGAATTAGAGGATCAGGTACAGTTACTTCTAGGTACCTTATATCTAAACCATCTCCATAAACTAGAGTACCCGTATGAGAAAGCATTGGAAATTTGATCTGCCGTTGAAGTGGCCCTGGGCAAAGCGGTGTCCGAAAGTGCTGGCTGACGTTGGGCCAGTGGATCCCGGCAGCTTCTGCTGTAAATTTCGTGGTTGGTATGCGAGTTGCCGGCGGTTGGGTGGCGATGTGGGTGGGAAGAACGGTCATGTTGTGCAGAAGTATGAAAGGATGAAGTATTCCTGGGAGGCTTTGGATGTTCTTTGCTTGGTGGGGATGACGGCATTTGTGCTATTTGGTGATATGCGTTGTTTCGGCCCTTAGCAGGAGGTTGTGGGTTGATGATGTTGATGATGGGATATTCGGCCTTGTGTCCTTTAGCATCCCCTGGGATACTCCCAGTTTGGGTTGAGGTAGATCAGCGTAGACAACTCCAAGCTCTGGTTACTTCCACGTGGGTTTCATTCCGTCATTGCTCCTGATGCCTGGTCATGTCGAGACTAACAACACCAGGACATCCCGTGCAAACAAACAGGCGTCACCCTCTCTCACAACTTCACCGTCCCGCATCCGAGCTCCCGCATTGCCCTTCCCGCAAGGATATTTCATGCCCTGCGCAGCTGCAAATAGAAACAAGGCGTGACAAATCTGCGAATCATGCCATGCATTCTAACTAGATCTCTTTCAGCATTCAAAAGCTTCAAGAAGATACACATGTATACACGTATTCACCCTACCTTGAATGAATGGCTTCTCTCTTTCAAGGTGGACGAAAAACGGTAATGCCGCCGTCGCAAAGCCGGAGAGAGCGATCTGCTGTGTGCGATTCGGGACTTGTTACGGGCTGGGTGGGTAAGCGCTTTCTGCTTCATGCTGTACTTCTCTTTCGTCTTTGTCTTACCTTTGGTTTGGTCGACGTGGGACTACATGTGTTGTGTGACTTGAGGCCCAGCTCGATTACCCGGGAAAATAGGGCTTGTGTATACTATTGGTCTTTTCAGCTGATGGATGGAACGGGGCGGAGTTGCTGAGATTCAAAGCTCAGATATGGAGAAGAGATGATGGCAAGGGAAAGGAGGGCTAGGGGGTTGTGTTTGAGGAAGGGTTTGATGCACTGTTTCCTTGCACCCTCTTGCTGGGCCTGGCCAGGTCAGAGCTGAGCTCTAGGCTCAACGGAAGCGGGATGGCATGGGGATTCAAGATGGAATTGCTGATGGCTCCTATACGCAGATCATCTTAGACACGGTCTTGCTTAGAGTAATGGAACTGAGAATGGTAGCAAAAGTATGATCATCTCTTCTTGGACTCTTCATCCCACGTCTCATCATTCCCAACTGTAGGTAGCCTTGAACAGCAAACCGTCACACGGGTCTAGAAGAAAACCACCCCTTCCATGCATGAATACACATCGGGGCAGAGTACATGACACAAGAGCATACCGGCGTCATGCCTCCAGACCAGGAAACCAGCATATATCACGCCCACTCCAAGAGCACGCCCAGCACCTGATATCATTTCCCTGCTGCTGTATCCAGTCCCCTCCCTTCCCATGATATGCCAATGCAGCCTGCCGAAAAAAAGACCCCGGTCTGCTCCCGCTCGTTCAAACACTTCCGTCTAGACCCCATCAAGGGGTTCAGTGGCGTGGCTTTCGACTTCTTTGGCGGCCTACCCCGAGAATATATGGATGAGTGTGGAGAGAGAGGGTTGCAGAAGTGAAATCGGTGTGATCCGGGGCCCTGGTCGGCGGGAAGGAGCATCGACGGGAGCTATGCTTGAATCGGGGGAGGCAATCTTGATGTTGACAGGCTTGACGTTGCCGTGGCATTTCCGTAGCATGGGGAGGGCGGTCTGTGCAGGAAGCTGAGGTGTTCTATGGGTGGTTGGAAGGGGCGTTACATTAGAAGACGAGGAGGGGGAGACAAGTAAGAGGGAGAGACATGCCTTGCTTTTTGTGTACACATGTATGCATACGGCCGCTGTCATTTGCATACACGAAGATTCGTTGATGGCTTCTATGCATATTCTTTTGCCATTCCACGGCGTCGGTTCTGCCGCAGGCATGTCCAGCCCCCCCCACCTCCCCTTTCTGCTTCTCCGACTACGCCAGAAATTTGCTCCATACGGAGGCCCTGTTGTACGACAAAGCGATACAGATATGGAGCACGTAAAGGAGTCCATCTCTCGCAGCCGGTGGTGTGGGAAGTGGACATCATCTGCAACGTTCGGGACGTTCAAGGAACTCAGGGGGGGGGGGGGGCGGAGGGGTTGCTGAAGAAGAGTGTGTGGGGAGAGGGCATCTTCTTCGGGTGAATTGGACGAAGCTTTGGCATGCCGGATCCAGAATGACTTGCATCGACTTTAATCAAAAAAGGCTGATTATTGTCCGCGGCAACGGGAGACGCAGTGGCCACTCTGCTTTCTGCAGGAACAGATTGGGGATGATCCCGGGAAGCTGGGGAACGAGTGAAGGAGGGGGGGCTGATGGGAAGATGAAGTGTGCTACTATAATCTGCCATCTCGGGGCTGTGATTATATTGACTTCAGGATTCTATATGGGGAGGCGGATGTCAGATGGAGAAAATAATATTATGTGCGAGGTGGAAGCTTGATCAGGGCATCTGGCTTCTCGGATACTTCAGGCTTGCCAAGTGACGAGCAGTTCGGGGACTCTGTCACTGTCGTTGAGGTTCAGTCTGCCAGCTGTCAGGGCTTAGGCGAAGCACCACTCGTTTATTGTCGTTTCTTATTTCTGTTTGATTTCGTGCGGGATCTCAACTATTCGTCTCCCACCTTCTTTTTCCCTCTTCCACAAAGTTCTTAATTCGAGTTCTGAGATTCATCTGCGGATTCTTCGACAATCTTTCTTTCAAAGCGCTTCTGCTTTCGCCATCGTATTCGTCTTTGATTATTGACAGCTTCTATCCATTCTTTATTCTCTTCTTCTTTTCTAACAGAACGACTCTTGACGGTTACTTTCTCGTCTCCTGGAATTTCCCAAACCCCGTGTTCGCCTTAGAACTTTGTCATTTCTGGCATCACAAGGACTGCGTTATCGTCAACTACTCTTCAGTTCCGTGATCTTTAGAGTTCCATAATCATCGTCAGCCTCGATATCTCAACAGTATCCCAGCCACCAGCAGTATGTCCTAACCCGCTCACCTCCTGCCCCCAGCTCTCCTCCTCCGCCCCTCCACCGCTTATCTGAAGACGGGAATCTACATCATCCCATGCATTCCAGATCGATAGCTGACCATCTTCGCAGATATGGATAGCAGAGACCATCCGGGTAGCGGCGGTCAGTCGAGCTGGTTGGTGTTTTCTGGACGGGAACAGACACGCTGACTTTCCAAATCTGATGCAGATGCCCAGGAATACGGGAACGATGGATTCCCGAGCAGCCAAGCCGGGGAGAACCCTTCTGGAACAGGCGTCCAAGATACAGTTCAGCGTCATGCTCTTATATATGACCATGAGTTTGATCCGAATTGCCTTGACTGTCAACGACGGACCTTTGAGCTCCTTGGGTTTCCATCATACGCACAACAAGGAGCCGCTCCATCCCATTTTGCGAACCCTGGCCAGCAGTTTGCCGAATATCCCTCCATGACCATGGCAGAAGATACCATGTTTCAATCTTTGTCCGACTTCGAAGTATGTTCCGTCTTTCCTTTCTAACGTTGAGTCTACTTTTTCCTACCTGGGACATGCCGTACTGATCTTTGACGGCTGCAGGACGTTACTTTTTTCAATCAGCCTTACTTGTTACATCCGCAAGATGAAGAGCAACTCCAATTTGAGCAGCAGCACCAGCATCAGCAGCTGGATTTCTCTTCCGCCGTTATCCCCCCTGAGTTTGCGGCGCCTTTTGATGCCCAGTATCACCAACAAGACGAAGCAGTCGAGCCTCCGCGCTTCCACTACGATCCTCCTTCCGCCGAGTCCTCTGAGCTGTCGGGCTTTAACTTCAACACGCTGCCCTATCGTCCCGCCCAGCAGTCCATCGCAGGCGACACCTGGATGCCGCGCCATGATAGTATGCCCTTTACCTCTGCGACACCCGAGACCATTAAGTATGAGCTTGACGCCGCCGCCGGCATCCCAATCATCTTGACCCAGCCCACGGATAGCATGACAACAGCCCCTCAGACTCAAGTCCCCTCCATGCTGGAGCCCTCTGCGGCTAGAAGCTTGGCTCCTCCTTCACGGACCTCCTCCCATGCTTCCCCTCGTGCACCACCACGCAGACTGCTGCCGGCGGTCAGTTCGCGCCGCCCGGTGCACAGACAGCCCGAAGTTCGTGCGCGGCGGTCTCCTGTGATTCAGATGTCCCCCCAAGCAGCAGCTGAAAGGGCTGCCAAGGACAGGTTCCTCATACAGTCTCGTCGCGAGGGAATCTCGTACAAGGACATTAAGCGCCTTGGAAACTTTACGGAAGCAGAGTCGACCCTCCGAGGACGGCACCGAACTCTGACCAAAGCGAAGAAGGACAGGCAGCGGGACCCAAAGTGGACAGATCTGGATGTAAGTTTTTGTTCGTCAGCTGGGAGTCCTAACTTGGGATATAGTTCTCCGTCGAATATCATGTTTCTAATAAATGTTCTTTCAGGACCATCTGCTGAAAGAAGCAGTGCGGCTGCTGGCTCACGGTCAACATCCGGATAGAGCCAAACTGTCTTGGATGGCTGTATCCGTGTACATCAAGGAGCACGGTGGGTATGAATTCGGGTATTCTACCTGCCACAAGAGGTGGGTGCGCCTTGAGTCCACCGGACAATTGGGCGACACCAGCTATGACGATAGCTGGGAGGACGACGAAGACGATGACGAGGACGACGAAGAGGAAGAGAGCGAGGAGGAAAACGACCATACTGATGAAGGGTACGGCGAGAGTCAAGTTGACGAGCTTGAGCAAGACCATGGCTCGGATGAAGTGGATGAGGACGACGACGAGGACGACGACGACGTGTTTGAGGAATGAGGACGAACATCCCACGATGATCCTTGGGGTTTCTTTTGTTGCATTCCTTTTCAATTTCCCTCTTCTTTTTCGCACGTTGAGGTTATTCTCTTTTGTTTTGCGGCTTTTCACTTTTCGTTCATTGAACAAGACGAGAACCAACAGAGGTCTCGCACGTACAACCGGGAGTCAGGGGGGGGCAAAGGGACATGGGAGAGCTTATTTTCTTTCTTGTTCCTTTTCGATTCCATCTTGTCGTTCCGTTTTAAAATTCCATATTTGCTTTCCGTCTTTCCCCTTCTGCAAGGATCTCGCGTCCGCAATTTGCCAGCGGACGCAGTGGTAACAAAAATTGCCACCGATACACATCGACGGGAAAAGCATCAAATCGGATTAGGACCGCTCAGGGGCGGCGGTACACATCATTCACGCGCAGTTTTTTTTTTTTTTTTTTTTTTTTCTTCATGTTAGAGTACATATTTTCTTCTTACTACATCTACCCTCTAATACAATTGCTCGTCCTAAAGTCATTCGATCTATTTGCCAACTAAAGCTTGGTCTGCTCATCCTTGACCTCGTCCCGCGGAACGCCGATGCTCTTCAGCACAGCCAGCAGTTGACCGGGACTCTTCTTCAAGGCTTCCCACTCCGCTTCGCTCTTCACCAAGGCCGTCCCCGCCAGCACCGTACCATTCAGAGCAAGGAATCCGATTCGGCCAGACGTTTCGCCGTCTTGAACCTCACAGCCGTCGCTTAGCCGGGGGCAAATCACCAGCCTATCCCTCGTCATGGCCATGTTGTAGCTAATCCTCGCTTCCCCGGTAGAAGTGATCCCCTCGTCATCATCCGTTGGAGCCTCTGTGGTGCTCCCCGCATGCGTGTTGTGCTGAGAAACTGCCTGGCACGCCTTTCTGTAGAGGCGGAGATATGCGGCGTGGAGATCCGCCGGCGAGGTCTCTGTGCCGATGGGTTCTGAAAAGGTGACAAAGGGCGTCTGTTCGAGGAGATGGGCTTGTTGGGCGAGGACGTCCCATGAAGAGCCGTTTCTTTCTTCCAGACCGTCTTTCATGCGGGCTATGGGGAGGAGTTGGATGTGTCTGTGGGGTTGACTGGCGCCGGAATGGTCTCCCGCGTTGAAGAAGGCAAACAAGCCATCCTCGGGCTGCGGCTTTCCTTTCTGCTGTAAAGATGAAGAGTCGTCGCCGTCGTTGTTGGCTGCCGTCTTCCTCGCCTGTTCATACGCATCGATGCAGGCGAGCGTGGCTTGCAAATCAGATTCCTCCAGCAGATGCGTCTGCCACTTGAACTCCTTCGTCGCAAGGATGAAATGCTCCGGCACGACGGCAAACTTGTTCAGCACGAGGTAATGATGCGGGCCCAGGTCCGCGACGAAGAGCGCGGCGGGGGGGTTGGCGAAGGGGTCAAAGGGCTTGCGCGGGTGGGCGGGATCCGGGGGCGGGCCTTGGGGTTTGTTGGCGAGGGCGGGGGAGAAGCGGAGTTGGAACTTTGGTAGGCGTTAATTTGAGTATTTAGATACGTAAGGGATAGTAGGGAGGATGTTGATGTTTTACTCAAGAGTGAGAGGGCCAGGGTGGGGGGCTTACGGGGATGGAGTTGATGTGGAGGATGGTGACCTGGGTTGGGAAATAGTGAAGCTCGTTGGCGGCGAGGGCTCTGCTAAAGGTCGTTTTGACGAGGTCGTGGAGGTTGGAGGGGGCTTTTAAGAGCGACATGTTGAGTTGTGAAGTGAGTTGCGATAATATGAGAAGCAATGCAATGTGATGCGTGTGTAAGAGGATCATGTGTGTAAGAGGAGGGAATCAGACGGCCTCTACGGAGTATGTGATCGATGATGACAAGTTCGTCCCCAAAGAAGTGGTCCGTGCGCCAGAGCTTTGGAGATGCCCCTCCATAGCGAATCTCACGATATCGAGCATCACACGCAGGCTTTGGAACAGATTCAACGAGGGCTATTATTCTGCTTCAGCTGGTGCGGGGCTGCATAAGGAGATGGATGGGTATCAATAACAATTCAGTATGACTATGCCATCTTCCAACTCGGAAGCTATTCATGATTCCCGGTTTCGCTCATACGGATACACATTAAGTAGGTGGTAGGAGTAAAGTAACCGATGCTTCATCCATCTATATCCCCGGGAGCCCAATCACTCCCCGCACAGCCGGTACAAACCTGGGCACATAATAGACCGTGTATATAGCAATAATGGCGGCCAAAAGTCCCGTAAACTGCGTGATGACCGTCAGCTTCCTTGTCCGATCTTGTACTAACATGTAAACATACCTTTTCGAACCACGTGTGAAAGTATATGGCTGTCATCAACAGCATCCACAGACTCAATGCGATGAAGCCAATGGCCGTCTTTCCCCCAATGTTAAACGCAGGCTCCCCTGCGCCATGTCCAACGGCCGTCTCCGACTCGACGCTGGCGTTCTTGACCGCTCCGTCGGACATGACGATGCTTCTCTCTTCGCCCAGCCATCCGCTGAACCTCAAGGCCGGCCAGCCAACCTCCTGCATCAAGAAGGCAGTGCCCAGCACCAGCAGGAACACGTGTCCCGAGATGTCGTGGCCGCCCTTCCACTTGCCCCCAGCCGCTTTGCAGGCCACGGCCGTCAGCATCTCCTTGACAGTCCCCGCCCCCACGCTAACCTCTCGCTGGGCGAGCTCGCATTTGCCGCCGGTCCACCGGAAGCTGCGATCGATGATGGGCGGGCCGAAGAACCACTGCGTGACGAAGAACCACCAGCCCGTGACGGCCGCCCACCGGACCCCGGCGCGGATCCGCCTCGCCAGGACGACCGCGGGCGGCGCCTTGCCGGTGGGCTGCATGAGCAGGGAGAAGACGAAGGCGAAGGTGATCCATCCCCAGCCGCGCTTGACGAAGATGACGTTGAAGATGTTGTTCTTGCGGGCGAAGTAGCCCGGGGCGATGCTGGGGTCTTGGTGGTGCGACTGCGAGACGTGGTCGTATGCGGAGGCGCGGACGTCGGGCGAGATGAGGGAGAAGATTGTGCCGAAGACGAGGATGGCGGGGAAGATGCCGAGGGCGATGCGCTCGAGGGGCGTGGGGAGATAGGGCGGATGTCGTTTTACGGCTTGTGTCTGCTCGGGGGCTGGTGAGGCGGCCATTTCGCTGGAGTTGGGCTCGAGGGAGAGGTCTAGTCTGTGGCGTCGGGATGCCATTTGGTGGCTGAAAGGAGAGAAGCAGAGGAGAAGAGGAAGTTTGGAAGCTCAGAAGAGGACGAGTAGCAGCTTGACGCGAACATGGAGATTGTTGGGAGAGTTGTAGAGGACAGAATGCGACGGGTTTTGGGACCAGTTACCGTGGCTGCAAGGCTGAGGTTTGGTAGGCGCGGGTTGATGACGTCGACCGAGGCCGCTAGAAGCTCTGGAACGGGAACGATTCAGGGCAGCGGCTTGTGGGGGGGATGTCAACGTTATGGCACGCCCACGTCTGGATGAGATCAATGGTTTCCATCCAAGGTAATGTGAAGCTGCATAAGGTTTTCTTTTCAATTGTTGTTTATCTTTGGCTTGTATCGGGATTTGCTGATGTCTCGAGGGTAGAACACAGGGTGCTGTCATTCTCTTGATGCGTAAGGTACATAGTCCGTAGCCTCCTAGAGAAAAGCATGTGATGTCGTCCATGCAAGATGGAGTACTAGGTAGCCTGAGTAACAGTGACAACTTGGCAAGTATCTGCCCAGATCCGATGCATTTAGTAACTGCAGATGATCTCCTGTTTATTCTTCTTCTTCTACTTTGCTCTCTTATCGAATGAATCTGCACTCTGATGCCGAGTTCAATCTCAAACCAACCGCAGACTCTTGCAGTCCTCCAGGGTAGCATGAACCCGTCCAGCAGGATTGGTACTACTAGTAGTCGTCGATGCCCCACCCTTATCGCCATGCAGGAAATTCTCTGATCAAGTCGCATCTTGAAATTTCTCTTCCCTCTGGAACCGCTTCACCCCGAACCGACGCGCCTCTCAACATCCTCAATGCAAACATGGCGGCCGGTGACGAGGCTCCTGTCGCTGGTGCGCCCTCGAGCGAGCGCAACGAGGCCAGGCCCCAGGCTGCCGCTGCCGCTGCAGACACCGAAACAACAGGCACAGGCGACCAGAAGCCTGGCAACAACAGCCGCGGCAAGGGAAAGAAGGGCGACAGAGGCCGAGGAGAATGGAGGTGCGTCCAGGTCCCCAATTGCCCTGCTCATGATACGGTGGACTGGTCACAAGTACCAACGGCGCTGATTCTCAAGACTGTAGCCGCACCAAAGTAGACAAGCGAAAGCGCCACGACGAGTATCGCGAGTTCAAGCGCCGCAAGATCAGCGACATCGACAACCCCAAGGCGAACCCCTTCTCCAAGGAGGAGATCGAGGCCGAGGGCCGCCGCCCGAAGCGCAAGGTGGCCGTCATGATTGGCTATGCGGGCACCGGCTACAAGGGCATGCAGCTCAACGGCGAGGAGGAGACGATTGAGCGCGATCTGTTCCGGGCCTTCATCAAGGCCGGCGCCATCTCCAAGGCCAATGCCGACGACCCTCGCAAGTCGAGCCTGGCGCGCTGCGCTCGCACGGACAAGGGCGTGCATGCGGCGGGCAACGTCATCAGCCTGAAGCTGATCATCGAAGACGAGGACATTGTCGACAAGATCAACGAGGCCCTGCCGGCGCAGATCCGGGTCTGGGGCATCCAGCGGACCAACAACAGCTTCAACTGCTACCAGTACTGCGATTCGCGGTGGTACGAGTATCTCATGCCCAGCTACTGCCTTCTCCCGCCGCACCCGCAGAGCTTCCTGGGGAAGAAGCTAGTCGAGATCAACAAGGAGTACGGCGCCGAGGAGGAGACGAACGCGCGACTGGCCGACGTTAAGGATTTCTGGACGGAAGTCGAAGAGAAGCAGATCAAGCCCATCCTGGCCCGTCTGGATCCAGAGACCAGAGCAGCCGTTCTGGAGAGGCTGCATTCCGACGAGGCGTCAGAAGAAACGGGCGAGGCGAAAAAGGCCGACAACGAACAAGAACAAGCCGCAGAGCCAGTCGCTGCTGAGCCGGAGACGGCCAAAGAGGACGACGACTATGTCATGGTTGACAAGGAGGAGCCGTCTGCGGAAAACGCCGAGCCGGCTGCTGCTGATGATGCCGCAGCAGCTCAGAAGCCCACCGTCGTGCTGGAGACGGTCCAGCCCAAGCGCCGCGAGCTGGGCCCGGTGGACTTTGCCCTGCGCGACATCAAGGCGGCGTACATTGGCGCCAAGCGCGCGTACCGCGTGTCGCCCGCGCGCATCCAGAGGCTGCAGGAGGCCCTCAACAAGTACGAGGGCACCAACAACTTCCACAACTACACGGTGCAGAAGTCGCACGGCGACCCGTCGTCGAAGCGGCACATCCGGTCCTTTGTGGTGAACCCCAAGCCCATCATCATCGGCGACACGGAGTGGCTCTCGCTCAAGGTGCACGGGCAGAGCTTCATGATGCACCAGATCCGCAAGATGGTCGGGCTGGTGACGCTCATGGTGCGGTGCGGCACGACGCTGGACCGCATCACGGAGAGCTACGGGCCCAAGAAGATGGCGATTCCCAAGATGCCCGGCCTGGGCCTGCTGCTGGAGCGGCCCGTGTTCGAAAACTACAACAAGAGGGCCAAGGAGACGCTCGGGCGGGAGGAGATTGACTTTGACAAGTACAATGACAAGATTGAGGCGTTTAAGCAGGAGCAGATTTACTCGCGCATCTTTGGTGTGGAGGAAAAGGACAACTCGTGAGTATTCATGGAACACTTTCTGACGTAGGTATGGAAAAGGACACAACTGACATGGGTTTCACAGATTCCACACCTTCTTCACGCAGATTGACCAGTTCAGGTCGAACCACTTCCTGTGGCTGACGGCCGGCGGCATGAAGGTCGCGACGATTGAGAAGGCGAATGGAAAGCTGCAGGACGTGGATAAGCAGCTGGGCGACGAGGATGAGGAGGACCCCGAAGGCGGAGAGGGCTAAGGGGATGTAGCTACAGAAGCTGTGTTTGTAGACAATAGTGCGATTCAATTGTCACATCTGGGAGTCATATCTGGCGTTTCAATCAATGGATATCCTTTCTACCTTTGTGTCTCCCAGTCAAACTCATGGTGTCCTTGACCTCTAACCCATGAACCAATTGCCCCCAAGTGCACAACTCCCGACGCCCATAGAAAAGAAAACAAAAAGCCCCATCCAATATCACCGTCCAGATCCAGCTCCAGCCCCAGGTCCGGCAGACGCAACAGCCGCCGCCGCCGCCGCAATCGGGCTCTCCATCTCCTCCCTAACCAGCGGCTGCCAGCTCGCGCCGTTGCTTTCCGCAAGCGCCTTCATTTTGGACGCCTCCATGGCGTTGAGCAGATCGGCGACGCGGTGGACGTGCCGGTCGAGCTGGTCCTGCTTGAGCTTGCGGTCGTCGTCCTCGATGCCGAGGGGCCCGAAGACCCAGAGCTCCTTGATTTTGCGGGAGAGGGTTAGGAATTCTTTGATGGAGGTGTACTTTTTTTTTTCCTACCTTGTCAGTTCTTTTCATTTTCTCTTTCTTGTCTTGTTTTACTTTTGATTTTGGGGTTTTGGATGGGGTCGAGGGTTAGGAAGATGAGATGTTGGGGGGTGGCTGCATACCAGCCCGTCGAATTCCATCTTGATGGATATGCCGGTGACGGCCATGGCTTCGGGGTTTGCGTTGTTGCGGTCTTGTTCTGCTTGGACGGTGGCGAGCATCATGAGGGTGCGGTAGCGGGTGAGGATGTCGGCGACGAGGCGGTTGTGGTTGTCTGCATGTGAGTGTGAGACTTTGCGTATTCTATGTGGTTTGGTTGTATGAGGAGGGATGTGTGAGGAGGGCATGGTGATAGGGGTCGGGTTAAAGTATACAACTTGGCCCGCTGGATGTCGCCATGATGGGGGGAAACAATGCTTGCTGAGACGGCGGGGATAGATTTCATGATGCAGCGGACGAAAGCAATCGTGTGATGAGGGTTCACTGCAGTGGAAAAGGCTTACCCATCAAATTGGACGAGGCTGGCTGTGAGCGGTCCATTTCCGCGTTTGTGACTGGTTGAAACTGGGGTGGCTGCGCTTTAAGAGGCGGTTTGATGCTGTTGAGCCTTCTCTCGAGAATGGAAAGAGTGAGTGATGAGTAATGATGCAGTTCCCGTTCGGGCTTGGGCTTGTTGCGGGTTTTGGATGCTTGGATGGATGGAGGTTGTTTGTCGAGATGCAAGACGGGACGTTCATGGAGATGTGGGCTGAGGCTAGAGGATGAGGGTTGGTGGGGCTGGCGGCTAATGAGATGGATGTGATGGCTAAGGTACATGTACTGGGACGTGTCACTGAAGGACGGGCATTGACTGTCGACGGTGCTGCACGTCAGTTACCAAGTATCTGTACAATAACAAAGCATTAAAAATATGGAGTGACAACTACGAGAAATAAGGGAACAGGAGGAGACAGATACAACAGAAGAATGAGAGGAAAGCACTGAAGCAGAAGACAAAGAACATGACTGGAGGTTAGCCTACCTTAGGGGTCAACTGACGATCGGGCAACCAAGAGCGCTTAGCAACCCACTCACAACCTCGCCCAAAAACCCATCAGTTTCCCAAACCGAGTGAGCCTTGCCGCAAGCACCACTCGCAGCTGCTTCTAGTGGAGTGGGTGAGAACATGAATCCTGATACTACCAGGTAGCCCTGTGGCAGAGCCTCTTTGTCGATTTGTTGCTTGTCTGACGGGATCAAAGTAGACCTTTCAAAACCTCATCAGCCCCCCCCTGCAGCCGTAGCGTTCCTTGGCGCCGTTTGGCGGGCTGTACTGTACCTTGTATTCCCTGCTGTAGGATTCTTGCGATACTTACCTTGGGTCTGCTTTTTTTTTTTTTTTTGGCGAGGAATCTCTGTTGGTTGGGGCTCATACATTGAAAGAGAGGTGTGGCGGTGTCCGCTTTGTGTGGAAGACTATTGCTTGAATAGCCGCCGTGTGTGGAACCATTTGAAAGAGCTGAGAACAGACAGACAAAGACGGAGAGATACAAGACAAGATGCCAGGAAAGAGAACCAAAGTCAACGAGAAAAGAAGATTGAAATTAAGATCCTCAGTAAGCACAAGATGATTCGATCCGACCAACAAGCAACCCGCAATCCTTGATTCCACTCCAGAAAAACCAGATCCTTCCGCAACTCCCTGCTCAACCTCTCCTCCATACAACGGACAACCCAACCTCCCCCCAGACCAAAAGACAAGGCACATGTAAACCGTGCCGCCATCTCCACCTCCTCTGCCCATCCCATTGGCCCGCTCGCCAAAGCTGAAGACCCCATCCCGAACATGGAGGCCGATCCTTCGCGTGGGAACAAAGATGTAAGAGGACCAAAAAACGCCCCAGCCGGGGGCTCTTTCTGAGTGGCTGGCCTATCACTCATTCTGCATGCTGATGGTCGTTCAAAGGGAGGGGGGTGACGAGGCAGGGAAATTGGGGACATGAGTTGGACATGTGCTACATGAGCCGTAGGGCTAGCGGTTGGGATGTACCGATGGCAGGAGGATGGGTGTTGATGGGGGTGCTGTGTGGTGTTGAGGGTACATGTAAGTTGGTAGCGTTGATGGGATGGGGATGGAAGAGGCACAAAAATCTGGTCCTTGTCTGGCGTTGCATCTGTGAGAGCTTGCCTTTTTCTTTTCTTCTGCTTCTTCTTTTCATTCTCGTCATCCTCTTCCAGTTGTTCTTCTTCCTTTCTTCTTCAGCCGCTTGTGATCTATGCGCGTCGTTGGTCGAGTTCAACGTTCTGCTCGAAAGCTTTCATCCAACGACAACCACATCGACATCTCCTCAGCAATAGATGGCCCTCTGACGCGTTGAAGCTCCTGTACTGCTTCTTCCTTGCCCATATCCTCACCAACGCTCCTCTTCCCATACAAACTCAACCCTCCCAATGGCCGCCATAGACTCAACCGCCACCCAGGCAACCACCAAGCCGGCCGTCCCCGTCGTCACCTCGTTCCCCTTCAACCCCCTCACAACAACCTTCACCCGCCCCTCGGACTGTGACGGCATCTTCGCGTCCTCCTTCCTCTCCGGCATCGACTTCTCCACCTCGTGCGTCCCCAAGGGCTTCCACACCGACGAGACGTCCTACTTCTCCCCGGCCTGGCCTGCCCCAGGGGCTACTACTCCGCCTGCCACGACAACGCCGGCGCCAGGACCATCACGACGGTGACGTGCTGCCCGACGTACGGCACCGACGTGTCGCTCTCGTGCGTCACGGCGAGCACGCTGTTCAGCGTCTGGTCGACGCTGTACTGCACGTGGATTGCGCCGGACGGGGACGGCACGATTCTGCCCGTGACGGTGAGCAATGGCGGGACGACGAGCACGGTGGTGGGCGCGTTCCAGTCGCCGGGGGGGCTGAATGCGTTTGGCATCCGGATGGTGTATCAGAAGACGGACCTGGAGACGACGACCATGGCGACGACGACGACGACGAGGACGTCGCAGACGAGGAGCAAGTCCACGACGGCGACGGAAACGGGTCGGCCAAAGGAGACGGGCGAGGCATCGTCTGGTCTGTCGTCGGGGGCGAAAGCCGCGATCGGGGCCGGGGTCGCCGTGCCGATTGTCGTCGTCGTCGGGCTGGCTCTCGGGCTGTTCTTCTGGTGGTGGAGGAGGCGGAAGCAGTACGTGCGCGCGGGCCAGACGACGCCGCCGACGGAGCTGCACGGGGAGTCGCCGCCGAGCGAGCTGTCGAACGAGGCCGGGATGGTGAGCAAGCCTCTCTATGTGGCCGAGGTGCCGGCGCACGAGCCTCCTGCGGCAGAACTGCCGGCGCCGTTGAGGTGAAGGCTGGATGGGGGTTGGAGGAGTGATTTGCTTCGAAGTGTTGTGGGAAGAGATATCTACAGGAGTCATGGACATGAATGTAAAATCGAGAAGAAGCAGGGACCCTAATTCTTGGTGTAAGCGTTTTAGCGATATAGAATGAATTGGCTTTACTCACTTCACTTGACGGACAGTGACAGCATCAGACTCTCCACGCTCTTACATCCAGAGAGGAAGGACAGGATTCTTGTTTGCAGCCATGGTATCGTGATGTGATTGCCTTGGGCTTGAGGGAGCCCCAGAAGAGGTGGCTTGAGGCATTCAATGAAGATGACGGGGATCATTCGACTTTCTCTTTGCTGGCTTGAGCTTTGGCATGAGATGGACAATTTGGCGGAGGAGATCTTGGTGAGTTTTGAAGGCATTGGATTTGTGAGATGCTGGATGACTGCTGACTTGAAAAATGATATTATTGCTTCTGCCATTAACAAGCTTCTCATATACTTCATGCTCATTATTATTGCTTCTTATCAAAGACCCATCGACATAAAATTATAAACAACTCCCCTCTTTACACGTCCATCCCTCTAATCGTTATTCACCAAGACGTACCGATACTTTGCCTTGCCCGCATCCATATCAACAATGGCCCGGTTCGCCTCGCTCATCGGCCACTGCTCCACCCACGGCTTGATCCCCTTGTCCGCCGCAAGCTGCAGCATCTCGCGGATCTCATGCGGCGACCCCATGAAGCTGCCCGTCAAGCTCCGGCGGCCCGAGCAGATGGTGGCGGCCCCAATCTTGAACTGGCCGTCGTCGGGCAGGCCCAGCTGGACGAAGACGCCGTCGCGCTTCAGCAGGCCAATGTACTCCGTCAGCGGCATGTTGGAGCTCGAGATGGAGCAGATGATGAGGTCGAGCGAGCGGGCGTGCCTCTTGGCCCAGTCCTCGTCCTCGGCCGTGGCGATGTAGTCGTCCGCGCCCAGGGCCAGGGCGTCGTCGCGCTTGTTGGCGCGGCGCGAGACGGCCACGATGCGCTCCGCGCCCATGGCCTTTGCAAAGAGAATGCCAAAGTGGCCCAGGCCGCCGACGCCCAGCACGCCCACGGACATGCCCCTGAGCCTCTGGTCTAGCGGGCCCTCGCCCCTGTTCCCAAAGTGCGCCAGCGGCGAGAACACCGTCACGCCCGCGCACATCATCGGCGCCGCGTGCTCGCTCGGCAGGCCGTCGGGGATCTTGAAGGCGAACTTGGCCGGGCAGCGGTGGAAGCGCGCGTAGCCGCCCATGCTCTTGCCGCCGGCCCTGGTGAGGTACTGCGCGCCGTACGTGGTCACCATGCGCGGGCAGTAGACCTCGTTGCCCGAGGCGCAGGCCTCGCAGTCGGAGTGGTCCTCGACCGTCTCCGGGGGCTTGCGGCACTGGCACGAGTCGTTCTGCGCGCCGACGCCGACGCGGTCGCCGACCTTGATGCCCGTCTGCTGGGCGGCGACGGAGCCCACGCGGACGGCGGTGCCGACGATTTCGTGGCCGACGACGACGGGGTATGCGGTTGGGCCCTGGCGATTTAATGGCGTGTAAGTGAGATGTGCTTTTCATCGACAACGGTCCAACTACTAGTTGGGGGGGGGGGGGGGGGGGGACTGTGCTTACCCAGCCGGATCGAAGCTTGTGCAGGTCCGTGCCGCAGATGCCGCAGTGTGAGATTTTAATGTCAATGTCTGTCTCCTCCCACGGCTTCACGTCGTAGCTCTGCCAGACCATCTTGCCCTCGGCCGAGTCCTTGTCCAGGGCGACCCAGCCCTCGAACTTGGGTTCTTCGGAAGAAGCCATTGAGTTGATGTGAACTTTTTGAGTCTTGGAAGCTTTCAAACGCCGTCAATTGGAAAAGAGTAAAGGACTGAGTTTCACTGGAAAGGAGTCTGAGAACAGAAGTGGTAGTTTCACGGAGACTCAATCGATAGTTTGTGGTTAGAATCAAGCCATGTTTTACAGCTTGCGCCCTTGTTATATATGTTTTCCATTGTCAACTTGAAGATGGGGCCGCCCTTCATTACATCATAAACTCGAAAGAAAGAAAAAAGGCTTCTAGAGACTGGACGGCCTCTTCGGGGTTCCATGACTCCATAAAACAGTCCACTTTCGCCTTTGCCGCGAGCCGAGGCCGTGGTGCCGCGGCAAGGGCGCCCCATTCATCGGCGTTTAAGAGTCAATACCTTTTCCATCCTTCGGACCTTAACACTGCGATGAATAGCTTATGGGTGTGTTGCCTAAGGGCATCGGGGTTTCCGTTTGGTTTTGGTCTGATGTAGTGTCAATGTATGAGGGGTTTCGGCAGTTCTGTTTGCTGACAAAATTGGGTTGGACGGGCGGTTCTCGGCTTATGTGTATGAGTTGAGATTAGGATCTTACTAGATAGTACTTGTTGGTTTCCTTGGGCTTAAGTCCGATGGGGCGTATGGAGTTGCGTAGGTAAGCTGCATTAATAATGCGTCTCTTTTGGGGTTGTCCTTGAGTTTCTTTGGCAATTGATGAAGGGACTTGCTATCAAGCCTCCATGGTCTCCCTATCAAGCCTCCATGGTTTGTGGCTTGTGTGGCTGGAAGTCCGATTACGGCGCCGCCATATAAATTGGCTGCAACAACGATCACGTATACAATGCGAATGCAATTGTAGCTTGAAGCTCGCAATACTGCAAAATCAGCCGGTCCTTGGTGTTGCTATTTACTGCATCTTAGTGCCTGGCTTATATACACTATAACAGGTTGCTGAGGCTGCGGCTATGATGCATGTGTATAGTCACGTGTGACATCTATAGTCATGTGTAATATCACGTGACTAGATTAGTTAGGACTGTGGCCTTGACTGTGTATTCCGCTTGTTGTTTCTCTTTGGCGGCGGCAAGCTTTGCGGTGTAATATAACAGCGCTATAGTTTAACAGCCATCACGGCTGATGCTGTCGGCCGCGGCAGCGGCTGCTGCTTTCTGACTGAGGCTGTTGACTGATGCTGTGGTTATTTGTAGATGAAGAACTGATGAAGATGGTGTGTCTTGGACTTTGTGTGTAAACTGCAAGCAATAGCCGGCATCGGCCATTGTCGTCAGTTAGTGCGAAAACCCAGCCACACCATGGAGGCTTGATAGGGAGACCATGGAGGCTTGATAGCAGGTCCCTTGATGAATGGCACGATCGGGAGTTCGGGATCTTGCGGTGGGAAAGATAATACCGCCGAAAGACAAGACCGCCGAGAGATAACACCGCTGGTTCTGCCAACTCGTGCCGTTTCGTCGTGTGTGATAGATAAGCGGCGCTGTTTTGAAGACCATGACTCTTGAGTCTCCACTGTTGCCGTCTTCCAACTGTCTATCCTGTGGAGTAGATCCAGCCATACATGACGTTTGTATAGGTAAGTCGGGCGAAAGCTTGCATTTTCTTTTTTCTGATCTGTATGTTTAGTGATCAGAGGCAATTAACAACATCGAGTCAACATCTCGCGGTCTAGCTGCAACGAACATTGCCGCGGGTTTCGCCCTGCGATTGCTGGTTGTGTCAGGGATCTCTAACACAGTCTCTTATGCACAGAGATCGCGATAACACCAGCATAACAGTATTCACAAACTCAAGTCCATCAAAATAGAAGATGTCCAATTGGAAAATGATGAAATCTCTTGAGAATATCCTTCATCTCGATAGCAGAACGAACCTCTCTAATGACTCCAAGATGCTGTTTATGGGCTTTGCTTCTCCATACATATCGATTCGGCACATATACAACCGACTTAGGTGACGGCGGCACCTACGGAGTTGCGCCTTCACCCCAACTCTCCAGTCAAGCCAGATGGTTTTCGCGAGACATGGGAATTCTCTACGGCTGATTGACATTTGTGAGATGACGTGGGTAGATGCCGCTCCTTTTTCACTGTCGAGTTACAGGGTGACCCCATTCCGGTCCGACCACATCAGTTCGTGTGCTTCATGAGCATATAACAGGTCCCGCCTCCCCCATCTCCTACAGCTGGCCTAGGACCTTCACCCATCATCAACAGACATACATAATCACATCTCTTCTTTTTCACAGAAAGTTGTATTGCAAAACTCAACAAAGTCAAGCACGCAACCAGCCCGCTCGAATGCCCCGAATATGTGATCATGGACACATGGCAGTTCTTGTCAAATATTCCAAGCTTTGATGCTTAGGGGAGACGCACCCGCGCAGTCAGCCAAGTTGATACATTATCGTCCGCTGTTTTCTTCCTAAAGCTATGGTGCAGTTGAGAAAGATGTGGCAAAGAGGTCACGCGGCTGGCCTATACTCGAACGATTCAACAAAGACATGGACAAAGGATCCCCCGGTGTTGCTGTAGGACATGATCCAGCAACTGCCCGGAATTACTCAGTGGTCTGCGACGCCAGCGGACAGCACTACTAGTCAACGACGTACTCAAGCTGGTGCAGGAAAGAAAAAATTTAAGGGACATGCCAGGACGCACGTGGCGGAAATCGCGTACGGCATTAGACAATAGGTCAGATAGATAGATGAGCAAGCACCGGCAGTAGGCAGAGGCCAAAAGCCTTTCCAGCGGACCCGGGCGATGATATCTCGGGGGGTTCAAGCACGGACTTGACGCATAGAAGGAGAGAAAGAGGAATCATAAGCGCAAGCGCGCGAACCGAGACTCAGACTCCCCAGACGGATAGAGCCGACAGTGTGGCTTCGCAAGAAAACTTAATAGCAAGCCAAAGCAGGACGGATGGCAAAGCAAGACTGGAAGGGATCTGATGGCCACCTCTGCATGCAATTGTGACGAGTTTAGAAGGCAGACGAGTTGTATGTCAATGATTCGCAACAACTTAATCAACCTTCAATTGTCGCCAACTCATCTCATTACTGTAAGAAAGCTAAACAACAACAATCAGTCCGTTCGGCCAGGCTGGTGTATCAAATAATATATCAGAACCTGAATTGTCAGATGCTCATCATAGTGCAACATACCTTAAGCAGGTAAGAAATAAGTGGGAAATATACGTGGTGCGAATTATTGAAAGACAGCCCAGATCCTGTTAGACAACTGTCCGGGACGTTACCAGGCAACTTGAGCCAAACCAGGTTGAGAAGCCAATCAAGGCAATGGACGGCCTTGTCCGGATCAAGGCACATGATGCTCATCTATGGATCCCGTTCTTTGATTCTCTTGAGCAAGCTTAACCGAAAGACTTGGGTAGCTATGCTGGTCCTTCATCTCGTGTGACGCGACGAAAATAATGGTCTGTTAAGGAACAGCGTCGGTCTTACTCGCATTCGACGGCGGACAGTCCGTGATTGATGCCGCCAGAGTCTTCCCAACTCGGTTGCAAATAGTTGTCTATCTTTTCCTTGCCCAATGACAGTTTGGGATAGGACTGCGAGATAGCAATCTGCACTGTTCATCATGAGCCGAGTCGCGGCGGTCAGCATACTGACAGCATGATCGTGTGCCCATGATTCAGCCCAGCTGTGAAGAATGTATGGGTTACATTTCGTGATCTTATGCTGTGGCACAAACCCCTATGTCTGTGCAACTTGGACATCATCAATCCAAACATGAAGAGTCCGAATACCATGTAATTGATTCTCAAACCTGAAGCCATCCTAGGATTCTCAACCGTCAGCTGTCAATTCGAGGGCAGACCAATTTCAGTCCTACTTGAGCCTCAATGGGCTGAGTCATGCATCGTCTTCTCTGCCTCCACCCCCGAGCTATAGCTTATGTATTTTTAGTATACATACCTATCTCCGTCCTCGCGAGTGGGACGATGATTTCGAGCGTTGCACCCAAATTTGGACCACTAGGTCATATTCTGCTGCAGCTAAGAGCCAAGACTGGCAACGCCAACAGGAACAGACGTGCTTCGCCACGATGCGACCTCGAACCAGCGCTGTCTCGAAACGAGTTTTATCAGCGAAGATGGAGAAATGCTTCACCCGGCCGAAGGCCCTGCCTTTATGATCGTGCAGAGCCACTGATCAGTAACCAACCAACAAGCGGTTGTCTGCTGATGCTCCTGGCCAGCCTGCCGCGGCCCCCAGAAAGGGATAGTCGGCCTGGCTGGTTCGCTGGAGGCTCCGAGGATCGAGTCTGACGATTCGATGCGGAGCAAATCGCGATCACGCAAGCACCAGCCCAATGCGGGAGAAATAAGAATTTCGCCCCCTTACCTGAGCCCGTCCCCATGCTTGTAGCCCCGGGCAGCTCTCGAGCCCTGTACGTTCATGTGCGCTTGGACTGCTCCGTCAAATACCCAGGCAATTCGTTTGTAGTGCGAACGCTCGTATTGCTGTAGCTCGAAAGAACCTTGCGGCCTCCATGGACTCGTTGACTCACAACTGCTGAGTTGCATTTGCTGGTCCAGGCTCGGACGCAAGGCAATCGGGCCCATCAGCCGGGATCACCAAGCGTTGGTGCTTGCTTGAGCTTGGCACATGTCCTCAAAGCTTGTTGTAAGGAGCTCCCTTGAACAGGACCGTCGTAAAATCTCTTCTTTTTTCGGGGCCTGGAAATTGTCGACTGGGTCGGATTCCGGAATACTAATCGACCGTCCTGACGCGGCCTCCTGGCCCACCGGCCGGTGCCGCTCCCCATGGACGTTCCCTTGCTCGAACTTCTGCAATTGATACCACGACCAGCCATCTTGCTGTGAGATGAATACTCATCCAGACGTCCCAACACAAGCTCACCGTCTCTCGTCTGTGTGCCGCAAATAGCGACGGTCCGTACCCGTAGACGCTGACGCTAAGCACTTAACTCGCGGCCAGCTACGTGCAAGCACGGTAGAGGCCAACAGAGACAAGGAAGTGGCTCCAAGTGCCGGTCATGGACGATGCCAAAAACCTGATGATGGCTCGCCCTAACAGACACTAAAATAGAGGAAAGGGGCCCCGTTCGGGAGGCATTGCGGCTGATGGAACGGCGCCGTTTGCTGGGCCCAACGGTGACCTCGTATTGGCTGGGCCTTGGGAGGACAGAGAGATTGCAACAGTGGACTGCCTCCAAAAACCTCCGCCGTGGGCTCGTAGCCTCTTGGCTAAGGGGTTGACAGATGGTGGCCGCGGCGGCTTCGTCTCAGTTTGCTGCGCGGCCGGTTGACGCTCAGACCTCGCTGTGGTGATAGAGTTTTCGGTGGTGTCCTCCCGATGGCCTCGTCTGCAGCCAACCCAACCAGAGCTTGCACGGCCCAGCGCACCCACCCGCCGTCTCCTGCGTCGAAATTCATGCCCTGTTTCGAACCCCTTGTCCGCTGTGGGTGGCGCTGCATGGCTTGCATGGCATGGGAGGGTCGTCGACCAAAAGATGAGACTGGCTCTAGCCAGTCATGCAGCTGCTGCATGTCAGCGACTTGCCATGTCGTCCCTGCTGCGTATCGGCCCAACGAATCGCCCAGCAGCGGTACCTCGGGGCTCACGCCGGCCAAGTACTGCCGTTCGACATCACGCCGCTTGCTGTATGTAAGCAGCCTCCTGAGAAGCCACCTCGTTTCAGACGGCGGGTCTGAATGGAACCCACCGCTTGGGCGGGCGAATTGGATGGTTGCGCGATGGAGACGCCGGCTTGCATGTGTTTGCAGAAGAAGAAGGACCAGGGGCCTGGCAACTGGGAGGAAGCACCAGGAGGATGAGGAGCAGGGAGAAGAGGCTCAACAAGGGCACGAGGGCCGGTAAAGGAATGGATCAGACGCTGGAGATGCTGAAGTGAGGTAGTTCGTGGAGAAAAGATGAATCAATGACGGCGGCATGAGAACCTGGAATTCAAAGGAGAAAAGATCGGAGCCTGAGGAAGAAAAAGTTGAAACCTGCGAGGCAACGACGGACAATCACAATCACACAGAGGTACCTGTACCTGAAGCCTTCCTGTCCAAGCCCGAGCTTCTGGTGAAGAACAGCGTCGGAGCAGCCAAACGGCCAGGTACCCGTACCGGCGAGCTCCCACCGTTAGCAGCAACTCACTAGAGCCCGGTGGCGCTTCAGGGGTCGACGGCACTGTGCCTGCGCCCTACGGCCCTCGCAGGTGCCTGAATCAATCGATCCCCGCGCCTCGTGGAGGGCCCCGGGGCTGCACTGCACCTAGAAGCGGCGCTAGAACAGACTCGACGCAAGATCCATGTCCGAGGCCAATGCGACCTGGTGATATTTTCAGCATCGACCTGGCCTCGCTCTCTCTCGTTTTCCTCTTCCTGCCTCTCCTCCCCTTTCTCTTTTATATCCTCGTCCCTTGCCTTTGCGGTCCCCTCTTTTCCTCCCCTTTCTTTTTTTTTTCCTTTTTATCCTTCATCTTCTTTCATTACCGACCTTATTCACAGGCCTCTTGCCGTGTGTGTTACAGTTGTGTGACCTTTTTTTTTTTCTGTTCTGCTTGCTGCTTGCCTCCGTCATTGTCTTCAAGTTGCGGCCTTTTCAACTTCTTTCACTCTTTCAGCCTCGACTTTTCTCTAGACGCCCAGAGGACCACAAAGGACCTCTTTGTTTGCCGTACAATAGACGGACAAAGTCACCTGCAGCCTGACATCACCCAATTGAGAAACAAATACCCCATCGCAACGCCATATTCAGATCGACCGAAGCCATGTCGGACGGCGATGCTTACGTCCCCACGGAGGTGACGGCCGTGGATCACAACCCCAACCAGCCCAACGAGAAACATCGCGGAAGCAGCTTGGAGATTCCTCTGGAGCAGCAGCAGACGAACGTGCCCGGCTCAAGGATGGCCGCGCCGATCCCCATCAGCCGGCGGCACACGCTCAACCTCGAGGACTACTTCGCCGGCCCTCGCGACATGGACAAGCATTCCAAGTGGCCCCTGTTCCTGCAGATGCACGGCAGCATCTTGCCCAAGATGATTGTGCCGCTGATCTGCATGTCCGCCTGGAGTACCTGCATCACCCTCATCTACATGAAGGCCCATAAGAACATTGGCGTCAACTCCATCCTGCTGACGGTCCTCGGTTTCGTCGTCTCGACCGGTCTCAGCTTCCGTGGTTCCACGGCATACGAGCGTTATGCTGAAGGCCGACGATTCTTCGCCTCGCTGGTCACCTCGTCGCAGGCTCTCGGCCGAATCTTCTGGATCCACGCCAAAACCCTGCCGGATGTCGACATCCGCAGGCAGATTCTGTACAAGATCAGCGCCATGAACCTGGTGGTCGCCTATGCGATTGCCCTCAAGCACAGCCTGCGCTTCGAGCCCTACACCGCGTACCAGGATATAGAGCACCTGGTCGGCCACCTGGACACGTTCGCCAAGTCTGCCACCTCCACCATGCCCACCAACATTGGGAAGAGGAACTTCTTCAAGTCCGTCGGCGACTACCTGGGTCTTTCGTTCGCTGCCAGCAACCCCCGGAAGCAGCTCAAGAAGGCGGAGAAGCCCCTGGGAAACCTGCCGCTTGAGATCCTCAACCACCTTGCCGTGACGATCGACGACCTGGTCAGCCGAGGCCAGCTCCCCGTCCCCATGCAGCAGACGCTCGCCTACAACAACCTTGCCGCCCTCAACGATGCCTACACCGGCTGCCAGCGCGTCCTCAACACGCCCCTGCCCATTGCCTACGGAATTCTGTTCCAGCAGATCACATGGCTCTACGTCATCCTGCTTCCCTTCCAGATGGTCAGCGTGCTCAACTGGATCACCATTCCCGCCACCACCGTCGCGTCTTACATCATCCTCGGTCTCCTCTTCATTGGTCAGGAGATTGAGAATCCCTTTGGCCACGACGTCAACGACCTTCCCCTGGACACCTACTGCGAGCAGATTGCTATGGACATGGACATCATCGCCTCGCACGCCAACTACAAGCCCGAGGACTTCTTCTTTAGCTCCGAGAACGTGCCTCTGTGGCCCGTCAGCGCTGCCCCCGCCGACACCTGGCTGCAGCGCAGCGAGACCAAGCTGACGGAGACGATCCGGACCAAGCCCAGCAAGACGTTTGAGTGGAGGCGCTGGAGGAGCGACAAGCTCGCTGACGAGGAGGCTGGCAAGACTGATTAAGAGAGTGCACTCTCTGAACGCTATTGGGAGATGAGATGTGTTTTGCTTAATGGCATACGAGAATAGGTATATACGAGGTGGTGGTTTCATGTTTTTTTTTCCCTTTCATCTGGGTCTTGAAGAGGGACGTTGTGCCTCCCTCTCTCTCGTCTTCACCAACAAAAAGGACAAAAGACAAAAAAAAAAAAAAAAGAATACTCAAAAGGGACTGGACTGGGCATTATGGGCTTTTTATTCTTTTTCCATCATTTCAAGCATTTACATACAGGTTTTTTAAAAGGAAAGAATTTGATTACGGCAGCACGGCGTCTTACGCAATATTACCTTACGTTCAAGGCCGGCCTGCGACGGAACATTGGGGCTACCTTTCTTCCTCTTGCTGCTGGTCTACGGTATATATACACATACAGAAATCTTAACTCTTATTCGACTGGTTTTAACTTGAATTTGACGCCATTTTGATCTTGTTTGTGACGGTTCTTGAGTGTGAATGGAGCGGGGTGGTTGTGAATTGTTGAATCGGATTAAGAGCAAGATGCTCGGTTTGTACACCTACATGGAGGATGCCCATAGTGTGAAGGTAAATTTATATCGTTGACTCGTTTATTTGACCTGATATTGTATTTATATACATGTCATCAAAGAAGATGCAGAAAACATGAGACTCATGATGCTATCTATGCAGTATTTGTTTGTCCAATCACCTGCTTCGTATCTCACCCCTCTCAGCCACTTTTATACAAAAAGGAGATCTCATCCAGCTCTTCATTTTCCAAAACAACCATTTTTTAGATATGAACCACCTTTCTTTCATAAGTGTATGTTTCACTCATCCTCCTCTTCACGAAGAATCTTATGCGACTGCTTATCCTCCGGCAGCCACCTGACGAAAATGGACAGCGACATGGCAATGGGGATCAGAATCGCCCACACGAGGTGCCCCCAAAGGATCTGGTTCCTCACCCCAATGGCAAACATGGCGGTCGAGACGCCCGGCACAAAGGACCGGATGGCGCTCGCGGCGGTCATGGCCAGGGCGTTGAGGGTGCCCATGACGTGCGGGTTGGGGGAGACGTCGTTGAGGGCGAGCTGGATGGCCGTGAAGGCCATGGAGACGCCGGGGCCGACGAAGGCGACGACGAGGGCGACGGCCCAGAAGGCGGCGTCGGCGGACTCGGTGCCGATCCTCAGCAGAAAGTTCATGACGACGTAGCCGGCGAAGAAGAAGGGGTAGGCGGCGACGCAGGCGGCCATGGAGCCCTTGGTGCCGATGCGGCGCTGCAGGAAGGGGAAGGCGACGATGAGCCAGGTGGCCTGGCTGGCGCCCTGGACGGCCATCCAGACGGAGATGCGGAAGGGCGAGAACTCGACGCCGCCGAGGCGGACGGGAGTGAAGAGGTAGACGGGCAGGATGGCGGTGAAGGCGAAGGCGAGGAACATGACGTGCGTGTAGACCCAGATGACGATGCCGACGCCGGGCGCCCGGAGGAGCTCCCAGGTGGACAGCCGGTGGGGGCGGGCGGGTGCTGCTGTTGCTGCTGAGGCACCAGGGGTGGTGGAGGAGTCTTCTTCGGGCTCGAGCGTTTCTTCGAGGTACAGCATGGAGAGGACGATGCTGACAATGTTGATGACGGTGATGGCCACGCCGGCCAGGATGTAAGGGTAGTCTTCAAAGAGGCGGATCCCGCCAAAGAGGCCCGGGAACTGCTCCACGGGGTCGGCCAGCGCGCCGCCGATGATGGGGCCGAGGAAGATGCCGACGTTGTTGGCAAACGCAAACCAGCTAAAGGCAACGGCCTGCGTCTCCGAGGTGGTGTGGTCCGAGAGCATGGTCCGGATGACCAGGCCGGAGCCGCTGAAGACGCCGGCGAGGCACCGGAACAGGATCATCTGCCAGATGGTGGTCGCGACAGTAAAGAAAAAGGTGGCGACGGCCATGCCGATGAGCGTCCACAGCAGCACGGGCTTGCGGCCGACGGTGTCGGCCAGGTGGCCCCAGAAGTAGAGCACCACCATCTGGGTGGCGGAGAAGAGCGACTCGATGAGGCCGCTGTAGAAGCCGACGTCCGAGTCGGGCAGGTTGCCGTTGCGCTGCACCATTTGCGCGATGAAGGGGAAGATGGCGAAGAAGGCGATGGGCTCCATGGCCTTTGCGAAGCACAGCAAGAAGACCTGCATCCCGGGCAGGGGCTTGCCGCCGCCGTGGTGGTGGTGGTGCTTCTTGCTGCGGGCGGCGGCATCTTCGACGTCGGGGTCCAGGCCGGTGGCTTTGCCGGGGAGGAGGAGCGATGTCTCGGTGGGCATGGGCTCCGGGTCCATGAGGGTGAGGTCGGAGGAGGAGGAGGAGGATATCGGTTCCGGGACGGGGGGCGCCATTGTGGCGGTTGCTCTGAGATTTTCCTGGAGACTTCTATGGAGAATCGAAGTGAAAAGATGGACGAGATGAGACGAAAAGGTCAACGAGGTGAGATGAGAATTCACACCGCGTCGACGTGCCAGAGCAAAAAGTCTATCCGCCTGGTCAACTGCTAGCCATGAGAGCAGTTCCAAGATCAACTCCCATATGAGAAGAAGAAGAAGAAGAAGAAGAATGTAAATGCAAAACAACCAGAAGGATCGCAGACCAAGAGGCGAATAATAAGCAGATGGACCCCGAAGAAATATCAGAACAGTCACCAGGGTGCAATTTCTAGGCAGGGAGGCGGTTGCGATAAGCACCGGCGTTTTATTATCAAATCAATCTACGAAAAGTTCCTCTCTTCCCGCTCCCACCCAGGCTAATGACGCAAGACGGCGCATCGATCTGGACTCCATGCGGTAGGTGGCTCAACGCTTTGCACTGACCGGACCCTGATTGAGGGCCCGACACCGCTGGATCGCTGCTGGACCACAGGCAGCCACAGCGCGTCTGCAACCCCAAAGGACCCCGGAAATCCCCCACTAGCCGTAATCTTACAGCGCACCGCAGCGGGCCCGCAGAGCCCTGGCGCGCACGAATCACGCCCGAAGTGCCCCCTTCCGGCCACCGTGCATGCGCTAGCCGCGGCTTGGGTGCGTGTGCGAGTCGGCAGCTGAGCCGACAGGACGCAGACGCGGCCGGTTGATTGAGGGCATTCGCGCCTCGTGATGCGCTGCTGCATCTCATCCTTCTCCAGGCGAGGGCGCGGGTCATGAGAACAGCAGAGTTCGCACAGCTGCGGTGCCGAGATCGCTTCTTATCAACCCGCCGTTGCTCGGTGTCTACATAGATGCACCTCTACACAACGTTGAGCCCACCCTGCCGTTATTCCCGCACAAGGGACGGTGTAGCAGAAGCGAGGATGGGGCTGCTCTGAATCCATCCGTATTATGCGGGGGGACGAAGCACGCGGCCCCCCTCCTCAACTTCTCTGCTCCGTCACATTCTGGGCAATATGACAGACGGCGTTGCGTTGCGTCCCGGCTTCCGCTTTTCGGTATGGGAGACTGATTAGAGTGTGCATGTATGTATATGCAAGGGAGTGAGCGTTTTGGCGGTATAAGACGAGAGGGTGTTGTCGTCCGTCACGTCCTGACGGGTTGTTGAGCCTGTTGCCGCATCCTGTGCTGCTGCTGTGTGATCGGCAGCCCGCGTTGCTCTGGCAAAGCCGCGTAGCCGGCCGATGGCGGAGTGACCGTTGAGGCCATCACGGCCACGACAGGTCGACGGGCGCTCGGGCAGACAAATTATCTTTTACAAGTATCGTGGCCCTTCGGGCAGGCTGCTGCCCGCAATGTTGCACTGGCGAAACAGGCGCACCTCGTCTTCCGCAAAGGCCCCGACGACGGAGTGAAGCAGGCTTCTGTTGTGGAAGATGACGAAATCGCCCTCCTCCCAGTCATGTGCATACACATACTTGGGCGCGATACCGGGCCGCTGCAGTCGGTGAACAATCTCCCGCACCTCCTTCAGATCGTCGATAACCTCGCCGCCAGCCAGATGGAGCTTTCGAACCGCAGATGGGTGCACCTGCAGCGCCAGCCGGCCGTCCTGCGGGTTGCGCCAGCACATGGGCAGGATCTGGATCTTGTCTTGCTCAATCTCGGGCAGGCTGTCCAGCGGCACCTCCTTGCCCTCCGAGATCAGGCCCAGACCGTCCGAGCGCGATTTGGCGCCGCTCATCCACACGTAGGGATGCGGGGCGTACTCGACCTTGGTGGACATGGCAAACTGCTGGTCCTCCGGCGATAAGAGGTCATACATGGTGTAGCCAGAGACGAACGCCGTCGTGCCCAGCGGCACGTCCAGCTCCTCGCCCGTGTCCTCGTATCGAATGGTCTGCCTACGCCCACGGGGGACGCGGGCCGCGAAGAGGGTTGTCGCTACCGGAGGGGCCAATCCGTACAGCGCGGCGTCGATGTGCCATCTGTAGAAGCGGGTAAAGTCCAGGTCCTCCTCCTCTGGGATTACGGTGGCGTGGAACGTCTTGTGGTGGGGGTGCCGCAGCTGGATGTCCTTCAGTCCCTCATACTCCTCTACGAAGCCGTTTCCGATCACCTGGACCTGCGGCTGATGCGGGATCGTCTTGAGGTCTGGATGCAGGATAGATCGTTTCGCGTCGAGCGTCTTCCCGTGGCCATACGAGGCTGTCGCCTTGGGATCGAACCGTTGCGTAATCTCGTACTGCGCCCTGGAGGATGCGTCATGCTGTGCTTTGAAAACGAGGATCTGGTGCTTGTATAGAGCATCTTTGATGATGTCGAAATCGGCATCTGAGGGACGTTGATACCGTTAGCTGGTGTGCTGCTACGATATAGTGCATGCTGGGATGGTTGCGGCCAGGGTGACACAGAAGGGGGTTCTCTCTGCAACCAAGGCTCCTTACCAGATATCTTGTCGACGTTGACGCCGTGGACAACCGCGCCGAACCGGATTCCAGACCCAGGCGGATGCGCAATGGGGTGTATCGAGGCCCTGGACGCAACCGTGGCGTACGTTGCCAACTGGCGGCCGAGTCCACCAGCCTTTCGCAGAGACATTGTGGTTGCCATGTCTTGTTCTCGTGTCTCACCAAGGGGTTCCAAGGTTGTATGCAAGTCTTGAGAATGACGGAATACGATAGGTGGCGTCGCACGTCTTCTTATCCTTCGGGTTGTGAAGCTAGGAGAAGCTCTTACCGTCAGCTTAGTGGGGTCATATCAGATCAGAAGCTCTCCTCCGAGCTCCGAGGAACCTCATCTTCTCGTGTTGCTTGTGCGCTTATCACTTGCCGTGGCCGATGGACCCGGAATGAAGCGACAGGTGCTTACCGCTGCTCGACATGTTGGTAGAGAGATGGACGGATGTCGCCGGTTTGCGGCGCCTTTCAAGTCGGGGGAGCGACAGGAGGTCGAGGAGGGATCCACCAGATTGATAAGAGAGTTCGAGCCGCGTCGATAGCGCAGATGGCGATTGAGCTGTAATCGATATCGATACTCGTAGCTTTGAATTCGCTTACATAAAGTCAATTGGACGCGTTGATGGCAATCTCTGGAGAGATAATGGGCTCATGTCGAGTTATGGCATTCATACCGGCAAAGGGCGACTTCGGGACAAAGGCTCCATGTTCCATCCTTCTAGTATAATACATGTATGGATACATGTAGCCTGGTCGCTCCGGGTTGCTGGAATCTGTGTCACCTAATCGTGGAGGCGACAGGAGTTGCACAAACGATCAGTGCTGTCATCGGGAATGTGTGATCGACTTGGTAGAAAGCCCTGTATCAAGCATCAGCGGTGCAATCCATCTCTCGTTGTTCTGCCCCTCACTTGCGACCATGGCGGTAGAAACTCAGTAGTTGCTGACGATGGTCGCACCTCGGGGCCTCTGATTGAGCGTCGAGTTTCTTGGTACGTCGGCACTTGTACCGGCTTTCGACAAGGCAAGGTGGCAGACCTATTGATACACGTAATGTACGACGTTTTCACATCGTGAAAAATATTGTCTCTTCACACATCAATCGTTGAGAAAACTCATGTCTCAAGTGGTCTCTCGGTTTCTTGGGCCGTGTACCTGTAGATGTGCCAGCAGCTGTCACATGTCATAGGGCACAACACGCATTTACCCCGTACAATCGGTCCTGTCTCTTGTCGATTTCTCATCTGCCATGCTTCCTCCATTGTCTGCAGCCGCGGTAACCAATCCGGATCCTGCTCGCTGTGGTTGAGCTGCAAGGCGGACAGTGCGGCCGGTCAAAGATTGGAGCTGTCGAGCATGGGCCAGATCCACGCCTACGTGTAATCATCTCCATCTTGTCGGCATGCGCCTTTGGCAGTGAGGTTTCTTCCATTCTGGGAGTCGAAGGAATGTAAGAAGTCTGAAGAAGATGAGCTCGAGACAGCGAAGCCAATTTGAGGAGGCAATAAGAGACGTGTGAGAAATAAACTATTATGTGATACTGCGCAATTATGGAAATATGAGCTTGATAACAAGACCCATCTTGGTGTGATAACACATGTTCTTGACAATGCTCAATGATACCACTCAAGCTCAAGGAGTCTCTTATTACTAAAGACCTGGAGCTGTTTACAATCAGTATCAGCCGCAAGGGGGGTTTGGGAGCAATACGAATTACGATAAAACTCGTGTCATCTTCCAATAGGCTTCCTCTCATAAATCCGGATCTACCTCCGGCCGCCCATCACTGTGACCTTCCTCGGTCATAAGGTAGATCAGACAATCCCGTCAAGTTGCAGCCTCGCTATTTCCCATCTTACGTACTTCGGCCCTTTACCATATTGAACTTGGGATGGCCTTGACCTGGTCCTAGCGCTGACCCTGCTTGAGCCCTATTATCGGATGCTGTCAATCTTCGACGTTGCATCAACTTCTGCCATACTGCAGGGTACCGTTTATTGTTGCCTAGACCTCTGCACGTGGCAAACCCTAGTGATGCGTAAGACTGGCATATTAACTACACATCACGATGATAATGCTTCATCTTCATTTGCTCGTGTACGGGCCGTACGCGCTGAGATAGCTCTTACGAACCGTTTCGCACACCGCCACCAGAACTCGGCTTTGGACCTGGACAGTAATGTTCTTTCGTCTTTATGCGTCCCGAACCAAGAGACAGTGCCTTTGTATCATGTAGGCTTAGCGGCATAGAGAACGCGTAACCGTTTTCTCTATGTGGTTGGCTCTATGCTCCATGTGCCAAGGTAGGCAGTTACGAAGTACTGAGTGATACTCTGGCGCTGGCTTAGACATTCGTAATACTAGCGGAAGATCTGCCCACTCAGAGACCAGCGGATTGTGGAGCGTGCTAAAGAGTTGAGTGAAGATCCTGAAGACTCAAGGTTGCAGTGGTTGGAGTCGGGAAGTAAGGAGTTGATTGGATGGCAATGTTGACATACCAGGTAATCATGAGCAATGAGGGGGCTAAGAAAGCTGCAGTAACAGGTTGCCCTTTCCCAATGGGTAGAATCCTTCCGCAAGGATACTAGGAGATGGTAAGTAGGAGTTGACCATTGGTTACGCGGCACAACCGCAACCAACTGCCAATGACCAAGAGACACGATCGATTGACTGTTAGATGCCGGTACACACATGCCAGGTTAAAGGCATTACATGGGGTATGCGTTTCAGACCAAAGCGTCAAGCGAGATTACTGTTATCGACTATCAACTTGCAAGCATCGACGCTTGCACGAGCAATACTACCATGTCTCCCTTGGGATAGCTGCGCAACCCTCGATCAACTCTCTCGAGACACTCTCAGGCCCGGTAACTGAACTAAGAGCGCCTAAATTTCAAGGATAAAACATAGAACATCTGGGTTAGGTTGGATGACATGGTGACAGCTGTGGCTTGCTGCTAGCCTCTCTGACTATTGGAGAGTTGACGAGCCGTTGTCCTCGTTGGAATTGCTAGGAAGGTGAGCACCTTCAACTGACCTTGAGCTATCATGATCCCGGCAAGTTTACCTGATGGCGTAAAAGGTACCCTTGTCAGACTCCTTGATTGCTGGGATGCCTTCAGTCTATAATGCAATCTGCTTGAAGGCACCCTGTTCTGTCAACGTATGCTCCTGAGCCTGCGACGCTCTATGAATTCGTGTCAGTAAGCTGGCAAAGCGCCACCACGTTAAGCTTTGGAGCGGTGTATCTACCGATGCCAATTTCCAAGCGAGTGCTGAATAGCTCTTGACGTGAGTAGTTTTGCATCACAAGGGTAATTTCACGAGGTAGATTCGCTTTGAAGGGAATAGAGAAGCCCTGCAAATTACGGCTACGGTCTTGATGATATCGATAACGTTGCACCGAGGACGTTGATGCTGGGGAAGGTACGGGAAGGGATAAACTAACCTCCACAAGAGCATCAATCAACCAAGAATGTTCGTCCCCGCGTAATTCTCAAGTTGTGTCATGTCTGTCTCTCCATCAAAGCCATGACTCGAGCCACCAAGCGCCATCGTGGCCGCCTTCAGCCCAGCGAAGCCCCCAGTCCCATGGATTCAAGCTTCTCTGAGCCTTACAGGGTTTAATGGGCCCGGTGCCGTGAACTCGTCCCCTGCCAGCCTGAAGAAAAAGCCCGGGGTCCCACCACCATCCACGCTGGCCGTCAGATGCACCGGCACCAGCACCAGGTTTATATTAGCCAGGGCCAGCAGCATCACTCCGAAGCTGCAGAGCGCGACACACTAGGCTGGGGCTCCGCCGAAGCCCTGGGATTGGATCGGGACAGTGAGCCCGCTGTCGAAAGGGGACGATCATAGCATGATTGAACTTGCATTTCGCAATTCTCAGAGACTCAAGTTCAAACTCAACTCTACTTCTCCTCGGCACTTGAGCCATGCCAGCGCCCAGGGCCACTCTTGCGGCATCAAGGAGAGAAGGATGTCATTCTAGCAGCCTCCGCGAAACTTGTTCCCAGCGACAGCGTGCCAGCAAATGGGCTCGTCCGGCCAGCAGCGCGGCGGCGCGACTACCGCTCTAGAAGAGAGCGCGCCGATGGCAGCCATAGGTGAGAGCGTCCGACGATCCATATTGAAGCATCATCGATATCCCTCTGTCTGTGTCCCAAGATACCTCTTGACAAAATACGAGGTTTTCAATGGAAGAGGGACAATGGTCGCTGACTTGAACCCCCGCAGCCTGCCTGGTCTGCCGATCAAGAAAGGTACGCAGAGCCTTGGCTAGCCGAGAGGAGCAGACTCCGAGGCGTTGAGCTGCTCCAACCTCCCATATCTTGTCTTCACTGCTCGATCAAGTTCTCATCTATGGAGTTAGGTCAAATGCGACAAAACAATGCCCGAGTGCCGGAATTGCCTCCGTCTGGGGGTCGGATGTCCAGGCTTCAGTCCGCAGAGCGAATTCATCTCCCGCAAGGAGATGCAAAAGTCGGCAGACGACATCTTCAGGGCTGCCGGGGTGGAAAAGCGACGGGTTGGGTCCTGTGAGGAATGCCGGTCGTCCAAGCACCGCTGCACCAAGACTCGACCATCATGTCGCCGCTGCATCTTGCGTCATCTGCCCTGCGTCTATCCCTCGAAGCCGGATAAGCAGCAAGAGCGCGAATCATCGACCCAGCCCGCCAGCTCTGTGGCAAGCTCGACGGCTGCTGCTGCGGGACTCACTTCGACCGCCTCGGTTCAGTCCCTGGATGTTGGCCAATGGACAAATCCCGCCCTGTTGCATGCCTTTGGCGTCAACATTGAGAGGTACGTGGACTGGTGCTCACCATGGCCTCATCCACTAACACCCCTTTAAGTCTATGCACAGACACTCTGCCAAAAGACCACGGCCTTCGACTCCGTCTAGTGAATGCTTTCTTTGACCGATCACATCATCTTCGTTGTATCTCTTTCGTCCACCCGCCTTCTTTCATGCAGTCGCTTGAGTCAGCCACTATAGCTGAGGATTATGGAGAGCCTCTGCTCTATGCCATGTGCGCCCTTGGCGCAAGGTAGGCGATGCCCTCTTGCAGTGTATACAAAGCGGATATGACTGAAGACGGGAAAGCTGATCCGCCATATGACCGCAGACACATCTACTTTGATGCGACACTCGCTCTTGACGGACCCGATCGCGAATCACTTCCGAGCATAGTCCCCGGTCAGGCATGGGCTGAGAGGGCGAGAAAGGAGATATTAGGAGAAATGCATGCTCCAACGGTGCAAAATCTCATGGTGGGTTTTCGTCAAGCGTTGATCAGTTGCTATTCATTCAACCTAACTCGTCTTGCAGGCAGGTGCCCTTCTCTGCGAGTATGGCCTTCGGGAGGACCAGCACGCTCTGGTCTTTATTTTGCTGGCTTTTCTGCATCGAGCCATTAGACTTCTCAGCCTCGATATGCCGCGACCTCTTCCAGACCATTGTACAGTCGCTCAGATGATGCAACGAGAGGTAGAGAATCGCATCGTTTGGGCCTGCTTCGTCATTGACGGTCTTGCAGCTAATGGCGTCGAGAAAAACATGTGCTGGAAAGACAACGTGCCGAACATCCCCCTTCCCTGTTCCGACGACTGCTTCAATACCTCTCAACTCTCATTAATACCCCACTATCTTTCGCAAATCGAAGACTCGGCAATGCACACAGTCATTGCGGATCTGGACTTGGCAGCTCTCTTGGTTGTAGTTGTGCGCTTGAGGACCAAAGTCATGCAGTGAGTTTCCCCTTCTGAACCAAGTCTGTTTCTTGCTAATGATATCCCTCGTAGGCTTATTCGGGTCGCTGCCCCTAAAATGCGTGTCTGGGAAACGTCTTCTGAGTTTGTCAGAATCATTGATCAACTCATGGCACTGTATAACAACTTGCCGGAGCGGTATTATCTCACAGATGCCAGCTTATATATGCTCAAAGACAAGGGGATGCTTGGGGCTGTCTTTGCTCTACACCTTTTCATACATGCCGTCATCTTCGATCTCACCAGAATATCGCTCGCCGGCTTCAGCTTTCCTCTGGCGCCAGCCTTCAAGCACGCGCCATCCGAGTTTCTCACACACTGCCAGAGTTTGTGTCGTTTCCATGCGAGCCGGGTTTCCGACATCATCCGGACTGGCATGAGTTTCAGCCCGAAGGCATTCGACGACCTCTTCTGTCCGGACGCTGCTGTAGAATCGACCAAGGTGCAGATTATCTACGCAGCTACTGTGGACCGATCGCCCCAGACCTTGCAGGTCACTAGGGACAATATCATAACGAATCTGAACTTCCTGTTAGGCATTCACGATCGGGGAAAGGAGGCTCCCACGCAGTTTGTGAGATTTGATGGGTCAATCGATTGCTCGCTATGTGCTAACAGGCACCCATAGATTCGAGGTATCATTCCGCTTTGTCATCTCTTTGGCTTCCGAGACATTGCAGAGAGATATCAAGAGACACTTGGGTTCGTTCTTTGCTACGAGTAATTACCAGCCCGAACCGTTGACTGATACCCAGCCTTAGCATACCCATCGATCCGGCCGAAGTCACTGGATCTCCCGACGTCCACCACCTTTCCGCATTGGCCTCCTTTCGGAGAGGAAGGCTGCAGCTTTCAGAGGCACAGTCGGGAAGCGGCGGTAAGACAATATCATCGGGGAAGGATACCAAATCACCCTTGATCCAAGCATCTCAGAGCATTTTCTACGATGAGCCGATAGACAAGGGCAGCGGCAATGACTTGGCAAGCTCGCTGCCGCTCTTGAGACCAAGTTACCCTCCATTCGAAGTGGCACCTGAACTCATGAGCCAGTCACTGATTCAAAGAAATCCCCTTCAAGTCATGCCGTCTGCGAGTGTCATGGCTCAAAATGGAGCTCTATTTCAACCCTCAGTGGACGACTATATCAAGACAGCGGATGAAATGTCGACCTTTTTGACCTGGGGGATGCTGGAGATGCCCCAGTGGATCAACTTTTCCGACCAAATGCCCCCTGGGTGAGAATAGTTATTCGCTGCGTCTGTTCGAATCTCGCATCACAAGATACCACCCTCTGTGGCTTGGTCAATGCTCCGACTCAGCCTTCTGCCATGGGCGTGAAAGGAGGAAGTTGGGATTGCCACAGCTCCCTGCCCCGAACATGAAGTGTTAAACTAGGGCTTGGATGTCTCTAGAAGCTTTACCTATTGCTTCCTTGAAGCCCTGACCGCGATGGAACTGCGAACAAGACACTGCAGGCGACATACTACATCCACAGTCGGGCGCTCAGGCACATTCTCGTCACACCGAAAGTCTATGCTCGGGCCTCGTTTGTTAGAGCAGCAAGCTCTGGCAATGCCCACGGGTGCTAGTATCGAAAATGGACTAATCCTCGACTCTGGGGCGAATGCACATCAAAACTTCGTTAGCACTGCCCACGTTACCACATTGTGAGCGAGACTGAGGAGGGGCCAACGAGCATCCAGGGTTCGATATCAAAGTCCAGATCTCTAATGGCCTCATTAGGCAGGGCCACTAGGCATTTCAAACGTCTATATCGGCATCATACTTCGTCCATTTCTAGGGTTTGCCCTGGAGCCAGCAGGCTAAGCATCAGAACCAGAGGCTTTGAAGGTCTCCATGATTGCTTGCCAACGATGTCGCGGTCTCTTTGCCTGAGTTTCGTTCTAGCTTCATTGTTGGGTTCACCAGCGGGTACATTCCTGCTCCGCCAGCTTCTACCCTCTATTGTAATGCCCTCTTTTACAAACCTTGTCAGCACAGTGCCTACTGCCGTCACTGAACAATCATGTTGCCACCAGAGCGTAATAAGGTGGCCTGATGAGATGAAAAGATAAGAGCTGCCCTGAGATCGACCAAGGAAGGTATCTGGACCAGTGGCTAGCATACCTTAGATATCAATGATTCCGTATAGAGTCACTTTAGTTTGCATTTGCATTGCTGCCCACGCGTAAGCCTGTGCAACATGCATATATACTTGTTCTGAAAGATTGACAAAGAGAAGGGTTGTCCAAGCCATGACCAAGTAGTCTATGCTCTTTATCTATTTCGCTTTCGGCGTTGAAGGGGCACTGGAAGACTGTTTGATGTCTGCTGTAGTCGTTGGATAGATTCAGTTTGGCGCTCTTGTGGGCATTCTGCAAGATTCATGTGCTGTTCACCAGAAGATGGTGTCTTTGAAAATGGCATCTGAGGTCTAATGCTCGTGATTGGGGTGGAGCGAGCTGGACATGAACTAATATGATGAAGTATCGAAAACCTTGCTCCGACATGGAGTGCCATGTACATATAGGCTTTATGTATACCCGAGCGAGGAAAATGTCAGAGAAAAGGGCGCTCAAAATATTGATCATGTACGCAAAGGCCTATTACATGCCTGTCACCGTGCGTCTAGACATGGAATGCTATTTCGTGTTTCATTCATTCATTTCCTACTCTTGTGCTATGGGACATTCATACCATCAAACCAATGACCCACAATCAGGATCTAGTCCTGCTTCGTGATAACCAACTCTGTTTCCACAACCTCCGATGGCAGACCATCAGCCGTTTCATAGGTTTCAGTAATCGTTATGGTATACCGCTCAGGAGTCTTGCTCTCGAGGTCCTTCTTTGCCCCTAATCCCCTGATAGTGAAAACAATCTCCTCGCCATGGCCGACCGAGAGATATGTCGCAGGTAGTATCTCTTTAGTCTTCCTGTTCTTTCTCGCTTCTTTCCCAGAAACTGTCGGGGTCATCCAAGTATGTTCCGAGAGGCCAGTTTCGGGGTGTCCGACTCCGTATATTGCTTTCTCCTTCAAGGATGCCGGTATTGATATCTTCACTTGGTTCATGTTGACGTTGACCTGTTCATCAGAACTCTCTGAGAAGTAGTCGTCGAACCGGAAAAGAGCCTTCGGAGAAGTTGGCGAGACGGAAAATTTACAATAGATGGTCTTGCATCGTTCGCGGACGGCAGTACTATCAGAGCGCCCTTTGCCGACTATGGTGATGGTCGAGTCCTTGCCGACATTGACGTTCCCGTTCTGCAATGACCACTCGCACATGCTTGGCGGAGCTTTAGGTAGTGCGTTGACAAGCGGAGCTCCGGTTTTCTCGTACCAGACTTGAATGGGTCCGGGTTTGGGTTCCTTGATCCAAGTCTGGTATATCCAGAGGATGGCCATGAAAATGAAACCAATGATGATCAATGTAATCGTGACCTGAGGCGGAACGAACTTGAAAAGGGCCCAAATATCGACCATGACACTGATAAACTGAAAGATGATCTGTACCACATGGACCCAGTATTCGAATGGGTCAAGGTTTTTGCGGTTTCTCCAAACAGCGATAGCAGAGTGGACGAACATGAGGAGTCCGAGGACGATAGCAAAGGCTTGAATCGCCAATCCAGTCTTGTTGTAGTTCTTCCGAATGCCTTCAGACAGCTCTTCCACCTCCTTTTCCATAGGTGGGATTTCGGGATGCACCAACTCACCAGGACGAAATGAGACAAGCTTCTCCTGGATGGACAGCCTGCGGGCAGCCAAGCCCGGCTGCCCACCTCCCAGTGCTTTGAGGCCTTGTGATTCCAAGCTGTGTCGGCGAGCAACAAGACCACCAGGCCCAAGTTGTGGCGGAGCTCCTATCCTCGCTCGAGCCATCGCAGCTGCATTATTGGCAGCATTGTGGCCAACGTATTCCATGTTCCGGCCTGCAATAGCCTGAATCTCTCTCCCGATGCTGTTTATACTTGAGGCACCGTTCCAAAGGCGCTTGAAGTGCACGGCGGCTAGAGCAAGCCCTGAAAATGCCTGTGCGGCCTCTGTAAGCATTCGAGATTGATCAAACCAATCCAGTTCTTTGGTGCCGAACTGTTTCCATTCGCCCCATGAACTCATGAGGTAAGTCAGACTCTACGTATCGTCAGCAGTTGCTTCCGAGCATGGAGATCACTTGAAGTCGTACCGCAGAAACTGTTATGATCGTACCCATAGTGGCCATCCATTTGAACTTTTGTCCTGGCTGAGACCACTCCTTCTTCATGTAGTCGAGTATCTTCCATGCCGCATCGGTTGTGGACGTCTTCGCGCCATTTACAATATGGCCAGCGATGTTGTCGACGATCCGTTTGCTTGATTCGTTTTAGTTTGGGTACATGCACACTGGACACTCTGAGGACGACTTACGTTTTTGCTGCAGTCTGCTGGTTCACGCTGGTGCCGTTCGCCTCGGCATCAATCTCGTTGAGATGCGCCTGCATCTCGGCTTTCATTTCCGCGCTCAGATTGGCAGTTCCGTCAAGCACTGAGTGTATAGTGAACCGGACGGTCGCCCTGATGTTACCAGCCAATTTATCAGCGTCGCCGATATAGCTGCAGTTAAGAGTGTGTCTCTTCCGGTAACGATCCTTGATAGCGCTCGAAAGCCGAACATCGAGGGCATCGTCACTCAGTTTCGACTGAGGAGCCAAAGTAGCAAGCACTATGGAAGAATCAGCCTGGTATGTCATCGAAGGGTAAACTGGTGAATATTACATGTGCATATCTTATTGAGCTTATTGTTGATCTGGGCGCGGGTTAGCTACATACCAGCTTAGCATTGGGAAGATTGCTTACAGATGAGGCATCAGCAACTTTCATATCGTTCACGAGTACATCTGCAACATCATCTGTGAGGCAGTTGTAAAAGAGTTTCTGGGCCCACTTCTCGCCACCAGTCATGTTCTTCATCTCAGGATGTGCTTGGAGGAGCTCGTCGTCGGGGTCAAGCTTCGTAAAGTCATTCAAGTACTGCGTGACACGCGGGACTTTGCGGCGAATGGCTAACCTTGTCGCGATCCGGTTGAGTTCCTCGAACTCCGGCTGGTGTGCAAGACAACTCTTCCCTTTGCCCTTCCAAAAGTAGTTGAGCTTGTCCCGATCTTCTTGGCTGAACTTGGCTTTCGCCTTCTTCTGATCGTCCTCACTGCGTTGGGACCAGTTCCACGCGATGAAGGCATTGGCATAGGTCTTCTTGAGCCAGACTTTGAGGTGATCGTCCAGGGTGGATAGCTCCGTGGGGAGCAAGTCGGGCCTTTCGGGATCATCGCTGAGACCCGGAGGATCTTGCTGGCCTAAGAAGGTCTTGCGATCATCTTTGTCCATGTGATAAGACATGGCTAGATGGATAATTTTCTGTGCTTCTTGCTTGATTTCCATGTCGTTAATGGTCAGCGTGAAGAGGTCGCCAGGGTCAAGGATATTGGACTGAATCGGGCTAAAGATTGAGCCAACTTTGGCGTGTGTCTGGCCAGGCTTCAAATCCGCAGATACGCTCAGCGAGACCCAGAGACGTTCTTCTGGCTTTACACGGTTGACTCTCCCGCCGAAGACCCTGTATCGCACACCGTCATTGTCCCTCATCTCCGGGTTGTACTTTCGCAGAATTCCACTCTGGATTCGGTCGTCCTTGTAGTCCAACGTGAACGTCGCCCGGGAGAATATGAAGGGTAAAGACAAGTCGGATTCAGACTTTTTGAAAGTCAGGTTCTCATACTGAAGAGCAGTGTCGTCATCGCTGCTGTGCTGGTCGGCCGCCATGGCAAGCAACTCGGGAAAGTCCATTTGCAGCATGACCATCGTGTTTCTTTTCTCGTCCATGAATATCTCACTGTGGTAGTAAGGGCGCACAGAAAACTCAGAGCCGGCTTCCTTGAGTATCTGAGTCCGTTTCTGTGCAAGGTCGTCCAGTGCTGGAATTCTGAAGGTCTGGGTTTCGACGTTTTCCGAATCGCCGACAATTTCCCACGTCAGACCCAAGTACTTGCTCAGCTGCGGAGTTTGTGACTCCTCTTCGTATGGCACAAGATCGTAAAGCAGGTCATAGTTGGACTGGGGAGTACGCTCCTTCTCGCTTGAAGACCGCGGTTCATCATCAGAGACACCCTGGGCCTGGCTGCCAAGATGAACGTCTTTGGAGTTTGACTGCATCGTCATCGATTCTGTTGTGGACAGGCTTTGGGCCTCCCACTTCATCTCTGGTTCCGTAATCAGATGTACCGTCGTCGAGGTGACTCGAAGCCGTCGCAGTTTGCCCGTCACGGCTTGCGGTATCTCCTCGCTGTCGTACCAACAGAGGGCAGTCCCAGTGAACTTCTGCTTCTCGCCGTTGAGGCGACAATAGCAATGCTCCCAGACATCGCCAATGGGGCGTGACCAGGCGATCTCCCGGTCTGTGACTTTGGCACGTTCACAATAACTGCCGTCGAGGAAAACCACTCCATCTCGAAGCTGGAGCATCGGAAGTCGATGAGGAAAGTCGGCAATCCCCGTTCTTGACTCGCTGAGAGTATAGTCCCGCGTTTGGAATTTCAGAGTCTCTGGTAGTGGTGTATCTCGAGGTTTGGGACGCATGCTGTCCAGCAGCTGCGGATCCTTGAGTTCTTTGCCCAGAAGATCTGACACAAAACCGGCACCAAATTTCGAGAAGATCGGTTGAAGTTCTTTGATATTCTGCAACAGCTGCGATCTTTGGTACGTAGGCATGTTGCGCAAGAGTTTGCCAATACTGGCGATGGTGATCTCCGGGTAGTTGAGATGGACAAGGTAGCCGTTTGCATGGTAGCTGCGAAGTCCAGACCTGAGGTGGAGCCCGTGAACAGACTCGCAGGGAACGGAGGCACTGGTGATTCTTCCAACCGGAACTCTCTCGTAGCTCTTCCCATCAGATGTCCTCAGCAACACGTGCCCCATCTTGAGGGCTCCAACTTGGAGCCAGGGATTCTCGTGCTGCGCAGCAATTGGATCAATGGCGCGAAGACCGGTTGTTGTATAGAAAACGTGGTTCGCTGTGACAAAGGGCTCCAGCTCGTTGATCCCAAACAACACGATGTTCCCAGATGTAGGCACCATGACCTTCTCGTCTGAGCATATTCCATACTCACCACTATCAGCACGCGTCAACACTTGATCATTCTCCACGAACGATTCGATGGGCTTCTGCTCGTCACGCGCCCAGACCATAGTACCGGCTCGGAAGCAGCCAGAAATGGGGTTCTCAGATCCTGGTGTCGCACGGCTGTTGTTGTATGTCATCTTGAATAGGCCTGTATCTTTCCAGTGTCGCATAACATAGGCGATATTTCCGCCGTAGGTATCGACTGTCCTGTTTGTTGTCTGCTTCAACAGCAGCTGCCGTTCACAGATCGTCTTCATGATGTTGATTTGTTCGTCCCAAGCCTGCCAAAGATCAAGACCCAGTGGCTTGAAAGCCTCCTCCAAAGACCCGAAACTGGCTCTTGGGAGGACGGCGTTGAGAGGAAGAGCAGAACGGATGACAAGCTCATACGTGTCTAACGCAGCCAGATCCAAGTGGTTATCCGGCGCAAACACGGCAGTGACTGACTGGATGATGCCAAACAGTTCCTCGGCAAATACTTTCGGATCCTTGAGTATGCTGGTATCCACAGATCCCGATGGAGTGATAATCTTCTTGAGGACATTGGCGATCGTATCAGCTTCTGTGGAAGCGGGAGTATGGTCAAGCCAAGCGGCTACCACGTCAGCGATTTCACTGTCCTTGCGTATGTTGGTAATCACTTCCGGGTTTGCTTTTCTTCGTAGATATTCGTACGCGAAAACCAAATTTGTCCGATAGTTGGCTGATCCCCCATTTCTCAAGTAACTTTGGACACTCTTTGCAAACCCTTGTATGCAGGTTAGCTTTGCAACGAGATGTGCGAATTTACATGTAATTGCGTCACGTACCGGGTGCTGTAATCTCCATTTTATAGGCTTCGAAGAAAGCATTGTCATTGGCAAGCTCATCAAGGCGTGGAAGTTGGATACCGTTGAGGTTCTCGACAAGGACACTGGAGATTGTCAGGAGCTTGCAAACAAGATATTGTTCTGTCAATTTCCCATACCTTTCTAGATGATGACCATAAAGACAAGGCATTAGCCCGGCCAATGCTTCCTGGCAGAACAATCTGGCCGCATTCTTCTCACTGTCAGACATTGACCAAAGCCATTGGATTCCGGGAAAAGCTTACATCGTCGACAGAAGACCAAAATCCGAACTCATCCTGCAGCCTATTGCATGCCAAAGCAAATGTGCCCACTGCGAGCTTTGCGACTCTGTCTTTGGCATTCGGTCCTGCTCGGTGGTAGATGTCCTGTTTGTAGCGCTCTTTCTCGTCGTTGGACATGGGGCCAGGGTAATCACTGACGAAAGTCTGGATGGGGTGAAGAGTATCATCATAGCCCAGAATATGGCCCAAGGCTACAGAAGCGTGTCTCGAATCAAATGAAGGCGCCGCCTTCAGGCGGGAGACGAAGGCTTCCACGCGGCTCTCAATCGTCGACATCGTTACGGTGAGGTGCAACCCTTCCCAGGCGTAAGACTGGGTCAACTGAAGTAGTCAATCAAGACGGCCTCTCATGCGTTTATAAATTTCACCCTGGTCCTTCGTGGAATATCAGGTTCTAATAATTTGTCCCCATGATGGTGAGCCACGCAATGACTTCAGTCGTCCAGCCAGCCACTTCTACACAATAGTCAAATCAATAGCGCTCAGCGCAGCTCGCCACAACATGTTGGACCTCAAATCGCTATCCAACCAAGTTTTCTCCACCTTGGATTAGTTCCGGGAACTATCAATTTCGTGTCCTAGTAAGGCATACTGCAGCTGCCCTGCAGCGAACTAGTTGGTCTAGATGCGCGGCCTGGCCCGTCCCGACTCGCACCCACGTCGCATGCATATCTACTACTTTAGGAATTGAGCGCGAAAAGCTTATTGCTCCAGGGTGATGTGAACCAATGGAAGCAACGGGCAGAGTCAATAGAGATGGAGTGTCAAGTTCTGCAGATTGAGAATCAAGACCTCAGATAACGAGAAGCCCAATTAGGAGAGCTCATCACTCGCTACAAAACCATTACAATGGCATCACTTAGGCAAGCATATCGCGCGTTCGAGGATTTTGTACCAACAAGTTAGGCATGTTAAACTACACCGGCCAGATATAAACTCCCGCTTCTATCTAAGTGAAAATCACTGGCTGACTACATACTGTCTCAAGATGTCTAAGATGGAGCAAGTCGTCATATGACTCAAAGCCAAATAATGCCTTGCTGGCAAATGCGATTGGAAGAAGAAATGCGGCCTCGTTATACCCAGACCGTCAGTCTTCTTCACTCGCAATAGAATAGCTAATTACATTAGGTAGGTATTAATGGTTCGATAGAACTGGTAGCTAACTTACACAGTATTCTCCGGATCGCGGTTATCTCTGACCCATCGTTAATCAATAGTATACTTAAACTTGACTTCACCATTGTCAAATCATTTCAATACACTTGCGATATCCTGAACACTCGGTCAGTGCCTAAAATTTAGGTGCGGCTTTAACTAATACGAACTGTCTCACTTTGCAACATAAACCACCTGTGGAAGACGCCTCAAGACGAGCCCCGGTCCAGCAACAAGTTGGGATGATGAAGGAACCTCGATGCGATTCCTCTCATGGACATACATAGAATCAGGCCGTCCCCATAGGCCCTTTATCACTCTATCCAGCTGCGTCTTACCGAACAAGTATGTTTGCGATATGAACATTCTTAATGAGTTTCTCTTGCTCACACGCGATCCCTTTTCAGCCACTACCATTCTTCAGCTCTAGACGCGATAGTTCGCTGCATAGGCATTACACTTACAGTGTAGATCTCCTGTCTGCCCTCCTCCGGTGTGGCTGTTCCTGTCTCGGACGTAAATCTAGTAAAGAAGAATTCGGAAGCGCTCAAACAGGTATCTAGGGACGGGCGTCCATTGGATGAGATCCTGCTTTTACTTTTGGAGATATATGTAGACTCGGAAATAATCTATTTGTTCCTCAACGGATGTTTTTGTCTCCATCACGCAGATCAACCCGACATGTACCGGGCTCACCCCAGCTCACCCAGAGTAGCACCTTGTCCATATCTAAAAGCGGCTTGCTCCGGTGAGCGTTGACTGAGCTTTCCACGCAAATCATGTGTGATGAGCTGCCATCAGATGGGCTCATCAACTGTGGAAAATCGGAACAACAAAACTTCCCCAGACTCGGTTCCAAATGCCACGGTGTGTCCCTGTACCCACGATGCCGCAGGCTCATACCTCTCGGGTATAGCCTCTCCATGAGCCAAGCGTCGTGGCTCCCGGCAGATGAGGTGGATGAGCAGCTTGTGGGCAGATTTCATCTGGCGGTTCTTCTCGAGCGATCACACAATGAGGAACAGAATCCTATCCCCTTTAAAGCAGTATTCGAAATGCAGATTAAGGCTGGCCTTACTCACGACTTCAGGCAGGGCCTACGTCGTATGTTCAGGCTCCGCAAACCTGAGGACGACCCTGTCTACTTTGATCCATCAAGGGAACCCATTGCCCGCGGGCTTGCCGGAAATGGCCAGCAGCTGTTGGAAGAGATAGAGATAGATAATTTGGGGGCTTTGGCTGAAGGGAAAATGCTAAGCAAGCTGCTTGTTGCTGCTGGAGGATCCTTGTCTGGACTGGAGCCAATGGCGCCTGTGTAGGAGCTTGAAGCTCAGAAGGAACTTTCGCTTAGATAGAAGAAGACCGTGTTTCTTTTTCCCCCGACTCTACGTCGGCTTCATTGTTGGGCTCATGAGCAAATCGAGCCAAGAGGCAAGCCAGAAAGAAGGACGTTTAGAGGTAATCATGTACTCGTGATCTATTACGTTGAGTTGATGAGGCTCTCTAATTTTTATAGAAAGGGGCTGGATTCCTATTGATGTCGTCTTAGATATACATCATCAGACAGAATGCAAATCGTGTTCGTTGCATTCTCCCTCCCTCTTATTCCTCCCTTACAAAGACGACTCCAGAAATTCAAAGATGGAATCGTATGCAGACTTGAACGAATAGCCCAAGTTTAAGCCGTGGCCAGCCTTGGGAACGACAACCGAGCTGAAGGTGGCGTTGGAGAAGAAGGGCTCGGAGGCGGCAATGAGGTTGGGAAACGCTCCCTGAATGGTGGCGGTGTCGGAGCAGTTGCCGCCGCAGAAGGGAACGTCGCGTTCTAAAAGATTAAGTTGTGTCAGTAATCTCTGTGGCAGCTTACAGTTGCGGCTCGTCGAGCTGGGGTTCCTTTACCTCCTGTGATGATGAGGACTTTTCCGCTAAAGGCATTGATGTCGCCGCTGCCAGTGCCAATGGTGAGGACCTCGCCGGGTGTAGTTGGCTGGCCGTGCGCAGTGGCATAGGAGAGCATCTTGGGATCGAAGTCGTCGGGGGCGAAGAATTGGATGTTGATGCCAATGGAAGACGGCACGCCCACATAGCCAGCAGGATACGAACCCGCTACCGAAGGTATTTCCTTAACAGGCTTAAAGTTCCCGCCGAGAGCGAAGCCGGCGAGGAAGTTTGGGTTCTGGCTGAAGCTGGTGAGGACGGCGGCGTCGCTAAAGTCGGGGTTCTGGTTGATGAAGCTGTACGTCATGGCCGAGCCAAAGGAGTGGCCGACGTGGACGAACTTGGAAAACTTGGCGCCGATGCCCTTGACGGAGCCGCTGCGGAGGAGCTTGGAGAGCTCGGCGAGGGCGGCGACCTCGAGGTACTGCTGGATCTCGTTGACGGGGTCGCCCTTGGAGGAGTGGCCGACGCCGAGACGGTCCCAGGTGAAGGTTGAGTAGCCGTGCTGGTCGACGGCCTGGGCGACGTAGCTGTATTCGTGGTTGTTGAAGGGGGAGTCCCAGTAGCTGCGGTCGAAGGCGATGCCGTGGGTGAGGATCTGGAGGGTTGTGCCTGGGCCGTGGTCGGGCTGGCAGTAGGTGGCGGCGATGTTGTAGTGGCCGCTGATGGTGTCATACTGTGACTTGTTAGCACCTTTGATGGGCTTGTGTCTCTGTGGGCGGGCGGGTTATCATACTCCTGTTAGGTAGCTGTCGGTGAGGTTGAAGCCGGGGCGAACAACGTCGATGAAGAACTGGGTGACTTCAGTTTCAGTTACGGGGGCCGCGAGGCTGAAGACGGCGCTGCGGGAGGAGATGGAGATGGGGATGGTGAGATCGTGGCATTTCCGCGCTGCGACGGCCGTGGCCAGAGCCAGGAGGGCTGCTGATGTCAACATGATGTCCTTTGAGTCGTTTCAAGGGTAAGAAAAGGGTGATCCTAGACTCGTTGAGTAGTGATGTCGATGGATGGGATCTTACATTGTTTGGTTCTGGGGATGAATGGTGAGACTTATATATCCATCATGGCGGTGAAGTTGCCGTGAAGCTCTTACACTATCTTCCTATACGAAGGGGGCCATCTGATTCGGCTCGGCTCCAAATCATCGCCCGATGATTATGTGTTTGTTTCTCATCTTCTATGGACCTATGCTCTTGCGGTCCACATATGCAAGCCTCACGGGGAGCCATTGCCTTGGTTTGCTAGTTGTAGTTTAGTTTCCCGCTCACCACACCAGGAACCACGTGCGGAATCGTATACACTTGAGCCCATCCAGGGGCGAATCTCACCAAAATGGTTCTTTACACTTCTTGAAAATGGAATTCGCGGCGTTGAGCTTTTGAGGCCGGGCTAACCTGAGCTGTCCGTAAGAAGAAAGCTCCTGTCAGCAGAGCGGGATTCGCGAGGATCACCTCTATTCTCTTCGGCTTTCGGGCAACCGGGCTCAGGGTAAGATGTTGCAGGGCTTCTGGAAAGAAGTTGCCGGCAGTTTGAATGCTGAGGTTTATTCTACTTGTTGTTGCGCGTTTCCATCCGAGTTCGTCCGTCGCTTTCGGTTCCGCTTAATCGCCTTTTGATGCTGCCCGGACGCGGCCGTCGACTGTCCTCCGAAGTTTTAGGAGTTCTTCTCTTACATACATCGGAGGTGTAAGCCTCGGGCCGGCGCGGCTCGCCACTCGAAATTCCAAATTCGCAGAGGGGGCTCTAATAGAACACGAAGGATCCCGTCTTTGGAGCCTCGTTCAGCGTATTTGGAATTTCGAGTAAGCCTCATAGTGGTGAGTGCTTACTAGTACCTTTGCCGCTTGCTAAACCATTTGGGAGCAGCAACCAACAGGTTTACAACTTTTGATGTTTTCTTGTGCGTAGATCCGCTCGGAAGGATCCGATCCCAGTGCATCCCTTTGCCCGAGTTTGCTTTGGCTCTTCCATCTCAAATTGAAGACGGGATTTATAGCTCTTAAACACGGGGCGAAGGGATTCGAGGTGTTGAGCATGGATGCAAACCGGGGGGACGCGGCAGTTGCAAGTCTTTGACCTGATTGGCTACGGCGCCATGCCGAGACGGAGAAACAAAAGAGCTGCAATGGTGTCCTGGCAGCGATTTGTCGTATTGTGCGGAGTTTTGCACCAATAATGATATATTCACAATCCTTCACGGATGAAAGTCTCCTATAAACGTTTGCGAAAGTTGTTACGTGTTTTGCATAGTACATATCTACTCTTTGTCCCGAACTTGCGGAACGGTGTGTGGGCTTTCAGGCACACAGCCATCGAGCCTCGTCCCCATCAACGTCTCTGGGGCGTATTCGATTGCGTTAACATCAAGATCCCGACGTAACCCTTTCCCACGGCGTCCCCAAGCCACAGACGGTTGGCGCCGGAGGCCTTAGCTGTTCATGGGTTCACGAGAAGTCGTCATGTCCTTGATCAGACTTACCTTGCCCTGAGCTGAAATCAGGTTGGTGGCAGTTAAATGTGCCCGTCATTGTTGGTCAGCTAGCGCGCCGAGCTCCTGAAAGGGTGGTTCATCACATGTTGGCAGCCACTTCGTCATTGGAGGTGTTGATGGCATCAGCTTTTTGCTGGAAAAGTGTTGCGTAAGCGCTGGAAGAAGTGAGAAGGGTTCTGATGCGGTTTCTCCAGACATTGAGTTAACGATATTTCTTGGCTTTTGAGAACAGTCAAACGGTGAAGACTAGCTAGGCGGGACAATACTACCTCACGCACGAGCGTAATACCACCTAGACAAGAGCCGATGTTGCATCTGTCTTCGTACCCTGTAGTTTGTGGATTTATGCTTAATGTTTCCATCCAATGGCTACTTACCTGAAAGTGCAGCAGCCGTATGTTGACGACCTCCGGTTACAACTCAAGTTTGAAAGGCTCGCCTTTAATCTCCCAACTTGTGATAGCATGGCGAGCGACAAATCCCAGCCGCATCAACACCCTCTGGCGAAGGTCTTCTAAACCCAGCACCTTGCTGTGTGCACTGAAACTATCACTATAAAGTCAGGCAGTTGCAAGTTCCTGACCCATGTCCCCTCTTTCATAACACCCTACGCACGGAATCATTGTGTTTCAGATATACTGGGAAGAGCATTATTGAACATGGGCTTACATCAAATTTGTAAGAGTGATGATATAATGTTGTTCCGCGAAGATGGCTGTGTATAAGATGAAATCTTGAACGCAGAGGAGGATGATCATTGAATCCAGCTTTTTCGCATCGGGGACGCAGACTGATAACTTGACTGATGGTATGTTTATAACATTGACTGGCTGTTTGTCTTATCAATACGCCTACCCCCCAAACCATATACTTCAACTCTGCTCTTCGTTTCCCCTCGTAGTTATGCAACTTCATTCCAACCATCTACTTCCGTTCCAACATGGCATTTCTACCTCTACCAGCAGAAGCCCTCATGAAAGGATGATTCCAAGCGTATCCAAAGAACAAAACCAATAACCTCAACAATCTCCCAGCGAGAAAAGCAATACAGCGGGAGTCTCCCACCCGGAGAAGAACTAAATGCCTCTTACTACATACCACTTGGATCCAGGAACACAGTCAACTACCCTACGAACGTTGACAATTTGGCACTTTTATTGTACAACCAGCCTCGGGGCAAAAATATTACGAATATGAAAACCAAGAGCGTATACACGCAACGGACTATAGCAGTATAAAAGCCGATGCTCAAGACAGCCTACGCCCGCACGGCCAAGTCAAAGAAAATAGAAATGAAAGTAAATATCGATAAATAGAAACAAGCCAGGACGGGAAGCATTAAATACTCTAACACGACGTGACACATCTCCTCAACCCCCCCAGGGTCACAAAGACAAGCAGTGCAAAATCAAGGTATCACAAACCGGTCTATTTCAACGCCACAGCAGAAAACGTGCGAAAAGCTCAACTCCATAGAAACATTAGTCTACCGTTCTGATCGGACAAAAGACAGTGCTATAGACATCCCGCCGAAGCCCAGGACGAATTCCGCCACATTCGCCTCGATTCGTTCAAGTCTTCAAGCTCACATAGTACCCCCATAGTACTACCTACCTACATACACTTAGATTAAAATTCCATTTGAGTAACACGGACCATTGTCTGAGAGCACCCCGATTCCCGTCATGTGTGACCGCAACACCGCCCTGAAGCGCATTCCTGTGGCAAGACCCGACGTCTCAAACCCCAGTTACACGACCAGACTCCGAATTAGCCTGCGTGAAATGGAGCTCGAGCAAAGATCTGGAGGCGCTTTCGGAAGATTTCTACTACTCTCCTCTGGCACGACGTGATGGTAATCACGGACAGTAGAAGTCGATATGGTAGGAAAGAAGTGTAATATATATTGTGAACGCACTCTGGCGACAGTAAAACCGGACTACTGAAAACCCAAGCTGATAACATCATTAGCATCTAAGCGAAAAGAACATATCGTCACCCCTCCCGCGCGGGGACGCAAACTGGCGTCGTGTATCTGCTGGTACACCACTCGCTATGCCGGTTGTAGAATACAATCTATCCCAATCCCAGGTATCCCATCCATCCTGAAACAGAAAATACAAAACGCCGAAAGAGAGAACATCATGCCAGATTTGTGTGATGGACCAGTCTGAGGTGAGGCTCTCTCACCTGTCCAGTTCCCAAATCCCGGCGGAGCACGGGGGGATTCCGAGCAGACCTGCTACAAGTCGATCAACCCAGCATGATCCAAGTCTCTGACGAGTTGTTTGCATTCTCCACAATCTCTGTTTGGGATGGCACGTCATCGTCAAGCTCGTGATCGGTAAAGCAGTCGTAGTCAGAGAGACTGTCGTCGTGCATCAGATCTGGGAGCTGAGACGTCTCAACGTCGAAGGAGGGGTTTGATGAGTTCTGTCCGTAGACGACACGAAGGGGAGGGAAGGCCTCGCCAGCCGCTGAATCATCAGCAGATGATCGACCTGCCGAGTTCTTCGCCGAGGCGCTGCAGTCACCGAGATCGGTGTAAGAGAGGACGAGAGCAGGCTTGGCCTTCTTGGCTTTGCGGCCGCGCTTCGCAGGGCGAATGGTATACACGGGCTCCTCGTGCTGGATGCTGTTGAGGTTGAAGGCTTCCTCAGGACGCTGCTCATCACCATCATACAGCAGGCCCTGGTGGTACAGCTCAGCGATCTGCGCGTCCTCACTCTCGGGGGAAGCCCGTGTCTGAACCTTGCCCTTGGCGGTGCTCGCAACACGGAAAGCATCCTCCCGTTCGAAGCTGGGCCGCCTCACAAGTCGGGAGGTATCACTGGGGAGCGCAATGGCACTGCGAGCAAGCTCCCGGCCCTCCTCCTCTTCGTTACGAGGGGACAGCCTGGGGGCGCGGGTTCCACGCTTGCGCGGCTCCCACGGCGCGGCGATGACGGCGAAAAGATCCCGCTCAATGTGCGCTCGGAGAGGACGGGGTTCCTCGGAGGAGCCTCCGTCCTTTCGCCGGGCCTGCCAGGCACCGGAGATGCAAGGGTAGCTCGGCTGGTGTTGGTAGGAGAACTGCTGGTAGATGACCTGGTTCTTAGACTCTATCAAGCGCTTCGCTGTAGACCTGACAAGGTAGTTGGTGCTACGGCGCCGGAGGACTGCTCGCTTGGATTGGGCATGGCGGCGCTTGACGGCAGGGGATGAAAGGGCGCTGCGGTCGATGACATCCATGATGGCTTGTATAGGTATACGGCTGATGTAGATGGGAGCTGGGGAGAGACGCTTCGCAGCTGATCGGATGGTACTAGAAGATGGTCGAAGACGAAGATATCGAAGATGATGATTGGTATAGGGCGTGAGAAGAGGTGAGGAACTGTGGAAAGGGGGGACATGTCAGTCGAGATGAGAGAGAGACTAATACGGTTCCAGGCAGGCGGATCGCTTACCAGGGGAGCGTGTCGAGCACGAAGGGGTCCTCCTGCTCGGATGCTGGTCGGTAGAAGCAGCAGGACAAGTAGGTACGGAGTCGCGTAGGTCAACCGACAGCCGATAAGGCAGTGACGCGGTGATGGACTGAGTAGTCACAGAAGGCGCAATCAAAGGTATAAGACGCGCCAAAGGAAGATGGCCTTGTTGCGATAGAAGCTCCGAGGGTGAGAAGCATCGAGAGACGCTGGCGCGCACCCCCCGGCCCAGCAGAGATCTTATATCAGTCCGAGGGCATCTTGTTTGCCTGCGCTCGGGGTCCGACTGGCACAATGGCGTGCTGATTGGGCGCGGCGGGAGTCATCTGGCCGGTTGCTGGACGAGCGCATGACGTGACTCACTCAAACGGTCTAATCCAAGGAGTGGCCGGGCTGGTGGCGCAGTTTGGGGTCAAAGAGCCTTGGGGGCCCGGCTGGTCTCGGGAAAAGGGGCTGTTGGCTGGAAGCGGAAGAGCGGAGGGCTGACGGGCAAGGACGAGGCGATAACGAGGTGCACAGTGCCTGGAGTTGTGCGTCTGTCCCTGTGGCTGGTTATGCCCAGATAGCAGGTGAAAGAAGGTGTGGGCGACGATGGAGAGGTGTGTCACCGGTAAGAGGACGGGGGTTGGGGGGGCAGAATAGGAGGCAGACGGCCGGAAAGGGAAAGCGGCGTGAGGGCCTGCATGCATGGGCAGTGCGGAGTACAGGGACAAGGAGACGGGGGTGGACACGGTACGGCCAGGTACCAGCAGCTGTCCCACGTCATATCCGTCAGAGGTATTGGTACTCGTGAAGAGCAGCAGGAGATGTGGTGACCAGGTACTGCTACTTGCTGTCGACAGCGCGCAGGTACCGCATCGATGAAGCTCAAGTTCCCAGATTGCAGCAGCTCCTGTACCTGTAATGGACAATGCCAGTGTCGTCATTACCGAACCAAGGAATTACACGTGTAATGCACGCTTCCTCGTCTTCGCTCATCTCCCGGACGTTGGACAGGCGCTTACCAGTTTGCTCTAGGCATGCAAACCTGCTTCATCATCACTGTCAGTCTGACTCCATACCTGCTTCACTGAGAAGTAAGAATAATGTTGCTTGTTTCATTATCTCTCCAAGCGCCGGACAGGTCATGGGTACAGTACGAGCTACAAGGACAGCCGCAAGCCCCGGCATCCTCAACTGCTTCCCCGGAGCCTAAAATGGCCCGGATGCGTTGGCCGACGCAGGACGCCTCACATGGGGGGACCAGCAGCCGCTTATCAGTCGCTTATTACTACAGCCATGTGTGTACAGTCGTAGTGGCCCCCTTGGTTATCTGTGGCTTGAAAGGCCTTTTTTTTGTTTGTTTGGGGACGGCTATCAAAGGGGGCCTCTAGGCTGCCGTCACCTAGGACAGTCATCCAGAGCCACGGGACCAGGCGCTCCAGCTCGATCCCGAGGCTCTGCGCCAAACCGCCTGCCATGTGAATACGGAGGGAGATGAATATCCAAAGAGTCTGATACTATTAGCAAATCGCTACTGAACGACAGCTTCACTGTGGGGAACTGGGGAAGATATCAAAGGGGGCTCGAGACCGCTTTTTGACTACATGCGCTCCGTACAGTCCAGTGCGAACTACTATTAGTGGACTTGTAAACAAGTGGCCTTCTCTACGCCAATCATGCAAGCACATTCGACAAAGACGGAGGGCCGGTATGTGATTTGAATCCGGGGCAGACCGGAACCGAGGAGATGTCGACTGCAGGACTACCATGTCTGATGTGATAGCATTCTGCAGAGCTGCAGAGTGCAGAGCACAGTACAGTCGATATGGCCGCGGCGGATGGAATACTGTATACGAGCTGCGGCTTCGTATTCTTATTTACATTGGGCTCTTGTTTGTTAGATCGGGCTTGTCTCAAGGAATGGACGGTGATGATAGTGGTAAATTAGATGTCTACAAACTTGTCCAACAGAGGGCATCAACATCAAGCAGTGTGCCATCCATCAGGTAGGGCGCGAAAAGTAAAGTGCATGCATGTTCGTCTTGTCCATTCACAATCCGCCTGCGAGCCATCAAGGCAAGGTAGCATTGCTTCGTGGCTGATGAGGCATACCGGCCTTTTTGTTTCGTTGCGCCTAGCATACAATACGAGCAATAAACAACAGGCAGAGATAGAACGTGAGTCGTGACACATAAGAATCGATACAGACACCAATCATACACGCTCCATCACTCCAGCTTCACGTTCATGGCCGCCAGATACGCCTTGACGTCCGTCATCCTCATCCCCCGCACAAAGTTGACCGTCTTGTCCTGGTCCCAGGCCACCCCCCTGCCCTGCGCAAAGGTATCCCTGTACTTGACATAGTTGTTGTTCGGCTCCTCGATCATCTGCGTGGCCAGCTCCTCCACGTCCCAGAGTTCGCGGTAAAACTTGGTGCCAAAGCGCTCGTCGACCAGGTCGGCCACCTGCCGGTACGTGAGGGTGTCGCCGGCGACGAAGACGCACTGGTTCTTGAGGCCCTGGGGGTCCAGCACCAGCTCGGCCGTGGCCCGGCCAATGTCCGCGGGCGTCGTCAGCGTGATGCGGTTGTCCCACGAGCCGAGGGCGCGCACCGTCTTGGAGCGGAGGTCGACGACGCCGAACTCGGGCACGAAGAGGAAGCTCATGAAGAGGCCCGTCGACACGATGAGCCATTCCGTGGCGTCCTGGCCCCGCAACATCGCGCGCACGCGCAGCTGCTCGTCGAACAGGTCCTGCGAGCTGCCCGGGCCGATGGCGTCGTAGTCCATGCCGAACTGCCAGGGGAAGTAGCGCGGCGTCTTTGCCTCGAGCGCGGCCTCGCACAGCTTGGTCTGCGTGCCCGCCGGCAGGCCCATGCCGTTGCACGAGACGACGGTGTCGTACTTTGCGAAGACGGCGGCGAGCTCCGGCACCGACGCCTGCACCACGTCGGCCGCCTCGAAGCGCACGCCGAGGGCCCTGATCTGCTGCACCAGCTTCTTCTTATCGGGCGCGGCGGAGTCGAGCGAGGCCTGGCGCATCAGCACCGTGAGGCGGGCGCGGTTGCGCTTGGGGTGGAGGGCCAGCGCCTCCAGCACGGCGAGGCCCAGCTCGCCGGCGCCCAGGACGAGGATGTTGGGAGGCATTGTCTTGCCTTGCCGGAGGAGGTTGAGTTGCTTGACTTGGCGGTTGAGGGCTTGCAGATTGGCCTCGGTGAGCTGCTGAGGCCCGGCGCTCTGATCGCCGTCCATGGGGCCCTTATATATGACTTCTGACCCGTGTGGCAACTCTCGAGCGTTCATTCACAACCTCCAAGCCGGTCTCCCCGTAATAGCAGAGCTTTCTCGTCTAGGCCATCCGATGGCATGATCCGACGAGGCTGCCTTGGTCCATCATTGGCCGGCTGAGAAAAGTCCCGAAGCCATGGGCAGTTCTTGCTGCATGCTTCGTACTTGCTTCAGGCATGGCCGCTCTTGGCAGTCGGTTCCTGGCAAATGGTCCGTCCAACTTACCCGGCATTCGACGCAGATAATCAACCAAGATCCATCGTATTCTTCGCAAAAACTTGTACTTCGTAATATCGTTGACACAAGCCCACAACTCCTCTCTTCACTGTCCCAGTTTAGCTTGAGCAGTTGGTTGCAAAGTGCCTGCCAAGCCGTGCTCCAAACGGATTTAAGCTACATGTGCCGTTTGGCGAAGAGGGGCCGGGTCGTGTTAGTGAGGTGTAGACAGTGAGACTGGGCTGGCTAACGGCTACGAGATTCAGTTGACGATTGGATCTCACGGAGATTATTTGCTAGGCACCAAAAGGTTAAAATAAATGTTGACAGCTGCCAACACGAACCTAGTAGTTGAATCTGAAAAGACTGAAGATTCTAGACCCTAACTAACATCATCCCCCCCTGAATATCCCCTCTCTAGGTAACTGCCTACAAGGTGATACACGTATTCCTTTCCAAAGCCGAACAAGCCAAAATAAATCATCAATTAATTATCGTTGACCCTTGAGAGAGCAGAGTTTTTTTTCTCATATCAAGTTGATCCTCTTGGTGACATTTCAATCGTGTACTGACCGAACCGCGCACTGAACTGCTTCCATTGGATATCATGGTGGCAAACAACATCCACTGTAGCTGACACATAACGAACTTAGACGGTCGTGTTCTTGTTGGCAAATCCGACAACCTTGTTGCCCATGTCAAAGACGACAAACTGAGCCTTGATGGCAATGTCGCCGATGACAGCAAACGGCGCGCCCGCGGACGACTGGATGCCGCCATAGCAGTACGTCGAGTTCATGCGGCCGTAGTTGATGTAGGAGCCGGGCACGATGCCGCGATAGTTGCCCAGGCCAAAGGCAAAGTCGGGCAGCTTGGCCGCGCAGGGCACCAGCTGCATGCCGACGCTGTTGCTGAAGATGGAGCCGTTGACCTGGGCGTAGTAGGCGTTGACGATGTCATCGGGCACCAGCAGGAGCGTGGTGCCCGTGTCGACGATGCCGTTCCACACGCGGGCGACGTAGTTTGTGTCGTTGCTGCCGACGCGGTACCCGCTGACGGAGATCTCCCACAGCGGGGACTGGGGGTTCATGGCGGCGTACTGGATGGCGCCCGTGTACTCGGAGCCGTTGATGTAGCCGAAGTTGTAGTTGCCCGGCTTGCCCTTCTTGAGGTTGGCCGTGAAGACCGGCCTGACGAGCTGGTTCTTGATGTTCTCCAGGTACGTCGTCTGCCTCTGCGGGCGGACCGTGTTGGCGGTGCTGCTGGCGGCGCCCAGGATGCCGGACGAGAAGGAGTCCTCGCTGAGCTCGTTGGAGACGTTGACGGCCGACTCGACGGCCTGCTGGTTGAAGAAGGTGTTGCCGATCTGCACGCGGTCCTTGTACACGATGCCCATGGCGCTGGAGCCGTCGCCGTACCGGATGACCCACGACTGGCCTGCCTGGCGGATGCTGGTGGTGGACGCGGAGGAGTTGTAGCGCGCCTGGCCCTGGATGAGGGGCGGGTATGTGTCGGTTGAGAGGACCCAGCTACGATTTCGTGTCAGATGGAGATCTTCTTCTTTCTATCTCTCTCTCTCACTGTGTGGACACCAGATGCTCAAACTTACAGATCGGACGAGCCCGTGTCCAAGTTCAGGGGCAGGGTCTGAGGCGGGGTGCCGATTTTGACCGGCAGCACATATTCCACATCAGCTCCCGGAGGAGGAGAGGCAACCGCAGTGCCAGTCTGGTTGCCTGTTTTCTTCATCAGCACTTGAATTCTATTTTCCCCCCCATGACACGGTCATGGTCGAGAGAGGGCGGGAAACATACCAGCCTGGAGAAACTTGCTGAACTTGCGGTTCAACTCTGGGTTGGTCTTGATGGCTTCCTTGACGTTTTCCGGCAGGCTGGGGCTGTACTTTGCTAGAGCCGAGATGTAGGCGGCCGGGATATCGCCCTTGTAACGCTCATTCAGGATCTGGGTGATGGAGAACGTCTGGCCTTGCTCGGCCGACTGGACTTCATCTGCCCTTGGCTGGACCACTCCGGCCGAGGCCGAGTTGGCTATACACGCAAGGGTGAGGGCCGCTGCGTGGAACTTCATGATGGCGGATTATGGCAACCCGGCTTTTACAGCAGCAGAAAAGGGGAAATGTCAAAAAGAGGTCAAATTCCGGTGGATCTCTGGCTCCTTTTATATCCGAAAGACGAGAGAAGAAACCCTTACTACTGGAAGGGAGAAAGCTGGACATTCACGACCTCCGCGTATGTTATATACTCCTGGCATTCCGGCATGGAACGGCACCCTGCCCTTTGGATGCCAAGCACCGATTCTGGCAGTTCTACAGCATGGTAGGGGCCGAACTTCTGCTGCCGACTGATCATTGCCCTATAGAGATGTAGAATATCCTCGTGATGGCTGCCCAAGCCATTCAGGAATGTGATTTGAGGAATGAGCATCGGAAGAGTATATTGCATCTCATAGCACATAGGATAAGCACGGCACGTCGTCCGCATGTTACGGTAAAGATGTTGTGGGAAGATGAGAGGGCTTATTTTCTGAGACACTCTTGTTTCCTTGGTGAAGATCGCCCAGGGATTGACCGAGACATTCATATATCAGCAGATATGCGCTGGCCGTGCCCTTTGGCCCCCTTGCTCTTGGCGGCACTGGTGACAGCCACATTTCAGCTCTGCAAATCCCTTTGGCACACCTGACGGTGCGTCGACTCTATGTGACGGCATTGATTCCTGGTTTTCTCATGCATGGCGTTGTATTTAGCATGAGTGCACACGAATACTACTGTCTGTCTCAGTGGAATCACATGGGTGATGCTCTCCTTGCTTGTTACTACCTCCGTGTTTCTTGCACGGAAAAGCCGTGTGTGAACCGGCATCTGGCGGCTTTAAGCTCTGAGTCAAAATAAGAATAAGATGACTCAGATGTTGTAAAGTTGAAGTGCGTCTGACTGGGGGAAATTCGACAAAAGCAGCAGATGCCTTTCTCTCTCCATCTTCACGGCATTGGGATAAGCTGGGCAGGGATAGATGTGAGACTTGCAACGATCCTTGATCAAGGCTGAAGCCTGAAGTGAAAAGAAGACGGAACTGATGACTGATGCTTGGTGTTTGTGCTGCGGAGTACCTGCGGCAGATGTACCTCTTACTCATCTGCCGCAGTCATTGGGTGACTCACTGAGGCGAGTTTACCCCAAATTGGCTGCAATACGTCAATTGCTTGCAGTAGGCAGTGACTTGAGGCAAAGTACCAGACCCCTCGTTTTTTTGCAGCAGAGGAACCGCCACCAAGACGGAAACATAAAATTTTAGATAAGATAAAAAATCGATAGGCGGGCGATATTTCGTCCACCTTCAAGGTGCACGGCTGCTGCCTTTTTTTCTCTTCATAGTTTGTGCCTGATTTTTACAAGAGACATCACGCTGACTGCTTGTTATACGGTGAATGAAAAGCAGAGAAAGACACTTGACGCATCAGAAACAAAAACAGGCGAAAAACCAATCACCTGCACCATGGACGCAGAAGGTGTCGCAGCCTCCCCGGCCGCGCCTCACCAGCCACCATACCAATACACCCCCAACCAGGGCTACGAGCAGACGGAACAGGTCCCCCGCGAATTGCTGAGGCAACAGGCCGATGGCCCGAGTACCCAGGGCGCCGCAGCCGCAGCGGACGATGAAGACGACGACGACGACTACCTCGAGGACATCTTCGACGATGACGCCGACGAGCAGGACGAGGAGGACTGGGCCGCGGGCGACGGCGACCTGACCAAGACGTACAACCGCCAGCGGCAGCTGACGGATGGCGGCGCGGCCCTCCCGCGGTCCAACCAGCAGAAGCCCAAGGCCAACACGCTCGCCAGCGTCGACGACCAGGTGTCCGCGCTGGCGAGGCACGCGGCCAAGATCCGGCTCGACAGCGGCAAGCACGATGGCGAGCGCGACAAGGACAAGGCGGACCGGGCGACCAGCGAGCAGGTGCTGGACCAGCGGACGCGCATGATTCTGCTGCAGTTGATCAACCGCGGGGTTGTGAGCGAGGTTCACGGCGCCATCAGCACCGGTAAGGAGGCCAATGTCTACGGTGCGGTGTCGTATGACGAGGAGACTGGCGCGGCGACGCAGAGGGCCATCAAGGTGTACAAGACGGCTATCTTGGTCTTCAAGGATCGTGAGCGGTACATTACTGGCGAGCACCGCTTCAAGGGCGGCTTCGACAAGGGCAACAACCGCAAGATGGTCAAGCTATGGGCCGAGAAGGAGTATCGCAACCTGAGGAGGATATACAGCGCAGGGATTCCCTGTCCGGAGCCCTTGGCTCTCAAGCTGCATGTGCTCGTCATGGGCTTCCTGGGCGACAAGAAGGGCTGGGCGTACCCGCGACTGCGTGACGCCAACCTCCAGGGCGACGACGTGGACCAGCAGTGGCAAGCGCTGTACGTGCAGCTGCTGGGCACGATGCGGCGCATGTACCAGGTGTGCAAGCTGGTGCACGCTGACCTGAGCGAGTACAACATCCTGTACCACGCTGGCAAGCTGTACATCATCGACGTGTCGCAGAGCGTGGAGCCCGACCACCCGCGGTCGCTCGAGTTCTTGCGCATGGACATCAAGAACGTGGGTGACTTCTTCCGGCGCAAGGGCGTCGACACGCTGCCGGACCGGGCGATTTTCAACTTCATCACGGTGCCCGAGGGGCCCGTGGAGGAGCCGGCGCTGGGAGAGGCGCTCGCGAAGCTGTATGAGACGAGGCGGGATGCTACCAACGAGGAGGAGGCTGCAGCCGAGGAGGTGGACACGGAGGTCTTCCGGAACCAGTACATTCCACAGACGCTGGAGCAGGTGTATGATGTTGAGAAGGACGTCAAGAGGCTTAATCTTGGCGAAGGCAATGACTTGGTGTATAGCAAGCTGCTTGCTGACCAGGTTGTTGCGCCCAAGGGAGAAGGAAAGGGAGAGGATGAGAGCGAAGATGAAGATGAGTCGGAAGACGAATCTGGAGAGGGAGCCTCGCTTGATGGTGAGGACGATGAGGAGGATGGTGATGAGAGTCGGTTCGACAAGGGACGGCCGAGGGGGCGCAAATTTGAGGATAAGGACGAGAAGAAGGTATGCTCCCCCTCTGCAATCTTGACGATGATGAGATTTAGACGGACTGACTTTTCTGGTTGCAGCAACACAAGTTGGCGGTTAAGGAGGCCAAGCGAGAGAAGAGGAAAGAAAAGATGCCGAAGCACATGAAGAAGAAGCTCGTGTCGAGCACTTCCCGGAAAACGAAGAAATAAACGGCTAACAAGAATATAAAAAAAAAAGGTAAATCTTGAATATAAAAAAAGCATCGTCATTTCTTTTTTCTCTTTCACATTCTGTTTCTTCTTCTGTGACGATATTTCCTATTCATGACCTGTGCGACGGGTATTACTAGTGTCGGTTGTGGATGGCAGGAGAACAACATTGAATGATGAGCACTGATTTCAGTCGCGGATTAACATGAAAAAGGTTTCCTTGAAATGGGCTGTGTTTAACATTTCCCTTCTATTGGGAGGGGCGATGGGTAACCGCCTTTTTGGGGGGCTTTTTTTGTGTTCTTTTTTTGCGATATGATTGCGAGGGGTTTTACAGACCTTCTTGCGAGATGAATTTTCAAAGAGAGCGCTGACGGTGTTTGTTTTCCTGGCCTTGGCCATGCCACTCGATGGGACTTATTGGACACGGTGAGTACTTGTGTTCATGGTGAAGATGTCTTGCCTGGAAGGACATTGATTATTATTCATTCTGCTCACTATCCATTCATCATCGTTATTAACCAATACTCCATCATCATCATTAACTGATACTTTCTACTTTTCTCCTCATAACGATATTCACAAAAGGTCAATTTTCCAAAAACACCCCTTTCAAAAGAAACTCCCCTTCACACGAAACACCCCATTCACAATTTGAAGCGAGACTAGAAATAGAATTGTTGATGGTTTTGACCCGGCGGAGGCTGCGCCAAAAAGTCAAAGTTGAAGGCGTCGACGCCGGTGTTCCATGGATCAGGGGGAGATTCTGACCAGGATGTTAGCTTTGCTTATGAATCTTGACAGAGGTGTTGTGTGACGAGTGCACTTACCGACCCAGATGGAATCGTAGAGCTCCATGGGCGCGTTGAACTGCATCGGATCGACAATGGGCGGGATGCCGTCCATGGCAATGTTGCTGTTCATTTGTTGAGGGTAGCTCATCCTGTTATCACGAATTAGCTCGGATGCTTGAGATGAAGAGAGAGACGTTTACGCACGCCGACATGTCCTGAATGGATGCCCCGTTCTGCATCTCGGCCATGGCCATTGCTGCATCTTCGCGGGCATCCGTCACCGGGGCTACAGTCCGGAACGACGGATTCGATATCATGTTGTTGTAACCCCCCTGGCCGTTCAGCCCCAGATGCAGCGGAGTCCGACTTCCACTGGCGACGGCGGACAGCTCGCCGTCTCTCTTGAGGCTCGACATGTTGACTTGGCCGTGGTCGTAGATGTTTTTGAGGGCCGTGAGTGCTCTCCACAGGGGGCCAGATAGCTCAATGTCCTTATCGGTCTTGGCGACGTGAGCCTCCGGGGAGCTAACCTCCTTGGCCGCCGTCGCAGAAAGAGCTTCGATCAGATCCCCCTGGAGCTGCCGGACCTCGGGGTCAGACTTGGTGTCGGAGAGGAGGCCAAGCAGCAGAGCCGACGACAAGCCGTGGTAGGTGAAAGCCCAGCTTCGCGTGGGAATTACCGAAAGCTGATGCATGGCGAGGAACATGGTCACCGTCTCGGTCAGATTGACCCTACATCTTTCTGACAGGGCCTTTTTCTGTGCCGGATCAAAGGGACAGTCCCTACGAAGCGCCGGTCGACACGCAACGGAAATGACAAAGGACGTATGGAGGCGGATGGCGAAAAATTGAAGACGGTCCAAGGCCGTCTTGCACTTTTCCTTGTCCTGCATATGGGGGGCGGCCCGCTTGCGGAGCTCCTCGACCGCCTCGCAGTTGTCATATATCTGCTGGTAGGTAGCGGAAGCCATGACATCGGGATTGAGTCGTCGCGAAATGATTTCGATGAGGTTGTACATCATTTCTAGATAAGTATAGTTGCCCGCGGATGCATCCCCATTGTGAGGAATCGGGCAGCTCGGAATGTTTGTCATTGAGCTCCTACGCACAATCTCCATCAGCATCATGCTCTGACAGCTTGATACTGCAGACTTACCGATCAAAAGACAGGGATGTCAAGGTATCGTGCCAGACACATGACCACCATAGCCTTCGCCGAATCATCTCCTTGGAGTTGGCGGCGGGGGGCGAAGTCTCGCGACTGCCGCGAATGGTTGGGCGATGGAGTCCGAGGGATTGGGCAAGGCGACATGTGAGGCCTGTGAGTGCCCATGATGCCTCGGCCTTCATGTCGTTGAGAAGGACAAAGTTGGTTAATAGCAGTGCTTGGATCGAGTCGAACGATGGCCTGATTACGGGTTGTTAGCACACATGTTGAGTTGAGATAGGCTGGGGGCGTCTCACCTCAATAGAAAGTTTGCCAGTCGGAGAAGATGGAAAGATATCTGAATGTACTTTTGCGAATCCTTGGTGCGGATATGATACGGAGACTCGTGATACTGGGAGCCGACTGCCAAGACTGCAAAGAGGATGGCGAGCCAAGACGCCGTGACAGGCTTCGAGGCCTTGCCGGATTTGGAGGCATTCCGGGAGCGATCCTCCAAGTAGATCATGAGATTGGACTCGAGCTCATCGATATCCAGTACAAAGCCCCAGAAGGGCTGTGGGATCTCTTTGTAAGTGCGGAAGAGCCTGTTGAGTGGAGTCAATATGAGATGAATCTGACGAGGCGCGACTTCACATACTTCATCACTTCTCTATCTGACGGTAGCTCGGTGGCAATATCACGGGCAAGCCTCTGGAGATGATTGGATGACATGAGAGGAAAGGGGGCAGATGTGTCAAGCCCCAGGATGGACCGCATGTCACGGCGAATGTCGGTGCCATCCTCCTTGTTGTTTGGTGACTGCTCTCCCAGCAGTGCCGGGATGCTGTTTTGTCCAACATAACGGTCAGGCACCGAGTCAGAGTCGTCCTGAGTCGTGGACAGTCCTACGAGACGTTACTTTTAAGAATGAGCGTGTACGAAGTGACATGGATTTACCAATTGCTGGCGGCCAGCTCTCCTGGCGCTCATCCTTGACATTGTCGTCTGCATCAGACGGGGAGCGAGCCCTCTTCCGGGTGTGAGCGGCAGCAGCATTGTTCTTGCTAGCCGAGGAGCGGTTGGGCTTGTAAGAGCACAGCTGAGGGTGCTCTCGCTTGACGCAGTTCTCGCACGGCTGCTGGTTGTCACACTTGACCTTGCGCTGGCGGCATGGCCAGCAAGCGGTCCCTGTGTTGGTTGCATTAGTCTCGCGGCGCTGGATGTGATGAAGCCTCGGGATAACTAGGGAGTGGTGGCATCTGGTAGTACCACCAGCAGCTTACAGCCGCCATGGCCACCGACACATATCAGACGAGTCCGGCTTACCGTATCGAACCTTGCGGTGCGAGTGGATGATGCGACTGGCCTCCTCCGGCGTCAGATCGTCGACCGGCACCTGGTCGTCGGTGTCATGGTCGACCATGATTGGATTCGATGCAACAGCCTCAGCGCCTCGGATGATTCCAACTGCATGCGGTGGAGACGAGCGTCCAATTACCAGCAGGTGAGGTGAGTTGCCTCGAGTTTCTCAGCTTCATCAACGCCGAACTCCGAGCATCTCCATGAAGCGTGAGATGGTGGAGGAGCCGGAAGTGCCTGGGACTTGCGAGGCGGATCAACTGGCGGACCGGCGGCGAGGAGCTGGGCAAAGGAGAGTGACGCGACGCCAAGGTGCACGTGACCCGGCAGCCCCCTGTGACAGCACACGTGCTTTTTGTGGTCCTGCTCCCTCTTGCTGACAGCTCGGCGAAATTTCCCCGCAATTTGCGGGAGAGGCACAGTTTAGCCTTGGCCCGCATCCACCTTCAAGGCAAAGGGACAGGCTTGTTGCAACTCAAGTCTCACTTTAGGACCGATCGAGCTGGTGGGTTCCGAGATCTGCTACGACGAGCGCGAGCATCGCTGGCCTCAGTCAGCTCGGGCAGCCGGAGAGCCTCAGAGAGGCCCAGAGAGGCCCAATAGAGGCCCAATAGAGGCCCAGAGAGGCTACAGAGGCTGGCAGATGTCTCGTGGGCATGAGCGGTCGAGCCTGGAGCTGGACCGCATCATCAGCCGCCTCGACGACAACTTTGCGTTACAGTTGCGCAAACCCGGTTACCGTGACCGGCAGCTCAGCGACGACGAGGCGCGCGATGAGCAGAGGCGCGTGGACGACATCCACCACAGGATACGGCTGTTGCATTACGGAGGAGACGACCGGCTAGCTGCATGTCTGGGCCGCTTTGAGCAACAAGGCCGCATCATCCTGGCCGATGCTGCGTCATGCAGCACCACCCGGCATCTATCTGCGGCCATTCGGGCTCAGCTCCAGGAGCGCCTGCTCCGGATCCTTTGCGATGTCGATGGCGTGGAGTCGAGGCAGTGGAGCAAGAGAGTGTCCCAGGACATAGCAGAATACTCGGCAAAGCGCGCTAGGGGCCGATTATCCCACAGCTACGAACACCATGATGCAGTCGATGCTCTTCCGGTCCGGTCGAGGGACTCCTTCAGGGCACCCGGTGTACCGATGACTCCAGAGGGTCGCTCTCTGTATGCAGGGGACGACCCTCCGCCGCCGCCGGCCCCTCGGGATCCACGCTACGATAGGTCGATTGTCTCAAGTCGAACGTCTTTTCGGTCTGAAGTCTTTTCTCAGAGGCAAACTCAGGATGAATCCTTCATCACCCAGACGACTGTCGACTCCAGCTACCCAGACAAGACCTATGACTACCCATTGTCTCAACAAACCACAGTCGAATCCTTCTCACACTCTTTCAACGTGGGTCAAAGTCGAGACAGTCTTCTCCCAATCGAACACACTCTCCCTCGGAGACCTAACAAGCCTCATGAGAAGCGAGAGCATGAGTCTTCGCGGTCCCAAAGTTTCATTGACAGCAATGGCTGTACGCCCGAGACAATTGAAGATAGACTTGCTAATATCTGGCGTAAGCATGTGGACTGCTAATGAAATCGTGCTTTATTGCTAACAAGGCGTGTCATAGCGAAATTGCCGCATCCTGAATTAACACAGGCACCATTAGCTGTTATATGGGAGATAACGCGAGCTGCTCTTCACTGCAAAGTCTCGCTGGAGCAATTCGACCTCTTGTATGAGCCGAATGATAGCTGGCACGATCAGAGCCGCCTGAGAGAGACCATTTCAAGGCATCCATTATTCCGTGGCAAAAGCTTACCACCAGCCAGCGACTCTGTGGCATGGAAAACAGCACTGGGTGACTTTCAGACCAAGGTCAAGACGGCCACGCTTTCAGCCGAACTAGTCTACAATCAAGACGGTGGGCCGTTGTACAGTCTTCGCCTGCAGCCCTTGAAGCTTGAGCTGGGCCATCGGCTGGCCCGCCGGTTTGGTGCTGATCGCTTTCTGGAGATTCTTATTCCATCGCCATCGTCATCATCAGATGAGGACCCCAAGGTGCTCAAAGAAGCGAAGAGCCTCGAAAAAATTGTAGACTGGCTGACAAAGTCACGGCATTATTTTCTTGGGCGGTCCTGGAAGCCATTCTACGTGCGCGGCGTGAAGGGCAAGAAGCTTTCGGGCACAACTCGTAGCACCCCGCAGGACAGGGTCTACCTCTTTGCTTGCGACGGCAACAACTTCCGCAGCCCTTCTGTAGCCGATAGCATCCCGCCGTTGGAGGAGGCCTTGGAGACCAAGAGGCGCACCAAGATGAAGCTTAGCGGCCTGCTGAGATGGGCTATTGGCATCGACAACGAGCGTAATTCCCAGCAGCCCATTACCAAGCTCTTCTCTCGTTTAGCATTAAGTAAGTCACGATATCCCAAGTTCCATTATGAGATCAGCCGCTCATGTGTATCACCAGGCCTTAGCCGAACTTGGCCAACCGTTGAACTTGAAAAAGAGCAGATTCGGGTCCAGCGCAAAGACCTTGGGCGTGAGAAGGTGATGAACGACGGAATTGGCCGCATATCACCGAGCCTGGCGAAGAAAGTCGCCGATGCTCTTGGGCTATCCGACTGTCCCAGTTGCTTTCAAGGTCGACTCGGGAGCGCAAAGGGCATGTGGTTGATTGATATGGAAAGTGACGATGAGCGGGACTGGGTTGAAATATACCCGTCGCAGACGAAATGGGAATGCGACTTCGACGACCCTCGTCACCGAACACTCGAAATACGAAATTGGCCATCAGAGCTGAGGTCGGCCTCTCTCAACCAGCAATTCATACCCGTGCTAGAAGCCAACTCGCCGGAGCCCGACGCAATGCGTCGCGTGATGGCTGAGCATCTAGAGAGAGCCCTGCGCGCCGACCTTGGTGAGCAAGCAGCCGCCATGGAGGAGCCTATGAGTCTCCGCCTATGGATACACCAATCTGGGCCCTCAAAGAATGACCGAATGCTCGATGGGTCAGCAGAGTTTCTGGCTGGCCTTCCCAATAGTAATGCGGACAAGGTCGCCTTTCTGCTTGATTCAGGGTTCGACCAGAGGAGGATGCAATTCCTCAAGGACATTGTTTGGGACATGTGCACGAAGAAGGCTGATGTTCTCAAAACCAAGATGAACATTACCATACCATGCTCGGCCTACATCTACATGGCTGCAGACTTCACGTCGACTCTCGAAGAAGACGAGGTGCACCTTTCGTTTTCTACAAAGTTCCAAGCTGAAGGATTCTCCGACACGCTGCTCGAGGGCATGGATATCTTGGTGGCAAGAGCCCCAGCCCATCTACCCAGCGATATCCAGAGGGTGAAAGTGGTGTCACGGCCAGAGCTTCGAAAGCTCAAGGATGTCATCATCTTCTCTACCAAAGGCAGAGTTCCCCTTGCTGATAAGCTATCCGGCGGCGACTACGACGGCGACATAGCGTGGGTGTGCTGGGACCAGAACATTGTCCAGAATTTCAGCAACTCTGACGTGCCTGAGCCGTTAGACTTGATCCAGAGAGGATATATGCGCAAGATGGGCACACAATTCAAGAGTATCCTGGACGAGGTCGAAAGCAACAACTACTACAAGTATAGGAATAACAGATTCGAGCATCTGGAGGATGCTTGTGTCGAGTTTATATCCAGAGCATTTTTGTTCAACCTACAGCCTTCGTTTCTTGGTCGGTGTACGAAATACAAGGAAAAGCTGTGTTACGCACATAATTCGGTTAAAGATAGGGCCGCTATACATTTGAGCCAGTTGCTCGGCTACTTGGTTGACCAGAGCAAGCAGGGCATTGAGTTTACTCAGGACGACTGGCACCGTTTCCTCACGGTGCATCTTGGAAAGAAGTCGACCTTTTTGAACGACCCTGAATATGCAAAAGAAAAGGGCTCGCGACTACCCGACAAGCAAGGGCGACTGCATATTCTCGATTACTTGCGATTTGACGTTGCCGAAAAGGTCATCAAGGACGTCTTGACCAGCTTCAGCAACTCCATAAACGGGAATGATGTGAAGGCACAGACTTACGATTCGGAGCTCACGAAGCTCAACAATATCTACGACGAGCAGGCGAACAATTCTCACGGCTGCAGACAGTTGCTGACATATCTTCGGCGCAGTATCGCTGCGCTCAAGGATGAATGGAGTGTGACCATGCGTGATGCAATCGAAAACTCAACGTTTGCGAACAAGGCCGAAGCCATATACCAGAAATGGCTGGATATACAGCCGCCGCCTGAGTTGCTTGCGAGCGGCGAGTTCCCAGCTCTGCTTCACGACTCCAACAAGGATTCGGCGTTGAGCCATTGGCAGCTCCTGAAGGCTTCCACGACGTTCAAAAGCCATTACCACAACGGATACAAGTTTGTCTGGAACATGGCTGGAAAGCAACTGGCCTACATCAAGGCGATGACGCGAAGTGACCCTGGCGAGACCTCAAAGGTGCTTGTGATTCCAGAGATGTGGGGTATTCTGCGGCCGGACAAGAAACTCATCACGTCGCTGGCGCTGCAGCGTGAGGCTGCACGGGATTCGGAGAGTGCGCTGGCCTTGGAGGAGGTTTTTGAGTTTGATGATAATGGCACTGTGATTGACGACGCTTGATGAATTGGACGTTTGGAGCGAGCGTTTTGAAGGATTGGAGATTAGTCTCTGGATGTTCCTGGATGTGTATGTTGGACTGGAATTATTGTTGGAAAAGTAGTTTGGAAGTGAAAATCATAGCAGAAGCGAGGATGTCCGGAACAGGGAACTTGTTTTTTTTTTTTTTCAGGAACATTGAATGCTGATGTATAGGCATTGTATCTTGCTAGAATGTTCTGATGGTCGTGTGATTGACTCTCATACAAGTCAATGGCTGTGATGCTTGAAAGGTGACAAGGGTGAATTGCCTTGGTGTTGAAGCTTGAAGCGGGTCTACCGACTATCTTCCAATTGGGTTAGCGTGGAATTTCGCTCTCCAGAACTAGTTAGATCGTGATGCAAATCACATGACTGATCATGTGATGAGAGGCCCCCCATCAATCTCGCGCTCCGCCCTCTCCCTTCTCCACTTTCTTCTTCTTCCATCTCCAGGACCATGAATGCTTCCAACCCGCACAAGCGCATCGCCCGTCGCTTCTGCCATGGTTCACAGTCCCTCCGCCTATACGCAAGACACGGTCGCCAACACCGACGATGACGCATTGACGCAAGCTTCGTTCCCGCCCGGGTTAGTGAGATAGCCCTCGTGTGATTCCACTGGGCGCTCTGCCTACGTGGATAGCCGTGCCGCCTCGACTGGATGGGGTCGTCCTCGGTAGATTGTTCTCCTGCATGCTTGATCCGGTCGGCGCCTCATCGCCGCTGTTGCTAGTGATGCGGGTCGGGATCTTGAAGGCCGTGGATTGAGGGTTGCCTCTCCACCTCCGGTTTGCAAAACTGTCTCTGAGGCGATTCTTCTTGTCGAGCGGCGGGGCTTATCACTACGCTCTTCAACTCCACCTCGATTCGATTTCCCGACTCTGGCGACATGGATTCTCTTCCTGGTGTGATGGATGAACTGACGCGTTACAGGCCGAGTCGGCAATCACAACACGGCGACGATGAGGGTGACGAAAGGAGTGACTTGGGCAGCAAGAAGAGCGACAATGTTGAACAGCCGACAGTGCCTAGCTCCAATGAAGCAGCGACAAGGACTGACGAAATGAAAATCCACTGCTCAAACAACACGGTATCCTGGACCGACGAGAATGGCGACCTGCGAAATACAGACTCCCTGGATCTTGAAATTATCATCGACAACACAGCCAACAGAGCTTTCCTAAGGCTCTGCGGTGACGTCTACATCAAGTCTAGCAAGCCTCCCAATAGGCGAGCCATCTATTTGTACATTCGGCCTGAAGTCATCAAATTCATCACCTATCACAACGAGAACAATGCGCGATCACTTTGTTTCTCATTGCAATCGAAGCCCGACCTAATCACTCCCAAGGAGCCTATCAATGCCAAGCCAAGGAGCAAAGCCCTGCTGGACGCTATTGTGGCCATCTCTACAGTGACAGACTTCGTCGTTCGACTCAACAGTTCTGACACGACTCCATCAAGCCTTTTGAAGAAAGTGGCCTCCATCTTTTCGCCCCGTCCGACTTGGAATACCGAGCTCGGCAATCTCAGTGGATTGTATGCTGGCAAAGGAGGTCAGATCGCCAACGCAAGCACGACCGCGAGCACCCCTGCGAGCAGTGATCTGGAAGCGCAGTCTCCTCCGCCATATCGATCAGCGTCCAGTAAGCCTGACTTCAGACCGCGCTATTCGAGTCTCGTACTGACGAAAGGTAACTACAGAAAAGCGTAAACGTGACATACCTGACATTGAAAGCAAACCTTGCTCAGCGAAAAGTGACATGCCGCCTATCAATGTCATGCTCAGTGAGATGGAACAGCGTATAATGGACAGTATCAGGCAGCTGGGAGAAAAGCTTGTCGACGTGGATCCATGCCGCTACGATACGGAAGAGAGAGAAGACATCCTGGCAGAGGTCACACAGCGGTGTGACGACGAATTCATAGATCTCAAGGTGGAGTCCAATGATGTGATTGAAGAGGTCAAGGAGGAGGTTGAACGTGTGTTGAACCAAGTGGACGACGATGCGAAGGAGAGGATGGAAGTGATTGAGGACGAGCTCGATGAGAAGATGAAGAGTATTGCAGAGGCAGCGGCAGAGGCGGCGGCAGAAAAGTATGTCAAAGAGACGCTACTGAATGCAAGCTGGCGGATGGATGGCGCCATGTCTTTGCAGAGGCAAATCTAGGTTGCTGCCATGACTTGCAACACTACTTGCACGAGGTTGATGATCCGTATATGCTTGGTAGATTATGAACTGGGCTATACTATCTACATCTGATTACAATATTTGACTCTTTCAATCTCTCAGGTTGACCATTCTATATCCCTCCTGATGGCCGGGCCCTGTTCTCCTCCTTCGCCAAAAGTATGATGCCACGTAGACGATTCCGGCAACGCTGAATATCGAGGCTCCCATTACACCTATGCTGCTTGTATTTGAGCTTCGGCCCTCGGCTGATGCCGCCTCCGATGCTGATGGTGATGGTGATGCCGATGCTAGTTTTGATCCTGATTCTGATTTTGATGGTGATGGCGATGGTGATGCTGATGCCGATGGCGACGAGACAGGTGGAGGAGATGGAGGCTTCAGGGAGACAATGTCGCTCGTGACCGTGGCGGGTTTGCCGCCGTCTTCGAGATCCAGAACCACTGTTGACCCGAGAACGTCTCCGGACGAAGAGACGGCTGCTGCGGCGACATATCGACGAGTGCTGTTTGCGTCTGTGCTTGGTAGAGGGATGATGGTTTCGAAGCCTTGGCGGGGGGACTGGGTGAGGAGGTTCGTGTGGTTGTTGATGGTTTTGTGGTCGTTGGAGGCGAACTTTTGGAGGTTAGCCTTTCTCTATACGAAGGATTATCTAGAGGTTAAGGGGAAAGCTTACGATTGCCCATGAAGAGACTTCTGTTGCTCCATTCCAGGAAACATAGATTGTGGCCTCGTGGGTGCTGTTATTGGGTGCCTCGACGGCGATACTGGGCGGCCACGAAGGCTTGCCCACCCAGTTCCCCTTGTGCACCCTATAAGCAAACATATCCGGCACGGCCTCGGCCCCGCCAATAGCCCCCCTCTGGACGTCGAGCACGGGCGTGCCGTCGGGAGTGTACTCGACGAAGCTGGGGTTGTACCCCCAAGCGGTCATGACGTTTCCGCTGTCGAGGGTCTGGTAGCCGCCCATGGCGCCCGAGTTGATGCCCTCCGGGTGGAAGAACTGGGACACGAGGCGGGCTGTGCGGAGGGTCGGGTTGATTGCGATGCGGAGGCCGCGGGTGGAGCACTGCGTGTCGGGGGGGCAGAAGCCGGACTCTTCGCCGTGGTTGTCGAAGAGGGTGATGTGCGTCTCTTGGGCTTGTGCTTCTGTTGTGAGGCTGCTGCTGCTGGATGGACTCGGTGAAGAAGAAGAGGAGGAGGGGAGGATGCGGGCGTCGTGTTGCCAGGAAAAGTTTGTTGCTGCGCCGCCGGAGAGGTCGGTGAATTGGTTCTGCTTGCCGCCGAGGATCCAGAGGGGGGAGCCGGTTTTGTGGTCGATGAGGGTGAGGACGGAGAGGTGGCGGGCGGAGACGAGGTAGTCGCCTTCATCTGTCTGTTGTTTTGCAAAAAGAAATTGTCATGTTAGTGAGTTGTGTCTTCGTTGAGGCGCCCGAGTATGAGAGGATATGGGGAAGCTTCTTTGCCTTTTGGATGGAATTGATGTGAAAAAAGTCGAATCCCGAATCAGGGCTCACGCCATACGCATCCGTATACTCAGCGTACGACTGATCAATCGCAAAATACTTGGAAGCATGCCAGTCAAAGACCAGCTCGCCCGTTGCCAGGTCAATCTCCTGAAAGCCGCTGTCCATGAGCAGCGCGTCCTCGGGCCCGCCCACGGGCCGGCAGTCAAAGGGTATGTTAAAGTACGTCGAGAAGATGACGGTGCCGGCCCCCGTGACGCTGAGCTCGTGCATGTCCGCGCGGGCGTCGTTGAGCCCCTGGGCGGTGACGTTGTACCTGAGGTTGTACGCCTCGTCGAAGAAGAGGCAGTTGCCGTTGGCGTGGCCGCGGGTGTGGCCGCCTTCCCAGAAGCCGAGGTAGCGGGTGTTGTTGACGAGGTAGGCGTTTGAGGCGTAGGTGTTTTCGTACTGCTGGTCGGCGTAGACGAGGCTGAGGTCGCGGGCGGAGAAGATCATGGGGCCGGCTCGTTGGGTGCCGTAGACGGTGCCGAGGAAGATGTGGGAGGCATTGTCGGCGAGGTTGTCGTTTTGGGGAGGGCTGTTGAGGAGGAAGATGGGGGCGACGATGGGGGAGGAGCGGAAGGTCTGGCTGGGGAAGCCGGTCTGGGAGGTGGTGAGGGAGGTGAACTCGGAGGTGTTTGTGAGGGGGGGGATGTCGGCGTGGGTGGAGTGGGCGAGGAGGGCTGTGAGGAGGATGGGGAGGTGGAACATGCTGGTTTTTTTGTTGTGTGTGAGATTATGAAGGCATATGCTGAGAGGGGTGAAAGGACTTGGGACGTTTGGCAAGTCTTTTGGTATAGTTGTCGAATGGGGGGTATCAGAAGAGGCTCATCGCAGGTGTTGAAACAAGGAATGACTGAGACGGCTTGGGTTATTCAACGAGTTTTCGTATGCCAGACCATGTGAACAGAGGCTAAAAAAAGACAAAGGATAAAAGACAAGAATCGAAGAAACAGAATTACTAGGCAGAGGTCATCGAAACAAAAGAATAGACGGATAAAACAAGTTCAACAGGTGGGCACAAAGTACATGCTCCCATGGATCTTATAAAGCGATTTTGTAGTCGGGGATCGTCGTACGCGGCCTCGACCCCTTTTTTTTTATCTTTTCCCGAGTTCCACCCTAAGACTGCGTTCGAGTTGTGTGTTGTGGCTCAAACTCCATCAATGATCGACATCATCTTCACCAGAAAAGTGAGGTCCTTCAAAGAGCCCAAGTTGATAGGTTGTCATGTTATGGAGCAGGTGAACTAGACGAATGGCCCTAACGGTTGTGGCATTGGATGCGCGTTCCATCATATCCAAATCATCAGGAACGCGTAAAGGTTCTTATGTTTCCCATCTCGGCAAGATGTTTGAAAGTAAAAGAAACATATTGATTTCTCTTTCTGGTGAGAGGTCTCGAGTATTACTAGTAGTCCTAAGTGTTCAGGCACTTGAAACCCGAAGCATCGGGGCTTGCTCGGCTCCGCAGTGGGGCGCTGCTTGCGCGTTGCAATTTCGAGGGGCCGACGATCCGCCTTGGGAGCGATGGTCCGACGTGGCGATGGAGGCAAGACTCAGTCAGGACTGAACAATTTGCCTGAAGAGACTGGCTTGAAATGTAGAATCATACAGTTTTGACAGTATAGAACTATAGCATGGAAAGATTCCAAGTAACAGTGACCGAGATGTGAGATGCATATATATATATATATATATACCTTGTATACATAGCTTTTACCATGTACCCGGATATTCTTCCCCCCGTTCCTTTTGTCTCTCCCTTCTCTCCAAGGGCAAGCAAGCCTCATGGGCCTTCCGGCATCAGATAGGCTCATCCCTCGGCTCAATCAAGACCTCATTCACAGCAACGTGCTCCGGCTGACACACGGCATACACAATCGCCCCCGCCACGTCCTCGGGCTCCAGGATCTTGGCCCCGGACGGCTCCCCGTACTTCTTGACCGCCTCCGCGTCCGTCGACATGCCCAGCAGCTCCGTCGCCGTGTTGCCCGGCTGCACGGACGTGACCCTGAGCCCCGTCCCCGCCGTCTCCAGCCGCAGGCTCTGCAGCGTCGCCTCCACGAAGAACTTGCTGGCCGAGTAGACGCCCAGCCCGGGGAACACCTTGCGGCCCGCGTCCGACGAGATGGCGACGACGTGCCCTGCTTTCCGGGACAGCATGCCCGGGACCGTGGCCGCCAGGCAGTGCAGCAGGCCCTTGCAGTTGACGTCGACGGTGCGCTCCCATTCCTCCGTGCGGACGTTGGCCATCATGGTGTAGTACATGACGCCGGCGCAGCACACGAGCATGTCGACGGGGCCGAGGGCGCGTTCGGTTTCGCGCACGAGGGCGTCGACTTGGGCCTTGTCGGCGACGTCGGTCTTGTGGATGAAGACTTTGGTGGTGTTGCTCGCAGAGGTGATTCTGGATCTGAGCTTTTCGAGGGCATCGGTTCGTCGGGCGGCGAGGGCGACGGATGCGCCCTCGCCAAAGAGGGCGGCGGCGACGGCGGCGCCGATGCCGGATGAGGCCCCCGTGACGATGGCGACTTTGCCTGCCAAGCGGCCCCTTTTCACGGCAGCAGACTTGGCGGCTGTTCCGTTGGTCGTGAGACGGCGAGGCGGGCGAGGAAGCCAGCCCCTGGCGTAAAAGTGCCTCGTGTACGTCTCCAGCAGGGCGCTGTCAATGTCGATGCGGTGCACTCCGTAGCATTCGAGCGCAGGCCGAGTGGCGTCGTCCTTGAGGACGATGGCTCCTTGCAGACCGGCCACGGTGGGCATTCCGCCGCGTAGAATGTCGACGGTGAAGGGGTCGTCGCCTCCGCCGCGGGAGCCGCGCTTCTCGTTCCAGAGGTCGACCCATTCGTCCCACGGCAGACGCCCCGTTTCGTAGCCCAGCTCGGCGAGGGCGTCGAAGAGGGACGCCGACGTGATGGGCTTGGAGTCGCCGAGGTGGTAGACCAGCTGCTCGCCGTCGGCGTGGTCTGCCAGCGCGACGATGGCCCTGCTGACGAGGTCGACGGGCGTCATCTCGACGACCCAGTCCGCGACGTCCGGGGCCTGGCCGAGCTGCAGCGACTCGATGACGAGGGCGTTGAGGAGGTCGTACGTGTTGGCGGCGCCGGTGACGCTGTGCCCGCTGATGGTCCCCGGGCGGTAGATCTTGGCAGGGATGCCTCGCCTGCTGGCCTCGACGACGAGCTTCTCGGCCACCCACTTTGTCTGGCCGTAGCCGTCCTGCAGCTTGGTCGGCACGTCGTCAAAGTCAATCATGGCGTCTTCGGACCAGCCCTCGAGGGAAGGCGGCAGGACCCCATTCGTCGAGATGTGGTGCACCGTCGCGCCCCCGCGAGACGCGAGCCGGAGAATCTCCCTCGTGCCGCCGACGTTTGCGTTGCGCAGGGCCGCGTAGGGGTAGACGAGGTTCACCGTGGCCGCGGCGTGGACAATGACCTGCGCGCGCGAGGCGAGCTCCTCAAAGGCCTCCGGCGACAGGCCCAGGCGGCTGCGGGCGAGGTTCCCGGGGACAATCTCCATGCGGTCGAGCATCGAGTCGCTCCAGATGCCGAGGTCGATGAGGTTCTTGCGGATGCGGGCGGTGCCGGCGGGGCGGCAGTCTTCGGTCGGCTCGGTGAAGCGCACCATGCAGAGGATGTGCGCCGAGGTGTGTTCCAGGAGGGCCTTGAGCAAGAAGGCGCCCAGGTAGCCGGTCGAGCCCGTCAGCAGGATCGTCTCGGCGTCGCTGAGGCGCTTCATCTGCGGCGCCGCCGTATGGGGCTGGATGTCTTCGGGCAGCTGGGCGTCTGCGCGGAGGACGGCGGGGAGGTCGGCCTGGACTTGCTCGGCGTGGCCGTCGCGAGCGGCCTTGACGGCTTCGAGATGGCCCTCAAGGGTGGGGTTGCCGGCCAAAGGACCCAGGGGCACAGGGAAGCCGAATGCCTTGGTCAGCCTGCTGGCGAGATCAGCCAGAATCAGCGAGTGGCCGCCCAGGTCGAAGAAGTCGTGCTTGGGCGTGATGCTGGCGACGGGGACGTTGAGGGCCGCGGACCACATCTTGACGATGGTGTCCATCTTGATGGTGACGTTCTTCTCCGGCTTGGTGGCTGCCGTCTCCACGGGCGTCCTCGGCCTAGGGGGAGGAGGCAGCGCCTTGAGGTTCGTCTTGCCGGAGACGGCGTGCGTGGGCAGCTCCTTGAGCTCAACCCACAGAGGCGGGATCATGTAATGCGCTAGGTGAGCGGAGAGCGCACGCCGGGCCACGGGGCTGTGGCCGAGGTCGTCTATGACGACGATGGTGCGGCCCTGGACGTTTTCCGTGTCAGGGACGATGTAGGCCACCAGCTGCTTCTGCAGCCCCTCTCCGTGGGCGACGACGGCGCAGTCTCGCACCGCGAGATGCTTCACAATGGTCGTCTCGACGGCGCCGGGCTGGACGGTGTAGCCGCGCGTCTTGATCATGCCGCCGACGCGGCCCGTGATTTCGAGGAGGCCGGACGGCAGCATCCGCGCCATGTCGCCGGTGCGATACATTCTCGCGCCCTCCTTGTTCGTGACGAAGGGATCCATCTGGAAGGCGGCCGCCGTGGTCTCGGGCAGGTTGAGGTACTCCCTCGCGAGCAGGTCGCCGCCGACAAACAGCTCGCCGCTTACACCAGGCTCGAGCCTGTTTCCCGCCTCGTCGAGGATGTAGATGTGCTCCGGGTCGACGGGCGGCCCGACGGGACAGACGCGGGCCTCGTAGTCGACGAAAGTCTTGATGTCTCCGACGGCAATCTCGTGCGTCTCGCTGGCGCTGTAGACGTTGAGGAGGCGAGTGTTGGGCAGGGCGGCGCACGCCCGGCGGACGAGGTCTGTCGTGACCACCTCCCCGTTCAGCCACAGTGACCTCAGCTCCGGCAGCTCCTCACCCAGGTTCGGGTGCCGCGACAGGACGGTGGTCAGCAGGGTGGGGGTCATGAGCGTGTCTGTGATGCGCCTCTCGGCGAGGAAGTCGACGAGCCCGATGGGGTCGTAGCTGACGGCGTCCGGGACGGCGACCGTGGTGGCGCCCCTGATGAGCGGCCGCAGCATCTCCCACACGAAGAAGACGTTGCAGGCCACGCGGTCGCCGGGCTGCAGGTCGCTGGTGCGGAAGCGCAGGTCGTAGCTGAGCACGGGGGCCCGGTGAGGGTTGGCGATGCCCTTGGGCTTGCCCGTCGTGCCCGAGGAGTAGGAGACAAAGGCCAGGCGGTCCAGGTCGTCGCTGGCGGGCAGGGGCTCTCGCGTTTCGACGACGATGGGCGCCGCATGGCCGTTGATGGCAGCCTCCGGCTCGGGCTGGTCGATGACGATGGTAGCTACGCCCGTCGGGATGTTGGCAGCATGAGCCCTTTGCGTGATGATGACGGTGGGCTTCGCGTCGTCAATGACATCGTGGAGCAGGCTCGTCGGGTACGCCAGCTCCAGCACGAGAAAGGCCCCTCCCGCGCGCAGAGCTGCCAGGGACGCAATGACATTGTCTGCGCTGCGTCCCATCAAGACGCCCACCAGGTCATCGCGGCCAACGCCGTACTGGCGGAGGCGATCGGCCAGGGCCCAGGTCAGGCTGTCGAGCTCCGCGTAGGTCAGGGTGCGCTTCTCGTCTTCCAGGGCAATGGCATCTGGCGTGGCTTGAGCCTGCAGCTCGAACAGCGCTGCCAGGTCCTTTGTGGTGTCGATGATGCTCATTTTGGCAGGTTGGCGAGTCAGGTGTAGCTCAAAGGGGAGAGGAGGCGGACGTGGGAAACGCTTCCACGCCAGGAGGAAGATGATGCCTCAATGGTTGGATATGAGCTTCCGAGGAGGTTTTCGTCTGCTGGTATGCCTAGTATCTCATACAGAGTCCCTCCTAGATGCCAATTGATCCCTTTCAATTGCGTATTTTGTTGCCGTCCAGCAAGGCGGATTTGGGCTCAGTCAGGCCAGAGTACTCCTCCGTATGGCCCACTTGATTCCTAGCGTGCTGAGCTTCTAAAGCCTCTCCCTACTCAAGGTCAGTCTACCAAACATGAAATCAAAGGCAGTGCAACAGGTATCACGGAACGGAGAATAAACGTGGCACAAAACTTACAAAAACTCCGATGCTGATGTGAGGAAAGCGGCTCAGAAAGCAAAAAAACTGTGAAGGGGGGAGGAAAGCTGAAGCTATACCACAGCGTGTAACCACGTCCAAGTACGTAACATGTGGTTATTAAAGCCAACTGCTATTGCTGGGACTCACACAAGCTAAAAAATGTCCGTTCGTGGGGCTTTAGGCTTATCAGTTGAAGTCCGTTGCTGTTCAAAGGGCCGTGATTGGTCTTTTTTGCATGTGAATATGGGCGAGATTTGCTGCTTCGATTTGCGTTCCCCTATCGAGTTTAGCCCTTCCATGGCAATGTGGTATTTTACGTGTGTTGGGGTCGCGTGGCCTTTTGCTGTTTGGAGGCATCTTCAATGTTCTTTTCTCTTCGGTCTGTGCTGTTTTCCTCGGAGATGATTATTCAAAGCACTGGAGGGAAAAGCCATGTTTACACCTAATTCAAGGTTTTATCTAGAGTTTGTTTGTCTCTGATTCTAAGCAGCCACGCTGACGAGACGGCAATTCCATGCTTCAATCCCGTCCTCTCTGTTCTCTCGAATGACATCGAAGTGTCGATCGCGGAGCTGAGACGAGCGTGGGGTATCTTGCCTCCCCCATTGAGGCTAATTTGTCGTCTTCTCCAACAGATTTCAGTCAATTGCCCAACAAAACGAAATACAATGTGTTTGCTGCATCTCTGACATGTGACAGTGCCAGCTGAGGGAAATTCTTTAAGGAACACACAACTCCAGCTCCAATTTCCAATAAAAGGGGTATCAATTACTATCGGTAGATCATGACACTCGTACAGCATGAATATAATGACAAAAAGACTAATCAAAAACACAACCATTTACTCGCTATTTCCCACATGCAACACACACACACAACACTCGGATACAAATACATCGTCTCTCAGGTTTCATCACTGCCCTGACCGGCCCTTGGAAATGTCCACCTCGGACACGGGGATAATCTTGGTCCTGCAAATGAGCTTGTGCCCGACGTACAGCACGATGAAGAGCATGACGCTGACGTAGCTGGCAAAGAAGCTGCTCGTGTCCCAGTCGATGAAGACGGTGAAGCCGTTGGTGATGAGGATCAGGACGTTGAAGAAGAAGCCGAACCAGGAAAGATACGGCTGGAAGGGCGCCTTGTAGGGCAGCTCGTCGCGGGGGATGTTCTGGTACTTGAGGACGCGCATGAAGCGGATGTGGCACAGGTTGATGAGGGCCCAGCTGATGAAGCCGGCGACGGCGGTGATGTTGAGCAGCCAGTTGAAGACGACGGTGCCGTTGTTGGACAGGTTGAGGAAGGCCAGCAGGCCAAAGACGGAGCAGCAGGCGACGGCCCAGTAGGGGGTGCCGTAGCGGTTGGTGCGCCCGAAGAACTTGGGCGCGTGGCCCTCGCCGGCCATGGCGACGAGGATGCGGCTGCTCGAGTAGATGTCCGAGTTGGCGGCGGACAGGACCGCGGTGAGCAGGACGGCGTTGATGATGGACGGCAGCGCCTGGATGCCGGCCAGCTTGGCGACGATGACCAGCGGCGACGCGGACGCGTTGGTCGAGCCGTTCTGCAGGTCCGGGTTGTCGTAGGGGACGTTGATGCCGACGAAGAAGACGGTGCAGTTGAAGAGCAAAAAGACGGCCCAGAAGGTCCAGCGGATGGCCGACGGGATGGCCGTGCGCGGGTTCGCCGTCTCGCCGGCGCCGACGACGACCAGCTCCGTGCCCTGGAAGCTGAAGCCGGCCGTGACGAGCACCGTCCAGAAGCCGACAAACTTGCCGATGGCGCCGTCGACCAGGTACTCGGCAAAGGCGCCCGGCTCGCGCCAGTACTTGAAGCCAATGTAGCCCTGGTCGCCCACGCCCGCGTTGACGCAGATGCCAAAGATGACGAAGCCGACAATGGTGACGACCTTGATGCTCGACAGGTACGCCTCCATCTCGCCAAAGACGAACGTGGGCAGGAACTGCGCGGCCGTGAAGACGACCCAGAAGATGGCGATCCAGACGCCGATGCTGATGGACTCGGTCCAGTACTGGATGATGAGGCCGCTGGCCGTCAGCTCCAGCCCGATGGTGATGACCCAGCTGAACCAGTAGATCCAGCCCATGGCGAAGCCCAGCGTCGGGTCGATGAAGCGCGAGGCGTACACGGTGAAGGCGCCCGTCACGGGAATGTACGAAGCCATTTCGCCCAGCGCCGTCATGATGGAGTAGACGACGGAGCCGAGGAAGAGGAACGAGATGAAGAGCGAGCCGGGGCCGGCCTTGGACAGGGCGCCGCCGATGCCGAGGAACAGGCCCGTGCCGAGGGCGGCGCCGATGGCGATGAACTGCAGGTGGCGCGAGTGCAGCTCCCGCTTGAGGCCCTCGTCCGACTGGCCCGTCTCGACGTCCGGGTTGGCCACGTCGCCGGCGGGCTTGTCGCTGATGCCGTGGACGAGCTTCTCGTCCGTCATGAGGGGGCCGACGGGGGGAGGCGTCGGGGTCGCGTCGTCGGCGGCCATGGTGCTTGTCTGAGGGCCACGCGACGATAGAAAAGAGAGAATTGGGTCGATTCAATTTTCAAAACAAATCGAAATCGGCTCGTCGGCGTGGCAATGAGAGAAAGAATAGGTGAGGCTGCGAATAAGGAAGGGGGGGGGAGAAGGCGAAAGGCAAAACCTCTCTATATCACCCGCACAAAACCAAAACCATCCAAGAAGGAAGAAAAGAGAGGCAGAAAAAGGGTCGACAGGCCCAAGCGTTGAACTTATATTAGACCAAGGTAAGAAGGAGAAGAGCGTCGTATTCCCTTTTAAAAACTCGGACACATCAACGTTACCTTTTGTTTTCGGGCTGCTACACTAAGAACAGCTACACTCTGGCTTATCACTTCTGGCGAGACCCTCAGGCCGTCGCCCCATATAAGCCCCATCGACGATGAAGAGTTTGATGGGGGGGCTAAGCCGCTTCAGTGCTCGGCACAGGAAAGCCGGTCAAGCCATGAAGCAGTCCAGCGATGTCCTCTGGAATGCGTCATTCCTAAGGCGTTGATCTGGAGGATTTGGCGGCTTGTTAGCGAGGGCATCTCCAGCCTCAGTGCACACGAGATCGTCAGAGACACAACTTGAATCACACTTCGAGTTCGAGCATCTCAAACTCGTCATCTCAAGGGCGTACAGACACATCGAGCCATGCTCCCCCTGGATCTAAACAAGCTCACGGCTTTTCGCCCTTCTCTGCATCCTTCTAGCGGCCTTCTCTAGCGCTTGGCTCGACACGCTTTGCGGCTCTACTAGAAGCCTCGAGGCCTTCACAAAAAAGAGCGCAAAAAAGCAAACAACTCAAGCAAGAAAAAAATCTTCGGTCGGCATTGCCGCGGAAATGCGAGCCTGGCCGCGCCGACTGACTGGCTGATCTGGTCAAGAGGCGGATGGAAAACTGGGGCTTCAGTTCGGGAGGCAAATGGAAAGTTTTTCTTTGGCTGCCATTTGCTTCGTCTTCACCGGACCCAAGGCCACTCATCAGCAACTGTACGGGGTACGTGGCTCTCTTATGATCTTCTGGCTGCTCTCCAGGTTCCCGTTACATATCTTATCTTTGATTTGACCACGGGCCATTTTGCAGCCACCGGCGAGTGGAGGCTAGCAGGTCGGGCTGGCGGGAAGGATCTCGGCGTCTCTCTTGGTGATTTGATGATGATGGGCTGGCAAAACTTGCGTGCGGGCGGATGATCTCCGTTACATACGAGGGCAAGGGTTGATTTCGCTGTCCCGCTCATGATGCAGAATCGAGAACTTTTTTTTTTTTCTCCTTTGCAGCGGCTAGCAGGCATTCTTCGTCTCCGACTGTCGGGCGATGTGACTCTATGCCGGGATCTCGCTCCTCATTCTCTGCTTCTTCCGCCGACGCAAGCCATTCAATTGTAAACCCAGTTGAAGACAACAGGTGATTTGCACGGGCTTGTGGTAACGCTCTTGTCTCGAAAGAGGATGTGGGAGCAAAAGGGTCCCTGCACTGGTTGTCTTTACGTTGCCACTATTCGATTACGGCGTAGTGCTTTCGGCCGTGATGTGAGCGACTAGCCCAAGTAATAGCAAGTGGTAATACTACTGTACTGGTACGAGTATCTTGTGGCTGGACGGGAGCGAAGAACACAACGTCCAATTCATCGTTCGTTCATCAGCCATCGTGCCTCTTCGGCGTACTTGTAAAACTCCACACACACACAAGGTCCACACCTCTCCGGCCCGGGACCAGGAAAAAGAGGCGATGGGCGACGATGATGTCCCGTCTACCTATCCTGGTGCGGCCATTACGTACTGGCTGCGACGCTCCCCATGGGCAAGATAGGTCATCCCCAGATCTTGAACAGCGTGGTTTGAAGCGCGTCAAGCGATAACGTTTTGTTGCTTGCTCTCTCCACAAACGCTCTCAGGGGGGCGGAAGTCGGTTTGCATGGATGGTAGGAAATTGGATATGGGGATGGGACACGTGCTGGGAGGGCGCTCGGCGGCTTTGGTTGCTTGATTCTGTTAGTACGAGTTATGGCGGTTGTATGTTAAGTGCTGACAGCGAGTCGTGGGCTTGTCTTGCTTTATCCTTATCAGTGATGCTGTTAGCGATGCTGTTAGTGATGCCGTTTGACCCTTGTGAGCTGAAGTGGTGGAGGAGTCTCTCTCGGTCAATGCATGCCCGATTCGGGATCCATGTCCAGGTCTTGCCATCGGACGCCATTCGGGCGCTGCATCGGTGAGACACGGGATGCGCTTGAAGCTGCTTTGCGTGTGTGGAGACGGGGATGCCAAGGTTGAGTCGCACGCGCCGGAGTCGGTGTGAACTGTCTGTCTTCTTGAGTCATGGGTGGCTTGAGCTACGGTGGTTTGCTCGACATCGCGATGGAAGCAGTGCTTTGCTCACAAAGGAATATAATAACACTCGCTACTCCGTAGATTCAGTGTGGTTTCTGCTCTTTACTGTGCTAAGAATAGCCATTTGTTGCCAGGGGCAGGGTAAACAGCAGTACTTTATCTGATTGGATAGAATGCCATTGCCTGGGTAGTTCCTGTGCTGCTGGTGCAAGTCAAGCGGACAGACTCGAAGGATGCCGAAACAGGTCTCACAATACGGAGTACATTCGCAGGAGCTGAGCTGGCCGGCCAGATGCGCAGCTTGCATTGACCTGGTCTGCATGTGAGGGCTGTCGACAGGTACTATTTCTATGTAAGTAATCGGCCAAGGCAAGTTCAGCCGCCCATCCTGTGGTCTTGTCTACCCTATAATTGGGACAGCAATTGGAACGAGAGTCGATCTCGGAGTGCGAGCAGAATCCAACCCGCAAGGCATTTGGCCATTGCCCTGGTGGAGGTACGTTTGCATTTCAACATGGAGCATGAAGGGCGTTGACAAGCCAAGATTGTTGGTATTCGAGAGGTAAGTGTGCATTTGCACGTGAACATCAGAAGCTCATGTGAATGGCAAGGGAGGTTGGCAGACTGACAAATTGACAGACCTGTCTTCTTCAACGTCCAGAAACTTGGGAGTATTGTGTCCGTACATGCGTATTCTCTGCGTCCTTCGAGGCAGAGCTCAGGGAAGCAGCACGAGCAATGATGATTTAAATGGTGATGCAAGAGATCCGCCAAGTCTATAGACACTGCACGTAATATCTAACAAATGCCTGCTTCGTCCAGCTTCAGCACTGTGATATGGCATCAGAAAGTTGCTAGAAGTTGAAATAAAGTTGATTTAGCCTCTTGACAACGCCCTTTGATCGTTTTTTGACGCCCTTTGATCTCACCCTGGCGTTGACATGAGGCTTAGCGGCGATGCGGTGGTAACCTGTGGCTGGATCGCGAAATGGCGTCATGTGGTGGGACATGCGGGAGGCTTCGGCAGGCTGGGCTGAGCCCCACGAGATGCATATGTGAGAGCGAGGATCCGATGGATGACAACAGTGACATTGAGAAGGAACTGCATTCTATATTGTGTTTTAGGGGGTTTCTTATAGGGTGGTACGAGCCATGGAGGTGAGAGTTGGTCCAACATCGCCGACATAGAACGTGAGAGTAGATGACATGTAGTGTCAACGGCGCCCTTGCAGTGTTGGTAGAGATTATTTGTCATCACAAGCTGCATCAAGTAACATGAATTCGTGTGACGAAGAACGTTGTGGAAGTTACCCATGCCCATGTTTGCTGTGCGTGAGATGCAACACATATGTGCAGAACCGTTGCATTAAACACCAAGGGGGCCAGGAACACAACGTCCTGCAGCACAGGACAACGTGTGGGACGCCACTGAAAGGACGACGTTCGAGAAAACTTTTTTACCCGTTCTGCTTCCTTTAAAACGGAAATAACTGCCATACCGCTCTGACCTCTATGTGGTATTTGAGTAGTGGGCTCGGGAGTTGTTTGATGCCTCGGTCTCTGTCTAGAGACCTCGAGTCTGAGACACGGCAGTGCTTGAGCGAAACGATGTTTGCCCAAGAATATTGGGCCAAGATGCTGTAGAAATATGGGATACAGAGGGTATTAGCACATAGTTTTAATGGCAGATAATCAGACGTCTATGCGACGGCGAATGACCAAGGCGACTCAGATGGCCCCCCACGGCACACAACATCCAAGCAATCCGCGGGCCACAGAAACGTATGTACGATTCCACACCACCTCGACCAGTTTGCACCGAACCCTGTCGGACCATTTGATCCCCCTTTGAGGCACTATTTGCATTCATTACTCCATGGAATCCATCCTGTGCCACCAGGCTCCGCGTCTGTGTCTCCGGCCAACCCCCCTCCCACCGCTCTTCCACGACCTCGAAGACTCGTCGCCGGACACAACCAGAGCAATGTCACGGACTGGAAAACTCTGTTTCAACCTCTTGTCGTATTATCAACCAGCATTGCACAGACGCTGTACTTCAGAGTAACTCGCAACGCTCTGGCCACGAGGCAAGGGTACACACAGACAATGAACCCTTCTTACACGGCAGAAGAAAAGGTCCGCTGCCGCTTTCCGAAGAATGGCATTCGACTGACAGACTGACTGACCAGGGGAGTGAAAACATTTTCACCTTCTGCACCTGTTTGATGGAGTCTGGCAACCTGTGATAATATCAATTTCCCACTGAAAACCCACGTTGGATGGCTTGCCTGTAATTTGCCGAGCTGCCATTGGCCAACAAGCCACCATCAGCACCAAGGCGGCCATCAAGGTTCTCACCACCACGGGGACCTAAACTTTTATAAGCCTTTTATGCGTGTAACCATCAAGGTTCTCAGCCGCACTGGCCGAGAAGAGGAGAAGGAGGAAGAAGACGAAGAAATGACGCTCAAGATGGAAAATCGAAGGAGAAAAAATACAGAAAAAGAGAGAGGAACAGAGTTCGAAAATACAGTTGTTTGTTGCCACGATGAGAAGAATTGTCTGAGACAAGCATCCACTTTGCCGCTTTTCTTTTTCTTCCGTCTTGGTTCTTTTCGTGTTTGTTGCTTCGGTCCAGCCTCTCATGCACATTGTGTCTTAGTCTTCTGGCGGTGGAGAAGAACTTAGATGCCGCCAACAGCACATGGGAAGAGGGACAAGAGAAAAGTCTAAATATACAATCAAAATTTCAAAAGTAGCTGGCGGGAGTGTCTCACCCTCGAGGCCACGCACATGGCCTTGGCCAGAAACAGACGGCCCCTTGCATAGCTGCTCACCCCGCCTCGACCATAATCAACTCAAATCATTCATCCGTGAACACAAAGAAAAGGAGGCCAGCTGCGTCTTGCTCCTGTTCCTGTTCCATCTCACCTACTTCAAGTCAAGTTGTACTCCGTATGTCCCTCCTCCTCGGCGTTCTAGTCTGCATGTGGCCCAACCACCCTGGCCACCACCCTGGCCATCATGGTTCTCGTGCTACTCGCCTGAGATATCAAAACCTGCGCCTACTAACGACTGACTATAGATAAAAGACCCAGGGTCTCGGCGAGACCATCCGTGCGCTCCAATAGCAGCCTGGCATATCCCGAGGCCATCTCCACCCCAGAGAGGACTCGAGGCCCGTTTGCTCGACGGTTGGCCAGCCTTGCTGCTGGCATGCGGGAGGCTGAGCCGCTGCTCTGCCTACTGATTTGCCCGGGGCGTTCTGGTCGAGGGATCCAGTGGAGCCTGGCGTTGGCACACACTCGCCTTGCATCTGCCTTCAAATAAGCCTGGAACCCAACCTTTCGGACATTTTCCCTCCCCTTCTCTTCTCTCTTCTCTCTCCTTTTTTCTTCACCACCATCACGTCTCTTCATCACATCCCTTCATCACATTCCAGCACCCATCTGCAGCTCTGACACTGCCTTCATTATCGGGACGTCTCATCTGCTACCACCATGGCGGACGACTTCAACCCCAACTCTGTCGACCTCGACACGGCTGACCCCAAGGACATCATCTGCTACCTCAATGCCGGCGACAACGAGTACAACGGACACCTGGGCCTCCGTGTCTCGGCTCTCTTCGTCATCCTCGTCACCTCCACGGCAACGACTCTCTTCCCTGTCCTGGCCACGCGCGTCCGCCGCCTTCGTATCCCCCTCTATGTGTACCTCTTCGCCCGCTACTTTGGCGCCGGTGTCATCATTGCCACTGCCTTCATCCATCTCCTTGAGCCTGCCTATGAAGAGATTGGCCCCGGCACCTGCGTTGGCATGACCGGTGGCTGGGCTGAATACACCTGGCCTCCTGCCATCGCCATGGCCTCCGCCATGATCATCTTCCTCCTGGACTTCTTGGCCGAGTACCACGTCGACAGGAAGTACAAGATGGCCCACGTTCAGGTCGAGGGAACCATCACCACCGGCGGCCACAGCCACCACGACCACCAGGGCCTTCACTCTGCTGACCAGGACGGCGCCATCCCTCCCAACCGGAAGACCGCTGAGCGCGTTCCCGATGCCGCCACCAGCGACAAGGGCACCCCCTCCAACGACACCTTTGACGTCGAGGAGCTCAAGAACATTGAGGGCGACAACCAGCAGGCGGCTATAGGCTTCCAGTCTCAGATCGCCGCGTTCCTGATCCTCGAGTTCGGCGTCCTCTTCCACAGCGTCATCATCGGCCTCAACCTCGGCGTCGTCGGCGACGAGTTCAAGACCCTGTACCCCGTCATTGTCTTCCACCAGGCCTTTGAGGGCCTGGGTATCGGCGCCCGCCTCAGCGTCATCCCCTTCCCCAAGCACCTCCGCTGGATGCCCTGGGCCCTGTGCCTCGCCTACGGCCTGACGACCCCCCTCGCCATCGCCATTGGCCTTGGCGTCCGCACCACCTACAACAGCGGCTCGTTCACGGCCAACGTCGTGTCGGGCGTCCTCGATGCCACCTCTGCCGGCATCCTCATCTACACCGGCTTCGTCGAGATGATTGCCCGCGACTTCCTCTTCAACCCCTACCGCACCCAGGACAAGAAGCGTCTGACATTCATGCTTGTCTCGCTCTACCTCGGCTGCGCCATCATGGCTCTCCTGGGCAAGTGGGCTTAAGTCAACAAGACTGAGAGAAGGATCTCTGCGAACAGAACAAAAAAAACGGTGATTGGGACGGCTAAGATACCCTTTGATGATGAAAAAGTGTGTATGCGCTGGCATGCAGGGAATTGGGAGAAACGGGAAAAAACTATATAGTATACACCAGTGTGTATCTCGGAGGAGGATTTTAACTTGATGGTTAGGTTGCATTAATCTTCAACGCTTGACGTTGACACTTTTAGACCGAACATGCATTTGCGGCGCTCTCAGCTAGACTAGGTAGTATTGGTGAAACTTGATTCATCTAAGTTCTCATATCCGTCGTACATTACTATGCTATATGCTGTGTGACGCCATCCTTTCAAATCGTGTAGATGAGCTTCACGCCGCTGACCCTATCGTTCCTCAGCTCATCCAAGCCCTTCAAAACGCCCTCAAGCCCGCTTCCACCGCGGTTCACCTCGATCCTCGCCGGCTTGACCTTGCCCTCCCGGTACAGCTGCTCCGTCAAATCGCGCCACTCCTTTGCAAACTCGTTATCCTCCGCACTGCCCTCGGACCTGTCGCCATACCGCTCATACGGCTTGCCAAAGATGGAGTACCCCAGCGTCCGCGACACCTCAATGTTGGGGTTAATCGAGTGCACGACCGCCGTGTCGATGCCCAGCAGCATGCCCAGCTTGCCGCCCTCGTCGGACAGCGCGCCCGCGCAGATCTTGGCCGACTCCTTGAGCGAGATGCAGTCCCACGCGACTTTCAGCTTATCGCCCGCCGCGGCGCGGATGTCGTCCACGACGGTGGGCGAGCGGTAGTCGAAGACGGCGTCGGCGCCGAGCGACTTGAGGTACTCAAAGTTGTGCGGGCGCGCCGTGGTGATGACCTTGTAGCCGGAGAGCTTGGCGAACTGGATGCCGAGGATGCCCGAGGCGGTGCTGCCGCCGTAGATGAGGATGGGCTCGGGGGTGGGCAGGGGGTCTGAGGGGAGGGCGAGCTTGAGGCTTTGGTAGAGGCCTTGGCCCTGTTTCGATGATAGTTAGTTGGATGAGTTTTGAGATTTGCTTCAGATGAGAGGAGGGTTAGGGAGAGAGAGAGTGGACGTACGACTGTGAAGGTTGAGATGCCGAGGGAGGCGCCTTCTTCGTCGCTGAAGGGGTTGTGGAATTGGACGTCTGCTTGGCTGATGCAGTATTCGGCGTACGAGCCGTCTTCGTGCTCAACGGCGTTTCTGCAGATATGTCAGTCTCTCTCATTCGTACGACATCTTTGTATATAGGTGATAGGGTGATGCAGCTTGTCAGGATTTGACAAGATGAGTTGCAACAAGGGGTGAGACTCACAGTCCAGGGTTCATGCCCGCAATCCGATCCCCAACCTTGAAGTTGTCCACGCCCGCCCCGACGGCGACGACCTCGCCCGCAAAGTCGCACCCGCTCCTCGCGCCAATGGTCTTGGGGTCTTCGTTGTCGATGGACTTCCAATCCGTGGGGTTGATGGCGACGGCCTTTGTCTTGACGAGCACGAAGCCGTCGCGGAGCTTGGGGAGGGGCACTTCTTCGATGGCGACCTTGCCGGTGGCCTTTTTGACGATGGCCTTTGTTGTCTGGGGAAGCGTCATTGTGTGTGTGTGTTGGTTTTGGGGTAGGTGTGAGATGGTTTGGGATAGTTGAGTTGGGTATAATTTTGTTGGAGATGGAATGGAATTGTTGTGAGAGGATTTTGATTGAAGTTGTCTCCGGGGCGTGTCTACGATTTATATAGCTTTTTTCCCATTGATAGGGGCGTGGGGAGGACCAGACTGGGGATGCCGCCTTCTTGGTGGATCAGTCCGTCACTCATACATAGGTATGCAACTCCGATATCCACATTTGACAAAGCCAAGTCTCTTCTGAGTTGCGTGATTCTAGAACTAACACTACCTTAGGTACTAAGGCATGGGAAAAGGGGGGAGCTAGATCGGGAATCGACCTTGACCCGGCCCGTAGTTTCACGGCTTTTGTCTCAACTCTGATGACATCGCGTTTTCGGCATCTTGTGTCACTGTTGTCTTGATTCGGTAATTGTCAAAGTGGCCAGTCAGAAGGCTGCGCTAGGCGACTCTTGTGCTAAGATGAACAATTTACCCCGGATCTCTTCGGTATTTCTTCCAGAACTGTCTGCTTGTTGACACTTGACACTAATGCGGCGTTGCTTGAGAGGTGAGGCTTGTTCCAAGGTTTTTATTGGCACGTGGAGATGAGTTTGTGTGTTGTGGCTAAAAGGTGTTGACGTCGACTCGTTCAAGTGCGGCAGAAGTTGCCGATTTTCTTTCATAGGGCAATGGATGGGTTAGTAATGCTTCAAGTTGCCAACTCCATAACTACTGAGGAGCCATGTCGTGCATGACAAATTGAGACCCCTGGATGAAAATCTCCATCTACTATTATTAAGTTGTCAGAAGTCAATCTGGGTCAGCCACTTTGATACTAATCACACGATTCATACATTTGTACTATTAGTACTCACCAGACTTTATCTCCTAAAGTTCGTTCGGCGATTCGGCAACGAAGTGGCACAACCTGCAAATTGAGGGGCGGTTTCTTTTTATTTCCAGAATGTCAGATTATTCCCTTGCCGAGATTTCTCCTACTTGTGATACAGTACAAACTTCAACTTGATAGTTCTTTGTCTTGCCTCAGCAAACTTTTCCTTATAGGGAACTGGGGCGGGTTTCGATGGCCGAGGTCTGGGAGTGTCTATCGAGTTCTGCTGCATTCCGGAGCAATGGTTCCCCTTTTTGCTGTCTTTGTAATTTTTGCGTCATGGGGGCTCCGCTCTAGACCAGATGCTGAGGGGAATCACACTCAATGACATGCAGTTTGAGCTACGAGAGCTATAGAGTTGAGTGGTTATACTAGTGCTACTGAATCTTCTATCACTAATACTTCCGAGGTACGATGTATACCATGGACTGGAAATGACTTTTGTTCAATAATCAACAAAGATTGAAGCAACCAAATCAGCCGTCCTGTGTTCATCCCATGATGAACGCGGCATTGCTTCTCTGTGATGCGTAATCCTCTGTGCTCGTGTAAGGTAGCATGAGATCCAGACATGGACATGTCATCGCCAGCTGAAAGCGCACAACCAACCGCCTTCAGAACCGCGAAATGTCCCGCCCAAACACCCACGACACGAACCAATACACGGGCACCATCATCTTATTCCGCAAGCTCATGCTCCTCGTCAGATACGCCCCCCGCCACACGACCCAGGCAACCCATCCCCGCAGCTCGTCGGCAGAGCTCTGGTGAATCGCCTTCCAGCCGCCGAGGTAGGTCAGCGTGCCCCAGTTGCGGAACTTGAACGGCTTCCAGGCGCTGCCGACGTCGACCGCGTCGAGCGAGCCGTTTTGCGTCGCCTTGTTGAGCTGCTTGGCGAGGTATCCGGCCTGCTGGGCGGCTACCTGTGCTGTTTTCGGGAGCGACCGGTCGCCCTCGTTGACTGCGCAGTCGCCAATGACGAAGACGTCGGGCATGACGGGCTTTGATGATGTGCCACCGGCAGCGGCGGCGGCGTCATGAGGTTGTGAGGTTTCACTGTCGGTTATACGAGCACGAAGGTAAGCGTCGGTGAGGATGCCGCCTGTTTTGGCGTCTTTCACGAGACGGTGAGGTCGAGCGTCTTCTGGCTTCTGCAGCTCCTTGTCCTGGGCGACGGCAAACTCTTTGCCGACCAAATGTTCCACAAAGGGATTCTGCATCAGCCCCGTGCTCCAGACGACCAGCCCGGCGTTGACCTCGTCGCTGTACTCCTTGATCTTGATGCTCATCCCACCGTGTGCACTCCCGAGAAGTCCATCAGCTATCCTCACGCGCTCCAGGTGGTGCTCAGTCCTGACCTGGATGCCCTGCCGCGCAAACGTATCCATGGCATACTGCGCCAGCGCCTGGTCAAACATGGGCAACACCTTGGGCGCGATGTCGTACACCGTGATGCGGACCAGCGGCACCAGCTCGGGATACAGCTTCTTCAGATCCTCGTGGATCAGGTCGTGCAGTTCTGCCGCAAACTCGATCCCCGTGGGACCGCCGCCGACAATGACGAAGTGAAGCAGCGATCGCTTGTCGGCCTCTGAGAGCGAGCCCTTTGCGACATGCGTGTCGCTGCTGTCGGCGGGAGTCGGATATGAACACTGTTCGAAGAGGGAGAGGACTCGTAGTCGGATGCGTCGCGCGTCGCCCACGTCTCGTAGGAAATGTGCATGTTCCCTCACCCCGGGGATGCCAAAGGTCTGGCTGTAGGCTCCCACGGCGATGACGAGCTTGTCATACTCGACATCAAAGACTTCGCCTTTCTTGGCCGCTTCCTTCTTGACTGCTTCCTTCTTTACAGGTACCGTTGAAGATTGCAGTTCACTGGGAAGGCCGTCGACGGCATTGGCCTCGACCCGGATGACCTTTTGGGAGAAGTCGACATCGTCGGCCCAGCCTTGGTAGAAGCGCACGCCTCCGGGTAGACGCCGGACAGGCTCGAGCACGGCTCTGAATTCGAGTGTTCCGACGGACGTAGAGGCCAGAAGAGGCGTGAAGACAAAGTAACCGCGGGGAGAGATGACGATGCGGTCGAATTTGGCTGGGTCGAGGGTGCGGGCGAAGCTATATCCCGCCCATCCGGAGCCCAGTATCACGACTTTTTGCCTCTTGTTGTCTACGAGGAATAGGAGTCAGACTTGCAGGTTATGGCTTTTCGCAATTATAGACTTGAAGATACCTTGCTTTGATAGTGCCTGAATGCTATAACATCTCGAACACCCGCTGGTGCTTCGGACAAGGCGGGTGCAGGCTTTACCGAGGTTAGCTCGTCGTGCTGGGCGTGTGAGTGTACGCAGATTGTATGTGGTCCGACACATTGAGGCACTTGACGCCATGTTCACTTATCGGAAGGGCAATTGGATTTATTATCAAACAAACATTGGCTTATTAAATTCAGAACAAGAAGGATTTTTTTTATATCACTTTCTCGGCGCGTCAGCTTGATGTCGGCGTGGCGTCAGCTCCATAGTAGGCTCAAATTACTCACCTCTGTTATTTCGCCTCCCGGTTTCACCCTATGGCCCATAGAATGTGGACTCCTGAGATTCGCAGTGAGTTATTTTCACGGTGTAGATTTGAGATGAACCATTCATCTCGAATCTTTGTACAGTTATGAAGTCGACCTCCATGTAGTGAGATGCTCGTATTTACTCAGCTTGAAGCGGCTTATGTGCCTCGGCAGACGACATGAAGCCCCATGCAGGTACGGACGGCCTTTTCATACAAGTTCTTACATACACACACAACCACACATCCCTACCGTACCCAGGCAGATCCCTCATTTAGCCCGCTCTTCATCTCACAGCTCTTGAACGACCATGAGCCTCGTCGAAACCACCTCGATTTGATTGCCGTCCTCATATCATTTCCCCGCGGTTCGTCGTTGCTATCTTCAGCAGTGGGGTCAATGCATGCCCGAGATACGACCAGGTCCATCCCGGCAATATTGGGCCATTGATACCAGTTGTTTCCGACGGCTCAGTATCAAGTAGCACGCACACGACGATCTCCGCGTCACCGGCTATTAGTTGCTGTTCTAGTTTCGGTATCATACCTATCTCCTCCTTGCCTCCCCCACACTTTGGTGTAACGGGGATACGATACCGAAGCTCAGATGCCTGTTTGATATCTCCTCCTCCTCCTCCGCAGACGGAGAACGATATCTGCAGACAAGGCAAACCCAGTGCCCTCATTCAGCTGTAGCCCCATGCACTAATGCCGTGCTCAATTGCCTGATATCAGATTTGATATCGGGTGACTTCCGGCAGCACGCAAATCCCCATCTTGTCAAGTCATGTCTTATCTATTTGCTGCGAGATCATCCATCTTCCTGGTAAGGCATATACATAGTGTACAGGGATTATTATCAGTGAGAGAGCGGGGTTCGGCCTATAGGTATGCGAGCAACCCCAACGTTCGAGACATACATACAACAGGAGAAGGTAGTAGTAGTCTATTAGATCGGCCAGCTCTCAATGATTTAATAGGCCTGCTGTTCCCCTTTCTCTTTGAAGGCCGTACTAGTATCATTTTGTTACCTGTGAACTGTTTGCCTTGTGTGGTTGAAAATGGCTGCCGACAAGACGGAGAAGCTCGATCTTGAGCAGACGCCGACGCTGGCGGTTGCGGAAAAGGGCGAACTTGTTCAGATCGATGCTGATGAGGCACTTAACGCCATTGCTGGTCTGGATGCGGCCGCTTTTCACCTTGATGAGGAGACGGAGCGGCGGTTACTGCGCAAGATTGATTGGAACCTCATGCCTGTAAGTTAACACATCTACAGGACTTTTGACCTTTACCCCCAAACTAACGATGCTCGTTCTGCAGCTCATGTGTCTTGTTTATGGCCTCAATTACCTCGATAGTATGTCAGCTCAAACTCAGAAAGTGTGCTGCACTTTTAACAACTTTTGATAGAAACGACACTATCCTATGCGAGCATCATGGGGCTGAAAGAAGACCTCAAGCTCAAGGGCGACAACTACCAATGGCTGTCGAGTCTGTTCTACTTTGGTAAGCATCCCCGAATGAACACCAGTCGCGATGCAATCTAACAATCCGTGTCTGGCGAAGGATATCTGGGCTGGGAGTTTCCGACGAACCGTCTGTTGCAGCGGTTTCCTCTCGCCAAGTACTCCGCCTTCAACATCATCATGTGGGGAATCGTCCTGTCTCTCTTTGCTACCACGGAGAACTTTGGGGGAGCTGTTGTCATTCGACTGTTTTTGGGGATCTTTGAGGCAGCTGTGACGCCCGGCTTCGCCTTGTTCGTGTCTCAGGTATGCTTTGATGCACTGATAGGAGCATACGGATACTGACGCAGCTGCGTAGTGGTACACCAAGAAAGAACAGGGCTTTAGAACGGGTATATGGTTCAGCTTCAACGGCTGGGTATGGCTTATAGTTAGCCTTATTTCGTCGTAAGTGCCAATGCTGATTGTTTTGTAGGCCCAGATATTTGGCGGCTTGGTAGCATACGGCTTCGCCCACGGCGCCTCGACCTACGGCTTCTCCATCGCCCCCTGGAAGGCAATCTTTGTCTTCACCGGCGTCCTGACGAGCACCATTGGCATCATCTTCCTCTTCATCATGCCCGACAACCAGCTCAACGCAAGATTCCTCACCAAAGAAGAGCGCCTCCTAGCCATTCAGCGGATCAAGGTCAACGAGCAAGGCATCGGCAACAAGCACTTCAAGTGGTACCAGGTCAAAGAGGCCCTTACCGATCCCGCCATCTGGGCCTTTGTCTTTTATGCGCTCGTCGCGGATATTCCGAATGGGGGCATCTCCAACTTCTTCAGCCAGCTGATTGTCTCATTTGGGTATACGCCGGAGCAGAGCCTGCTGTACGGAACGCCGGGTGGAGCGGTTGAGGTTATCGCTCTGTTGCTCTGCGGTTACTTGGGTGATCGCATGGGGAGTCGAATCTTGGTGTGCATGTCGGGGCTTGTGGTGTCGATGATTGGGGTGATTATGATTGTCGCCATTCCATTGGACAGGCCTGTCGGTCGACTGGTTGGCTACTATCTCACTCAGGTAAATCGCCAATTGCTGAAGATGAAGCTCAATGTGAACCGGGCTAACGGCATACCAGGCGAGCCCAACGCCTTTTGTTGCGCTGTTGTCCTTGATCTCTACCAATGTGGCTGGTGAGTACAGGACGATTGAAGCTTTCATATCAAATACTAACACATGAGCAGGATGGACCAAAAAGACAACCGTGGCAGCAATGTATCTGGTTGCATACTGTGTCGGGAACATTATCGGTAGGAGTGCATCAAACATTCGATTGACGGCGATATTAACTCCTTTCCAGGACCGCAGACTTTCCGTCCGGAAGATGCACCGCAGTATCGGCCGGCCGAGATCACCATCCTGGTCTGCTGGGGCACTTGCCTCCTTGATCTTGCTTTCATCTGGTGGTGGTACCGGCGACAGAATTACAAGAAGAGTCTTGTTCGGGCGGATCCGTCTTATACCAAGGTTGAGAACCAGGAGTTTCTCGACATGACGGATAAGGAGAATGCGGAATTCCAATACTCTTTGTGATGGACTAGGATGAACACTATATATGTGTACCATGTGAACATAGAACAGACCCCAAGATGTGATTCATGCGTCAAGTTCCCTTTATGTATTTAGTCTTCATGTTCAAAGTGACTATTAGCGCAACTGCCAGCAGTTGTTCCACAAGTCTAGAGAATCACTCTTTATTCTCGGATGTGTTCCACGTTGCTGGGGCCTCTGCTGTCGCTTTGCGAGTCGTAGTAGTAAGCCCTATAACCATATAGTTTAGTTTACAACTCATGTAAGACGATATTGCCTAACCGACTTGAACGGCGGTGTCAGATCTTCCAATCAGCACTCTTTTAACAATAGCTTCCATCCGCCTGAGAGAACTTTCCCCGAACCCTGTCATCTTCGTAGCCTGAGTCCTCACCTTTCAACTCGTTGGCCATGAGAAAGCTAATGAAAAACCTCCATGAAAGCTCGGTTTTAATAACCCCTTGAGCATTTCTCCGATCTTTTGCTTGTCAGTCATCTGCACCTATTTTCTCACCCGCAGGTTGGGCAGTCACCCAACTAATGAGGTGCAAACAACGAATGCATTTCTCACGACCGCCAACTCCGCTTACACTTTGGAACGTTCAGACGGGTATAAGTTGCAATGAACCCGGCCTTTTAAGATATTTTCCGTCTCCCGAAAGTCTTATAATATCGGTGTGGCAAACGTCAGCTCAGATGCTGGCCCGATGGACGGTCCTCAACCTCAACCTACATGAAGCTGTATCCATCGTCTTTCCTTCGAGACTATAAAGGCCACCTATCCGGATGCGAGATATTGAGAACTGTTTCGTTCAAGAGTATTAAGACTCCAGCACGAGACACCCGCTTGCCCTTCACCGAGTTCAAAAGATTTGATTGAGACAATGGCTTCCATCACCGCTGGCCCCGAGTATTACACCCCGCCTCCCCCGGGAGCTTCTTCCACAGCAGCGATAGAGCAAGATGCACCAGCTCTCCTCGACTTGCACCGTCAACTCCCCAATCTTCACATTTACACCGCTTCCTCCCCCGACTTTGACATCCTGAACAGGGTCAATGACAGATCCATCACCACTCTCCCTCTCGCTACCGTCCGCCCAACAGATGAAGCCCAGGTCGCAGCAGCCGTGCGCTACATTGCCCAAAACGGCCTGACATTGGCCATTCGCAACTCCGGAGCAGACCAGGGCGGTCGAAGCCGCGCCTATGGACCAAAGGACGTCTCTCTCGACGTCCGCTCCATGACCAAGATGGTGCTTTCCGCTGATCGAAGCTCGCTGACGGTTGACGGAGGCGTCGCGGGAGGAAACGTGGCGAAATTCCTGGATAGCTTTGGACTTGCTACACCTACGGCATTTTCCCCCGCGGTTGGCTACGTCGGATGGGCCTGTGGCGGCGGCTACAGCTCCTTGAACGGCATCATGGGCTTGGGCGTGGACAACATCCTCAGCGGAAGGGTTGTCTTGGCCGATGGGCGTGTTATGGACACGGACGACGCCGACTGCGATCCGGATCTCCTGTGGGCTCTTCGTGGAGGCGGTGCTGGGATCGTGGGCGTCGTCTCTTCGCTTCGGATTCGTTGTCATCGGCGTCCGGATGTATTGGCCGGGGTTGTCCTCTTTCCTCTCGAGGAGACGCCTCAGATTGCCAAGCAATTGAATGAGTTGTATGCGTGGAAGAAGCCACCGAAGTTTGCGGGTGATGCAGCTGTTTTCAAACGGGCTGGTATGGACGCGGCTTGCTTTTCCTTCCTTTTCCACTGGTCTCTGGAGGAGGATCGGAGTGATCTCGATGAGGCGAAGGATTACGTCGAGCGTATCGCGAAGATGGGAACCGTCCTCGTGAACACCGTCAGAGAAAGTAAGCTCATACTAACAAGTTGCTCAAACATTTTGCAGACGATAAGCAAAAGCTGACACGTCAAAAACAGCCACGCCATACGGCTTTATTTCGACAATGACTGAGATCCGCCTCTACGAAGAGCTCGTCTTCATCAAGAAGCAAATCTCGGTACCCGGCTGGTCAGAGGAACTCGGCCGCATCATATCCGAGCCGCTCCCGACGGCCTCGTCCAACATCATCATGCACGACAGCCACGGCGCCGGAACGCGAGCCTCTGGAGCCGCCCTCGAGGAGAACGCCGCTTTCCAGAACCGCGAGCCGCATCTGATGTTTGGCTTCTTCCCGTCCGCGCATCCTGATGATAAGGAGGGGATGAAAGTGGGACGAGCGTGGGCGGACAGGCTGTTTGATGGGATCAAAAAGGCTGGGCTTGCTATGCCTTCGCACTACATTAACTTTGCGTCGCCTGAGAAGGGGGACGGGTTGTTGTATTACGGACCGGAGGCCATTGTTCGGATTAGGGCGGTGAAGCGGCGACTTGATCCGTCCAACTTGTTTGCCAAGAGTACGCCTGATATCGCGGAGATATAGATCTTTCCTGGCATATGGCTGTTTTCGTGTCTCTAGTCTCTAGGCGTCTTGCATCCATCTTCGTGCAAGTTTGGCAATGGATATGTCCCTGCAAGCTGATACATAACGCAATTGATGTTCAACATGTATGCAATTCAGGGCAGTGATTGAATGTCACTGAATTCATTGTGGTACGTTGCACTAACTCTCGTAATACCTCGCCTCCCGGGATTATCATGGGGATTTGCATGCGGGGAAGCAACTCGATCGTCAGCTTCGTCAAAGGCAAGCTGGTGCTGACATGCTCTTCAGCGATGCTTCTAACGTGAATATTGCTTCCGAACCAACTAACGAGGCCGATGCTGCGATAAAAGCATCCATTCCTGCTTCAGACCAGCCCGAAGTTGATGGACTAGGAATCTATCGGAGAATTCATCTCACCTAAGAGCCGTCATGTCAACTATACCAGATGACTATCTAGAAAGAGTCTACGCAGGCGTCCTGGGAAAACTCATCGGCGTCTACGTCGGACGACCCTTTGAAGGCTGGACACACCAGCAGATAGTAGAAGAACTCGGCCACATCCGCGGCTACGTCCACGACAAAGTCGGCGATCCCCTCGTCGTCACAGATGACGACGTCTCAGGCACATTTGCGTTCGTCAGGGCCCTAGAAGAGCACGGCTACTCCCCCGAGATTTCATCTGAACAGATTGGAAAAACCTGGCTGAACAATGTCATTGAGAATCGGACCATATTCTGGTGGGGAGGCAGAGGCATGTCCACGGAGCACACTGCCTTCTTGAACTTGAAGCGAGGCATTCCTGCACCTCTCAGCGGCGCCATGGAGACAAACGGCAAGACGGTTGCGGAACAGATTGGCGCGCAAATCTTCATCGATGGCTGGGCTCTGGTGGCTCCTGGAAATCCCCAACTGGCGGCCAAGCTCGCTCGTGCTGCGGCTTCGGTCAGTCACGATGGTGAAGCTGTGTATGCGGCTCAGCTGTGGGCTGCCATGGAGGCGGAAGCGTTTGTCTCGAGGGACATTGACCACCTCCTCGATGTTGGTCTCTCTTTCATTCCTGAAACATCACTCCTTGCCCGTGTGATAGGCAAAGTCCGGGCATGGGTCGCGGAAGACGGAGACTGGACAAAGACTCGCCAGAGGATTGAAGAGGAGTTTGGTTACGACAAGTTCCACGGTGTATGCCACGTCGTTCCCAATCATGCCATCATGATCATGACTGTGCTCTATGCGAGCGACGACTTTGATGAGGCCATGCACATCATCAATACCTGCGGCTGGGACACAGACTGCAACTCCGGCAACGTGGGCTGTCTTGTGGCCATCATGCTCGGCCTCTCGGCTTTCGAAGGGCCGTATGATTGGAGAGGGCCTTTGGCGGATCGCGCTCTCATATCCAGCGCTGATGGAGGATATTCCATCAACAATGCCGCCCGGATATCCTACAATATCGCCAACATTGGACGTCGTCTGGCCGGCCACGAGGAACTCAAGCCTCCAAAGGCTGGTGCTCAATTCCACTTTAGTCTTCCAGGAAGCACTCAGGGTTTCCAGCTTTCCTGGACGTCTGGCGCTGAACAAGGTACCTCAGCCGTGCTACAGCAACGAATCGACAGCTTACATGGTCCTGGTCTGGCAATTGATGTAGATAACCTGGGCCAGAAACAAGGTCAGCTCGAGATTCTCACCCAAATCTTTACCCCCAAAGAGGTTCTACAAATGAAGGTGTACGAGTTGATGGCATCGCCACTGGTGTACCCCGGCCAGACAGTCACAGCCAAGATACGCACCAGTGGTGTTGGAGAGGCAGTCGTTGGGCTGAGGCTCAAAGTGTATAGTCGGAAAGACGACTTGGTTACCGTTGATGGGCCGTCTAGAGTGTTGGAACCTGGAGAAGAGCATTCACTGACTTGGACGATCCCTGACGAGATGGACAGCCAGCCTATCCAGAAGATTGGCATTGTCATAAACCCCGGGACATCAGACTCATTCAAAGGGACCGTTTGGCTTGACAGCCTTTCTTGGACCGGCGTGCCGAACATGGTGATTCGAGGACCATTGCAGAGACCATGCGAGTTCTGGCATCGAGCGTGGGTCAACGGCGTCGATACCTTTAGTGATTGGGCTTTCATCATTGCTCAAGGGCAAGGCGAAGGCATCATCAGCCACGGCACACGAGAGTGGGACAATTACAGCGTCACCGTCCCCAACTTGATGGTCAAATTCGGTGCCCCAGCCGGTCTGGCCATCAGAGTCCAGGGCCTCAATCGGTATTATGCCTTGTTCTTCACAGGGGACAAGAGAGTTGTCCTGATCAAGGCATTGGATGAAAGGAGAACAGAACTCGCAAGTACAGGATTCTCGTGGGAGCTGGATCGGACATATCGGGTGACGCTGACGGCTTATGGTGATTGCATTCGAGCGCGGGTTGACGATGTGGAATTGCAGGCTGTTGACCCGCAGTATGGAGGAGGAGGGATTGGACTTGTGGCCACGGACGGGTGTGTGTCGGCGGACTGTTTTGAGGTTGCGCCTGCCATTTGATAGCACATATGGCTAGGCCAGGAGATTGGGGGAAATGAGGGTTGAGACGATGTATAACTTGAGATTCTGGATCGAAGACCTCACGTTGCATCACAGATGCAGTGGGTGCTCAAAATGCCGGGTCAAGCTCAGCTTCGGCTAATCGATACCGATAACAGATCGGCGCATCGCCTTTAGCGCCAAATGGCCCCGATCGCGCGCTGTAATGTCGCAGCTGCAGCGAATGGGCGAGCTCGCTGCCCGATCGAGGGCCGCTAATGGAGCCGCTGTGGCGCCATGACCTCATGCATCTTCAGTGGTGACGGGGCTGTATCTCCCGGTACCTGCAGCTGCTTGAGACTGTGCGCCTTGCTTGTGGTATCTTCTGGTGAAGCTCAGCTTGTGCTCCCTTCTGTTTTTTTTTTTTTTTCTCCCTTCTCTTCATCTCTTCCGCCAGCAACATTTTTCCACTCCTCCAGTACTCGTCTGCCTGTCGCCGCAATCAACAACAACCGCTTCGATGGCCGCGATGGGCGAAGCAGAGAAATACCGGCAGGGCGACCCCCAGCAGCAGTTCCAGAATCCCGGCCAGAGCCAGTATCGGTATCAGAACCAGAACCAGGCGCCATACGGCCAGGGACACAACAACAACAACAACAACAACAACAACGGCTACAATCCTAGTGCTCCTCCTTACAACCCGGCCTACAACAGCAACCAGCAGCCTCCAAACGGCCAATATCAAGAACATCCGTACGGCCCTCCTCCGCCTTACAGCTTCAACCCTCCGCAGCCCCACGACGAGAAATACTCCTTCAACGATGCCTTCAAGCTGGAAAAGCCCAAGTACAATGACTGGTGGGCGGGCCTCCTTGTACGTTGTCATGACCATTCATGCTTCTTTATCGCGGTGCATTCGCTGATCGCTGACTATCATTACATCCAGTTCCTCGTTGCCTTTGCAGGCTTTGTGGCCATCTCGGGCATCGCAATCAACGGCTACAGCAGCGGCTTCCACGGTGATGGCATCTACGCTGACCTCAACAGCTTCTCGCTCAACAGCAATACCATCATACTCTTCGCGTTTTGCCTGGTCATCGCCTTTGTGTTTTCGTACGGATACGTCTGGCTGGCACGCATCTTCCCAAAGCAGTTCATATGGATCACTGGCATCCTCAACCTGGCATGGGCGCTTGGCACGGCCATATTCTACTTGATCAAGGGATACTGGTCTGGAGGAATAGTCTTCCTCATCTTTGCCGTCTTCCTCATCTTTGCGTTCTGGACCTGGATTGGCCGGATTCCCTTTTCGGCACTGATGCTCAAGACGAGTATCGATGTCAGTAAGAAACACGGCCATGTTTACATCGTCAGTCTCATTGGGGGCCTTGTGGCAACGGCATTAGCTGCTTGGTTTTCCGTCACGCTGGTTGCAATCTACGTCGCCTACGAACCCTCGCCCGACAATCCACGATGCTCCGTCTCAGGGAACAACTGCAGTCATGGAAAAGTTATTGGCTTAGTCGTCTATGTGACGTTTGCCATGTTCTGGTTCTCCGAATGGCTCAAGAACACCGTCCACACCATTATCGCCGGTGTCTATGGATCGTGGTACTTCTCGCCGCATAACTTTCCCAGAAAGGCCACTCGCGGCGCCGCCAAGAGAGCACTCACGTATAGTTTTGGATCAATATGTCTCGGCAGTTTGATAGTGGCCTTTATCCAGTTCCTGAAGCAAGTGTGTAGCGTCGCTCGGTCTCAGGGCGCAAACGAAGGTGGTGCGGGTGGCTGGATTGCCTATGCTATTTTCTGCATTATTGGATGCCTATTGAGCATCATTGAATGGGTCGTGGAATTCGTCAACCGATATGCTTTCTGCCACATTGCGCTTTACGGCAAAGCTTACATCGCCTCTGCCAAGGATACCTGGAGGATGATCAAGGACCGCGGCATTGATGCCCTCGTCAATGTACGTCTCATCTCGTCATCGTCCCTGAGTAGAGTCACTAATAAGTGCAGGACTGCCTCGTTGGCCCCGTTCTTTCCTTTGGTGCCATCTTCATTGGCTATGCATGCGCCCTTTTCGCTTACCTGTATCTCCTCGAGACCGACCCGCCGTACAATCGGGACGGCGGATTCACTGCGGTCATTATGGCGTATGCCTTCTTGATTGGCTTCCAGATTGCGCACATCTTTACGACACCTTTGGGAAGTGGTATCGATACCATCTTTGTCGCTGCTGGCTGGGATCCGCAGGTCATGATGAGGGACCACCCAGAGCTGTATCATGAGATGGTTCGGGTCTACCCAAGAGTCCAGCAGGCCATTCATTGATCGAATTGACTGTCAAGTGGGAATGGGGGAAAATGACAAGCGGTTTATGGACATAATTATTTCTGAGTGAAGTTCAATAAATTGACAGTCTGAAGACCCCCTCAGTCTACAGACTCTCACCACTACTACCTATATGAGCATATTCCATCTCATCGAGCCAGAGATTCACTTGCAGATGCGAAGGCACTAAGATTTTAGGCATCGACAGACACCGTCTTAATATATTAAATTATGTACTTCTATCAGTCCAGGTATAACGTGAAAACCCCCTAATTTGTCTTTTGTATGCGCATCTTGTGAGTCATTTGTTTCCACCAAAAGCTTCAATGCATCAAGTCATTCAAATAGCCAACAGCCGCTCAGTAGTTGGCGCTCCCGCCGTTGGCCAACATGCCGCAAGGCCCATTGCTGACCGTCGTTCCAGTAGAAGCCCCGTTCAGCGTCTGGAACGCGTCTATACCGACAAACTGGTTCGCATGGCAAACGCCGTCGGTGCCGACGACCAGGTAGCACGAGCCGCTGGCGTAGAACAAGGAGCCTCTGCAGGCGGCGGTGCTGAAGCAGGCGGTGCAGCAGTCGTAGGGGGTTTGGGTGCCGCTGACGGGGATGAAGTTGCCGGGCGCGCGGGTGCTGACGCCGGCGATGCCGTTGCCGCCGTTGGCGGTATAGATGAGGTTCTCGGGGCCGCAGACGGCCTGGAAGGTTTCCTGGGGGGCGACGACGGATTCGGTGGCTGTTTGTGTGCACTGTTAGCATTTTTGGTTCAAGGTTTGTCTTGTGGGTATTCCGGGCTCATGGGGAAGAGGCAGAATGGGGGGGGGGGGGGTTAACTCACCAGTTGTGGTGGTGGTTGTGGTGGTGGTGGAATCAGTGGCGGTAACAACGATGCTGGTCGTCGAGGTCATCACCGTGCTGGTGACATCGGCAGGGAAGACCGTCTCCGTCTGGGTCTGCTTGAGCGTCGTGGTGACGGTCTTGGTCTTGGGACGGGCGGTCCGGGTGCAAGCCCGAGCGGTGTAGGTGACGCGCTTGACGACGATGGGCTCGATGAACTTTGTGCAGGTGACGGACTGGGGGTGCATGGGAGGCCAGAAGACGGGGCCGCCGGGGCCGCCCTTGCACTGGAGGGAGTTGCCGCGCTCGAGGAGGCTGTTGGCGGCGGCGGCGGCGGAGCGGCCCTTGATGCGGGGGACGAAGCCGGGCTCCTGGGCGATGGGGGTGAAGTCGGCCGGGGCGGGGATGGTGGTTGTGGGGGTTGTGGTCACGGTGGTTGTGTCGGTTTCGGTGTCTATCTCGGTGACGATGTTCGTGGTGGTGCTGTATGACATGACTGTGATTCATCTGTTAGTGCTCTGAGATTCTATGGACGGGAGGTTGGGTTCTCACTTGTGGATGTGATGGTGGCGACATCGGTAACGGTAGGCTCCGTGGTGACGGTGTGGACGACGCTGGTGATGGTCTTGGTCTTGGTCTTGGTCGGCGTCACGGTCGGGTGAGGCGTCGTCGTGTACCTCTCGGTGAAGGTGACGGTCCTCGTCTTGTAGTTCCAGTGCGTCTGGACGTGGCGGTTGACCTGAGGACCGAGCTTGGTGGAACAGGTCACGTATTCCTCGACAGGATAGCGGTTGGGCTGGTGGCCGAAGGCGAGGGCGCCGGAGCCCAGCGCCAGGAGGGAGACGACGGAGTTGATCTTGACCATTGTGATGAACTTTGGGGGGGTTTGGACTGCTGCTGGGTAGAGAGACAGTTGCCGGATGGAAGCCGAGGACGAGAAGACGGTTTATATCCTGTACTATTTATTCACTTCTACTGTTCGACCAATTTTCATCGCTAGCCATATCATGTGGTTCACCAAGATGGCCTTTCTTTCCTCCTCCCTGCGTTCTGCCCCAAGCCACGATAGCTTCAACAAACACTAACACTACCAGCCCGCGTGGTCAAGGTCCCATCCCTGGCAGCTGAATCCAGATCGGCCACTCAAAAGCTGCAGCATCCACGTCAGAACCCGCAAGACTATTGACGGTGCTTGTGCCAATAGCCGAGTCTCTGGCGCCCCAGCTGAAGAAGCCTTGTTAGCGCCGCTTCTTCTTCTCCTTCTCAGGTGAAGCTACTGCTGGTTGTTGTTCTAGATTGCGGGTAGACACAAAGTCTAGATTGCGGTTGCGCCCCCCTTTTTGCCCTTTTCGAGGAGATTTCGCCTCTGCGGGTGTGGCGTGGCCGAAGCGCCTCCAGGGGTAAAAAAGGTCGTGGCAATTGGGGCCCTCGGGGGGTTGCCAAGAGAGCTTTTTTTCGGGAGCTGTTGTTCTACAGCGGAACCGGCACTTACAAGTGCCGGGTATAACGTCGATAACTGCGCCTCGTCTGTATCTTGGCAAAGCAGAGAAAGATGGTATGTATTTACTACACCATCTCTGTATAGGCCAATTGAGGATGGAGGCGAGACCCGAGAAGCTGGGGGAAACTTCAATGGTGGCAACCATTTCCGTCAAGCCGGGACAGCGAGCGGGCTGGGTTCAGTTGAGAGATCTGCATCGTTTTCAGCTCTTCAGCCGCACGCTTCTCCTTGCAGCTTTTCGCTGAACGCATTATGACATTGACTACAATCTCAGGCATCGCTCACACTTGTTGACTGCTGTGGTCATTGAGTTGCAGATCCTGAGGCTATCACTATTACAGCTCAGATCATTTCAGTCAATGATAGGCAGAGGCTGAGCCAACGCATGCCAACTACTGTAAAGACTTTTGACTACGGACGCGAGGGGAGTTGTTAGGGCGCTCCGGCGCCACGACCGTTGGGCTTTTAGATCGGTGAGCATCAGGGCTAGTTGTCGCTTTGCATATCGACCCATGTACTAGGATTATCAAGCCATGTGAGGGATGGGGCAGATCTGGGCCGATGGCCTGCGGAGTTCATGCTTTTTCCAAGTTTTCAGCTCCTCTCAGACAGGGTGGGTATATATTCTTCGTGAAATGCATGACCAGTCCGTACCTCGGCTATAGACGTCAAAGACGAGTCTCCATGGCCAGTATAATACTGTATATTATGTCCCGGCAACTGGTGGAAACGGCAAGATTACGGTGTATCTTTCAGCCATCTCTTCGCCAACTCTTGAAAGAAGACCAAAGCAGTCAACTCTTGTTATGGACGTGTCCGCTACCTCATCAGCTGAAAACTTCTCAGCAAACCCCTCGTTGATCAGAAGTAAAGTCTTTTAGCCATTTGATGCCGTTCTAGTAACGGGTCTGGAAGTGGTGAGCCTGACGATACTTCTGTATTACATGTGAATGCCCATCCGACAATCCAATCCGTTCATTGTCAAGGTCCAAGTTTTCCATTGGTTCTAAACTTTCCGGCACCTTGAACCCAATTGCGAGTCCTGGTGTTTACTCTTCCAATCATGTCGGTTAACACGGCGTGCATGAGCTGAGCACACCGCCATGTACGCGCTCATCCCATCTTCCAGCCATCATCTTTCGTAAGTTCACCCAATCGCAGTTATTCAAGTTTGTCACATCTTGGTATGTACTTGCGCGACTCCCCTTCAGCTATTGTCTGCCCTCTCATAGCGAACTGGGGCTCTCTGTCTCTTTAGCATACCGAGGATAGCTTAATACCACGTTTTCAACACGCGTCCGGATCTGCATTGAACCAAGAAAATATCAAGCATAATCTGAATTTAATTCTTACAACGATATTTTATCTAATCCTTGATCTGAGCGGGCAAGCGGGGTGCTGCGAATGCAACCAAAATCATCTGCGTCCTTTGTCATATCTACCTTGCAGAGACATCAGCCCAGTGTTGCATTTTCAAGCAAAGGCCTCCACGAGAACGCAGACTCTTTTTGCAGTCATATTTTGCTAGACTATGAAAGGCATGCATCACCAACATATACTTCGAAGGGTTCATACATAACCGCTTGGTAAATTATCACGTCACAGGCTGTGAAGCATAGAAAACGCTACGGGATTTTCCTCGTCCAACTGACTACCTACTTATGGTTGCGTTTAACCTTCCATCCAGGGCTTGAATGACACCATCGCCAGATTGGCATATCTGGCATTCAACGTGACAGGGCGGGTTTCCAGCTGGTAGTTCATCGACCGGGACGGAGCTTCTGCTGGCTCCCTGTCGTTTGACTATTTGTTTGGAAGACTCAAGATTTCCCTGTCACATTGGACAAATGGTGCCCGCTGTATCTTCCAGTTTTGGCCAGACTCAGGAACTTAATGTCGCTGGCTGTCTGATAACTTGCACCAATTGCATTATCAACCAGACTATCATACTTGGGATACTTTGTTCCTATCGATCGTTGCCGTATACTCCGTACACACGCGTAGGTACTAGATACGTATCGGCTGGGTTACTTTCAAAATTCTACCTAGTTATCATTTCACATCGATACTCCATCAATCTCTACAGCTCTCTGCCCAGCTATGTATCTTTGCACGTTGAACATATGATATCTCTACCGACAGGGACATCTATGCCAATATGGACTCAATATCGTCCACGTAAGATGCCTATCTATCACACCGTTTCTAAGATACTCCTGTTATGACCAAAAAAGCAGGTTGACAGTCCATTACTCCAAGTCTCAGCTTCAAAATCGAAACGAGATGCAGAAACAGCGCCAGAGGCTCCCAATCGAGCAGACTACCACGTCACTCGAACCGATGTTGTTCATTAGATGACCTTCATGTTTTCTGTCCAAGTTTCCTTCGTGCTCGTCCCGGCGTTGCGGCGATATGAACGAGCAGTACTATCTCCTTGGCCTCGGGACCAATATCTACACCTTTCGTGGCGACTTGCACCCTTTTCATCAAGGTCTCGCTATGGATGCTTGTGGCAAAAGTACGGTTGCTCAAACTCCTTCGCATAGACTGTCCGTATGTTTTGTTCAGGGCTTTCTTTGGCATCGGTCAGCTGAAGTGGGTTTGATATAGCAAACCTCGTCAACTGGTGGATTCACAACAATACGACAAGGCCTCACAAGAATGCGTCAAATCCCTCCGCTTCTTGTGGACTCATTGTGGAAGGTATAAAGAACGACCGCGTCTCATAGTCAGCTACGCTCACTGACATGCTCAGACAACTTATACCAGCTGTAGTGGCCATTTTCACGTTTGCCCTTGCTCTTCTGATCAACCCATTTGGGTAAGTACACAGCGAAATAGGTCGACGAAAAGCCTAGGCCAGCCCATTCTTCACTTGTTAATGGTCAACGCATTGATTCAATTTTAAGACAAAGCACTGGTACGATCTGACAGTTGCACGGTAGTTGAGCCTTCGGTGAGAAGCACAAGCGCCACAACTCACTATGCCCACGTCGTAGATCCTGAGAAGCCGTCCATCGTCAAAACCGGCGTTTAACGCCCAATGCTGATTCGCATGCTCAATCATAGTCTGATCCAGAACTGCCGCTCGGTTATACAACGGTAACTGCACCTTGCCGAATCCCCATCACTCTTCTGGATACAGTTCCCAATGCCGCGACAATTTCGATCAAGTGACGCCTCTACACAACGCTAGCTGGGGGCCTGGGAGGATTGACGGCTGGAGACGGGATGACGTGGACACTACTTTCGCCCGCGACTCTGGTCTCTTATCATTACGGTGTAAACAATGATGTTATTATCAAACAAAGTGATGCAGCAAACGGGGGCTACCACCCACGAATCATGGCATCTGCACTCGAGAAGTGTGCGAAGAAGAATACCATCACTCTATGGGCTACCGTGGTTACGACGCCACGACTGGTCATATAAATCTACAACTGCGTCATCAGCTACACGGGAGAGGTCAACGTGGGCGCTCTGCACAAGACGATTGTCGACATTTCCACTACCTACCTTAGTCAATGAATGGTGAGCCTGGTTATGATTTCAGGGGCACTATTGACGTCTCCTGCTTCAGTGAGACCGAATTGAACGCCTTATTACAGGCCAGATTCACAGTTGGATCGAATAATTACCCGGTGGTTGTCATGCAACGTGTCATACACGCCAGCATACAACATCACTCTGCGAGAGACAGTATCACGACCGGACTGCATTTATAATTTGAGGTACCATCGGATGATGCCATCAACGTGTTGTTGGATGCCTGTACCAACACACTGGTCAAGCGGTGGGATTCTCCAGCTGGTAGCATGATACGTGGCGACGTGCTATGGCAAGCTTTACGTAGCAAGGCGGAACTGGGACTCCTCAGGGGTTGGGGACGCATTTGCTGGAATGGCCAAGGTCCTGACGTTCTTTGCAAGGAGCAACCCGAACGATGCTGCCCAAGATTTGCCGGAGAAAATACCTGGAACGGAACGTCATAGTCTACTGAGATACAACGTGCGTGCGCATCGAGTGTCAGCGGATCACGTACCCGGCGAAGGCAGTAGTTAGGGCCATGGTGTTCCTTATTTGGACAATGGTCAAGACACGGACGGCCCTGGAAGCAGATGGGCATTTCCTTGCGTCTCAAACAACGACTTGGTTGACAGATATCTGCCTAAACTCGGCCGGCATATCGGTTTACGTGGCCGCTCCCTTGAAACGTATCCAGTCATTTGCGGCATTCGATGAGAATCGGGATCCAACTAGCGAACTATTCGTCTGGCTGCGTGAAATACTCGACGAGTCCCCTCGCTTCAAGATTGCGTTACTGGCAGACCGCATATGTTTGATGGACAGGGTTCAACATATCGGATCCGCATATCCAGTTATTTCCTGCAGGCCGACCTCAAGGCCTTTATCATTACCAAAGTCCGAAGAGCGAGCTCCTACAACCGCTAAAGGTCTAAGGATATGGTCATTAAGGAACTTATAGACACGTCGGACGGCGTATTGCTCTGGGTAAGCCTGTCGATGAAGGAGTTGTGCGGAGCATATTCGTAAGACGGCTTTGAGCGGATGCGGAATCGTTTGCCACTGGGCCTTGAGATTGCATATGATCGAGCTCCAGATGGAATTGTTGGATCCAGGAGTGAGGCCGCAATAGTACGCACGAAATATCTTTGGGCTTTTACTGTAGCGTCTGGCAGAACCTTGGGAGTTGACAACGACCAAACACGCCTTGCCGTACCAACCTGGGTGGGCGGACTCAAGGCCGACGAGGGAATCTGTAGACGCATACGAGGTGCCTGATCCTGCAAAGATGCTCTTGAGTACTGGTCGAGAGTTGGTCAACATCATGAATGACAAGATCAGACTTCTTAATTTCACGACTAAAGAATATCTGATCAGGAGTACAATCCACTAAGACTCGCAAACTATTAATCTAGGAGTCGATCCCGCAGAAGCTCAAGAAGTATTTGCCAATGTCTGTGGTGACTGAGGACCAATTCGGGCACGATGAAGGAGTCCGGCAGGCTTATAGATCAGTTCGAAAGGATATGGGACTCCCAAGCTGGGAATTACTGGCAGTCGCGACGACTGCGTCTTCTGGATGATTTGATGAGCTTGCTCGATGATGAAGACGATCCGGACCCCTTTGCGTTCTGGCGCAATCCTCCTTCAAGAGCAAAGTCACAGCTTCCCGACAATTGTACTTTTGGGTTCGGCGAGTTGTATGTCGGATCTCGTCAAGAGAAGGTGACATTTCTCGGTGCTTCTAAACAATTGCTGTATGTGCAAAAGAAGTTTGGCAAAATGGGTCTGAAGGATCTTGTCCCTGGCGATCGAAGAGTTGACTCATTGCTTTGAAGCCAGACACTGTGCTATCAGCGCCAGTTTCCCGATATGGAGTGTCATTCGGTCGTTTGCGATTCCTCTCGAAGAAGCTGCTGGTCTGGACTTTGAAGCTCTTTTGTGGCTCACCTGAGGCTGCACTTTGAATAGGAAAATTTGAAAGCTGAAAGAATCTCAAAGCTTTACTTCCCGTGAAGGACGGGAAGTACAATCCTTACCATCCATATAACCAGACCATCGTGCTCTTTCTAGGGCGAACCCTGCTTGCTCAAGAGAGATATGCCGAGACTGGAAATGATACTGCACAGAAACACGACCGAGTCAGCAACAGCATGTGAGTCTGCGAGGTCCAGAGCTCGGGTGAAGCATATGAGCATGATGTCAACGACTAGGTTGACATCGACTCGCAGAGGGGACTTAACCTGGAATTGAAACAAAAAGAAGAGGAGGAGATAAGGTCGGACGTAATCACGGAAAGCGAAGCCGAGGCCGACCTCAAGGCAGATCTTGGGGCTCTTTAAAAAAAACAGCATCGCCGTCAATTCACCGAATTCGCCGCAAAGGACGACAGGCCCGAATGTGGAGAGGCAGGGAGAGGCAGCCAAAGCCGAAGAGGTACATTGGCTCCCGAAGCTAGTAAGGTGGATGTAAGTCGATTGGACACTAGAATTGTCCGAGGTGAGACTCACGAGAATGAAGCTATTGCGGGCTTCTGACGATACACGTAATTACGGGAAAGAGGTGTCAAGGCCACTTACATCCGCTCGAACAAACTGTTATGCATATCTCGAGTGACACCTCAACGGTCAGGATCACGGAAAGTTTCACATGCTCAATAGAAAGCCGACGTAGCACAAAGTGTACTCGAAGGACTAAAAGATCAGAGACCCTGTTTCAAACCACATCACGAGCCGAACCTCAAGAGGATGACTCAAAGGCAGTTCATGCTGTATCCCCTCCAAAAAGAGCTGTTCATCTCGGCAACATGCATTAGCCTCAACCTCCACGCATGAAATACACGTGTCCCCTCCACGCAATCAACCCACTCTGGCCCTCTTCCTCTGACTCTAACAACGAAAGAGGGCCGCCCCCTTCGCTTATGACAACGAGTGCCGTGTGTGTTCAGCCTCACAATAACGGGAAACCAAAAAAGCACTTCGCAGAAAGCGTCGAAAACTGGGACTTTAGTGCCGGCCCCCTTCTATCCCTGCCGAAGGATTCGCTGTGGCGCCGCTAGGCAGCTTGTCTTGACCATACAATGTAGCCGGTTCCATGCCTGGCGTGTCGTGCTACTGGCGATGGACTGTTTGCTAGCTTGGACAGTGACGCGTTGGATTCATTTCTTGTCTGCTTCGACGTCGTACAGGAGAGGAGACTTTCGGGTCGTTCAGCTTGCCCGAGGAAACTTGAAGGGAGGAGGAATTGGCTACGATGGCCTCAAAGTTTAGGCGTATAGATATGGTCCAGTTGATCGCTGCCTGGAGCTATTCCAATCTATATCTATAACAGTGTGCCAACGTCCCAACACTTCAACAACTCATATGATCATCATCAGCTTCTCATCTATACAAGTGATACCCACCCCATCATGGCACCCCTAAAAGTCCTCATCATCGGCGGCGGCATCGCCGGCCCAGCGGCAGCATACTGGCTCCTCCGCATCGGCGCTCACATCACTCTCGTCGAACGAGCCCCTCAAGTGCGAGCTTCAGGCCAGCAAGTCGATATGCGCGGCCAAGGGGTTCCCCTCATGAAGAAGATGGGCATCGAGGAGGCCGTGAAAGCTGCATCCGTCCACGAGCCCGGCATGCAGCTCATCGACCGCCACGGCAACATCAAAGCCTTCTTCCCAGTCGCGGAGAGCGGCTCGGGGCGACAAGGCTTCACATCAGAATACGAAATCATGCGAGGGGATCTCGTCAAGATCCTGTATTCACTTACAGAGAACCACCCCAACGTGCGGCATCTGTTCAACACCACCATCAAGGGCTTCACCCAGGACGACGAGAGTGATCCTCATGGCAAAGTCCACGTCACTTTCCAAGACGACCACGTAGAAGACTTTGACCTCGTCATTGGCGCAGACGGAACCGGCTCGCGGACGCGCAGGATGATGCTCGGCGAAGGCGCACCGGATCCTCGGCGCCAAATGGGGGGTTACATCGGCTACTTCAGCGTCCCCACGAATCCCGGGGACTCGGACCGGGCGACGTTCTGTCATTTGCCAGGGGCGCGAATCATCGGCACGAGAAAGGACGTTCCCGAGCTGACGCGGGTGTACATGATATTCCGTGGAAGGAAGCCTTCCCTTGACGCGGCGCTGGAATCCGGAGATCTGACGACCATCAAGAAGGCTGTAGCCGAGATATATCAGGGAGGCGGCTGGGAATGTGATCGGTTCATGCATGCGCTCCTACACGCTCCAGAGGCCGACGACCTATACATTACGCCCATCCAAGAGGTGCATCTCCCGCCAGGGTCCTGGTCCAAGGGCCGAGTCGTTCTCCTCGGCGACGCGGCGCACTGCCATACAGCAGGCGGCTACGGATGCGCGTGGGGCTTGGTAGGAGCCTACATGTTAGCAGGAGAGATTGCAACGCTGCTGAAGAAGGACGGTTCATCGCCGTCAGCGGACGTCATCCAGGGGTGCAAGAATTATGAGGAAAAGTTCCGGCCTGTTGCCACGTCCATGCACGGAGGCTACGAGTGGTTTGAGGATTTACTGACGCCCAAGACGGACCTCGGGATCTGGATTCTCCATCTGTTTGCGAGATTGGCGGCGTGGCTCCGTGTTGGTGAAATGAGCGGGCTGGATGGATTGACGTCGAAGTGGCAGCTGCCGGAATACCCAGCACTGGAGAAGGATTGAGGCAGAGCTTCGTTGTAAGTATAAGCATATTGGATCAGCGTGGAGTTGGACATGTTCGCTCTTGTACACTAAATAATCTCCCATCACTTATTGTAATGTAATTTCCTTTGATACAACACACTCTGTTCTCTCGTATCTACTCGCTTGTAGGATAAAGTCCTGTCAATGTTCGTTTAGCTGCAACTGGCGCTCGTGACAGAGGCAGCCCAAAGTACACATATTCCCATCTCTCAATGAAGGGGCTCGTTATGTCGTATTGAATAATACCGCAAACGTGTTATTTCCTCTTTTGTCCCACGGACGCCCCAGGTCCCTTTCAATTGAACGTGTCAAGCCAACTCAATATTGACGAATCTCGAGCGGTCCCCCTTTCCCCCCAATACTCATCATAGCTCATCGTCACACGAAACTCACAACCAGACTCCAGATCCTCTCCATAAAGCAAAGCGCGATCACTCAACCAGTGGAAGAGGCATGACCCGCATGCGCTTCGCACCCCAAACGTGTTGAGCTCGATCAAGCTGCACCAGGCAATTTCCTTGTCATAAAACACATCAAAAGTGAATCCCTGCCTGCGAATGACCCTCTCCAACCCGCGATCCTCATACGCCTGCATAAACTCAAGAATGTCATCATGCACCCTCCCGATGGAGTTGATGATCGATTGAGCCCTGAGCGACATCATGTGGTGGTCCTTCTCGGCAAAGATCCAGGGCTTGTGCCATTCGTATTGACTGACGGCGGTGATTTGGAGCGATCCGGGGCAGCAAAAGACGCGGTATTCTCGCGAAGACTGCAGTCTCGAGTCGAACGGAAGGAAATAAGCGTGTGTCTCTTCCGCAGCGCTGTTAAGGATGTTGGTGAGAGCACTCCAGGTCCTCAGCGACGTGGTCATGCGAAGCACAATGTCCTCCACGGAATGAAACGCGAGCACGCCAGGAGTCGTGTGCGCGCCGTCCTTTGGCGAACACGCTCCCAAGCGCATAAAGAGCCCCTCGGGCGGGAAATTAAGCGATTGGAACGCAGGATAGACTTCTTCTTGCAGGTCCTCAGCGTAGGATCGGTTGAGCACACGGGTATGGATAGAGGCGGCGGCAGCCTTGACCAGGAGCTCGATCTGCGGCCGACGGAGGATGACGACCTGGAGGTTGGAAGCAGGAATTTGTCGCGACCGGAGTATTAGGGGCAGCCATATGCCATAGTTGAACGGTTTGTTAGACGGGATCGGAAAGCCTGGCGCGTCTGCCTCGGTGTGGAAGTTGGTGTTGAACGCCGTGGGGATGCCCCTGTCCAGATCTTGTAGGACATCTTTATAGTCGATGATTCTAAGAGGCATTCTTCAATCGAATGGGTTGGTAAATGATGGTGGTGCCAGGAGAGAGTATTGCGCTGTTTGCTACGGCAGTCCTGAAAAAAGCGTTGATGAGCTAGTGATTGTTTACATGGTTGAAGGCTAGGTGATATTACACCTCAGCACAGCCTTGCAAGATCTACTCTGCTATCAAGCAGGAGATGCCGGTGACTCAGGCAACGGCATCAAGGTTTATGGTTCATCTGGCAGCCGCATGTGTCACTTTTGGAGATTTTTGCGCGCTGAATGTGATTGGTGTTTATTTACACAAGGCAAGTTTAATCGAGGTTGCCGGCTTTGGTTCCCAGATCTGGCTGGCATGCGGCGCTTCATATTTGCCTTTTGGCCATTATCGTGACTCTCCTGATTTATGACTCATCTTGGGGCAAAGAATGAGCAGCCGCCAAGCCGGCGATGAATCAAAGAGTTGACAACCCTGGTAAGACTTTGCAATGCTAAGCTAAATCCTACCTTACCCTACAACATTTAGACTGGTTGAGAGAAAGTGAACTGAGAAGTGATGTATGTGTGAATGGATCCGATTTAGCATCTGCAGTAACGATTTTTTACACCTGCTGAGTTGTCCGGCCTCTACTTAGAAATGAGTATTGAAACTAAGACAAAAGGTAGCGTACGGGATCGTGTGGGAGGCGTGTTAGAGGCACACTGAGAGATGACAAGTGCTGACTGTCAAACCGGCACCATCACACCAAACAAGGTTGCTGATCAACTCACATTTGACATGTATGACCTTTGTGCCACTTATCGTCGGATATAAATCCGAGGAGCAAAAAGTCTAACAATCCTGATATGAGCTTAATCAGACGTTCCTCGTTGCCAACTGCATCCACGCCAGCCTCCTACTGCCCATGTAGAAATGCGATAAGAAGCTTCAAACAGATGTATCCTGATGGGATTCAACAGAAATGCAGTCAAACAACCCGGAACCGCCGAACATGAGCAGAGCGAGAGCCCCTGTCCTCCGGGTGGCTACCACAGCCCGCAGTAACCATTCAGTCGGGCCGGCATGTTCGTTCGTTGTACTGTACATGCATGCAGAGCTCGAGCTGAGCCGGGGAGAATTACGAGGCCATGAGATTCCAGACTTTTCCACGGTTCGGTCTGATCGCAGCTGTTACTCTATTGAGCCTCTCCACCCAAGGCAAATGCACCCATGCCGGCAAAAGCAGAGTAAGCATGCACCACCAAGTCTGGGGAAACATCCTTTCCTTGACCCCCCGTCGGCCGGATTGCCTCCTCCGCATCAGACGTTCTCGAAGCCTCATGGCTGACCGGGGGTTGTCGTTCACTTGACTCTTCATGGTCGTAGTTCCTCTGACGGCATTGCCGTGGACTTCCCCAATCCGGCTATCTCGGTATGGCCATGCAGAACGCAAGACCGGGACTCTGCCACCAGGAACTTTTGCCCGCCATCTCGCCGGCGACGAGGCCCAGGCCAGGCACAGAAAACCAGGCTTCCTTGCATACGGCGCTCGTCCGGGCAGATCATCACGACTGACTAGCTGTCCAAGCATGTCACTTCTCACCGAAACCGGCATCTGCCTGCATTAGCTGCAATGCTCCCTCTCACTACAAGTGGTTCCCTCTCCTTTACAAGCACCATGACAAGCTCCTTAGCATTCTCCTGGTTCCTGGTGCGCGCCGGCAGCGGGTTGTGCCATGGGGCTCTATGGCTCTATCGGCCCTTTTCCCGGCTCGCTGCCGTTGTGTCTGGGGCATCTTTGTGGGGTAATTCACCGGAATTGCCAGCAGCCTTGTCGATATTTGCGAGCATGCGGGTTCATGATCGTGGAGCACTGGAGACGGTACGTAATTAGCGTCAGTGCTTTTGCCTGTCTTCTCGGGGAGATCCAACGTGAACCTGATGCACGTCAAGGTCCAAGTTTGTTGGCAGAAGCCTGGAAGACGGCTAAACGGGTCGTGACGACATGATTCAAGACCTGCCAACACCCAGGAGGCCAAGTCGAGCCAAGGCACCACAACGACGTCGGAAGACTCGAAGCAAGGCAAGGATGGGGGATCCCGGCCAGGATCCAGTTTCTCCGTATGACAGAACCACGCACCCCAGCCTTGCCCCAGCAAACGCTTCCCCCCCCATTCCCTCTCCCCACGCGATGTCACCGAAGTCATGCCAAAGACGGTGATCTGCATGGCGAGGTACCAACGCTGGGGGCTGGGAGCTGGATAGCTTAAATACCGGGCAGGAGGCCGCATATCCAGCTGTCGCGATGGAACCCCAGCTCGTGTCTGCAAGCAGTTGCGACACTCCGTAGGCAGGCATCTTGCGTGTTTCTTTGTCTGGAAGAGGTTCCAATTGGCGTTGTGTGTTTCCTCGTAAGGGCAGTGGAAAGGCTGCACAATGCGGTCGACAGTGAGTGGCCTATGGTGTACTTGGTCGAAGGAGCACGTAAACCTCATGCTAACTCTGTGCTTTCAAGGTCTCTTCTGCGGCGGCGCTGCTGTCGCTGCTTCAGCTCGTCTCCCCCGTCCATGGCACGACACTAATTGATCGCATCACCAACTGCCTCGACAGGCACGACGGGTCAAATGGTGAATCCCACTTTAGCAAGAACGTCTACAAGACGGGCTTCGACGGCGTAACGTGGGACGAGGACAACTGGCTCCTCAGCACGACGCAGCTCAAGCAGGGCGCCTTCGAGGCCCGCGGCTCCGTGGCCAACGGCTACCTGGGCATCAACGTGGCCAGCGCGGGGCCCTTCTTCGAGCTCGACACCGAGGAGGATGGCGATGTCATCAGCGGCTGGCCCCTGTTCTCGAGGCGGCAGTCGTTTGCGACCATTGCCGGCTTCTGGGACGCGCAGCCCGAGATGAACGGCACCAACTTCCCGTGGATCTCGCAGTACGGCTCGGACACGGCCATCAGCGGCATCCCGCACTGGAGCGGCCTCATCCTGGACCTCGGGGGCGACACGTACCTCGATGCCACGGTCAGCAACAAGACCATCTCCAACTTCCGGTCGACCTACGACTACAAGGCCGGCGTCCTGAGCTGGTCGTACAAGTGGACGCCCAAGGGCAACAGGGGCTCCTTTGACATCTCGTACCGCCTCTTCGCCAACAAGCTGCACGTCAACCAGGCCGTGGTCGACATGCAAGTCACCGCGTCCAAGAACGTCCAGGCTTCGATTGTCAACGTGCTCGATGGCTTTGCTGCTGTGCGCACCGACTTTGTCGAGTCCGGCGAGGACGGCAGTGCCATCTTCGCGGCGGTGCGGCCCAATGGCGTTGCCAACGTCACGGCCTACGTCTATGCTGATATCACCGGCTCTGGAGGCGTCAACCTGTCGAGCCGCAAGATTGTCCACAACAAGCCATATGTACATGCCAACGCATCGTCCATTGCACAGGCTGTCCCCGTCAAGTTCTCAGCCGGACGTACTGTGCGAGTGACCAAGTTCGTGGGAGCTGCCTCCTCTGATGCCTTCCAGAACCCCAAGCAGGTCGCCAAGAAGGCAGCCGCTGCAGGCCTCAGCAATGGGTATGCCAAGTCTCTCAAAGCACACGTAGAGGAATGGGCTACCGTTATGCCGGAGAGCTCCGTCGACAGCTTCGCCGACCCCCATACGGGCAAGCTCCCTGCCGACAGCTACATCATCGACTCTGCCATCATCGCAGTCACCAACGCCTACTATCTGCTGCAGAACACGGTGGGCAAGAATGGCATCAAGGCCGTCGACGGGGCTCCCGTCAACGTGGACAGCATCTCCGTCGGCGGACTGACCTCGGACTCGTATGCCGGACAGATCTTCTGGGACGCCGACCTCTGGATGCAGCCCGGCCTGGTGGCAGCCCACCCGGAAGCCGCCGAGCGGATCACAAACTACCGCCTGGCACGATACGGCCAGGCCAAGGAGAACGTCAAGACGGCCTATGCGGGCTCCAAGAACGAGACCTTCTTCTCGGCTTCCGCGGCCGTGTTCCCGTGGACCAGCGGCCGTTATGGAAACTGCACGGCTACCGGCCCGTGCTGGGACTACGAGTACCATCTGAACGGAGACATTGGCATCTCGTTTGTCAACCAGTGGGTGACAAACGGTGACACCGAAGACTTTGAGAAGAACCTCTTCCCAGTGTACGACTCGATTGCGCAGCTGTACGGCAACCTGCTGCAGCCGAACAAGACGTCGTGGACACTGACCAACATGACCGATCCTGTGAGCTTCACCTTATCTCCTTTATGTTCCTTTGGCTAACATGTGAATTAGGATGAATATGCGAACCACGTCGACGCCGGTGGCTACACCATGCCGCTCATCGCAGAGACGCTCCAAAAGGCCAACAGCTTCCGCAAGCAGTTTGGCATTGAGCAGAACAAGACGTGGGACGACATGGCGTCCAACGCTCTGGTTCTTCGCGAGAACGGAGTGACGCTCGAATTCACCGCCATGAACGGGACCGCCGTGGTCAAGCAGGCCGATGTGATTATGCTCACTTACCCCCTGAGCTACGGCACCAACTACAGCGCGCTGGATGCCCTCAACGACCTCGACTACGTGAGTCTGCCCATGTTGTAAAGCTCGTCATTAGCTACATCCAATGCCCATGCTAACATCTTCTGCTTGCAGTATGCCAACAAGCAGTCACCCGACGGACCGGCCATGACATATGCCTTCTTCTCCATCGTCGCCAACGAAATCTCGCCCTCCGGCTGCTCCGCATACACGTACGCGCAAAACGCGTTCAAGCCCTACGCCCGCGCCCCCTTCTACCAGATCTCCGAGCAGCTCATCGACGACGCCAGCGTCAACGGCGGCACGCACCCTGCCTACCCGTTCCTCACCGGCCACGGCGGCGCCCATCAAGTCGTCCTCTTTGGCTACCTCGGCCTCCGGCTGGTGCCGGACGACGTCATCCACATCGAGCCCAACCTGCCTCCCCAGATCCCGTATCTGAGATACAGGACGTTTTACTGGCGCGGCTGGCCCATCTCGGCCTGGTCCAACTACACCCACACGACGCTCAGCCGCGCCGTCGGTGTTGCTGCGCTTGACGGAGCGGACAAGCGCTTTGCCAACAAGTCCATCACCATCCACGCCGGCCCCGAACAGGACCCAACGGCGTATACTCTGCCCGTCAAGGGCTCCGTCGTCGTCCCGAACAAGCAGATCGGCTCGCAGCAGACGTACGCCGGCAACCTGGTGCAGTGCCACGCCGCCAGCTCTCCCGACGACTACGTGCCCGGTCAGTTCCCCATTGCGGCCGTGGACGGCGCGACGTCGACCAAGTGGCAGCCCGCCTCCGCCGACAAGGTCAGCTCCATCACCGTGTCGCTGGACAAGGAGGACGTGGGATCTCTGGTGTCCGGCTTCCACTTCGACTGGGCCCAGTCCCCTCCCGTCAACGCCACCGTCATCTTCCACAACGAGGCCCTGAGCGATCCCGCCACGGTGCTCGGCTCGCACGGGCACAGCTCCTCCAAGTACACGACCGTCACCTCGCTGACGAACATCGAGCTGTCCGACCCTTACGTCTCGACCAAGGACCTCAACGCCATCGCCATCCCCATCGGCAACACGACAAACGTCACCCTCTCGCACCCCGTGGCCGCATCCCGATACGCGTCGCTCCTCATTGTCGGAAACCAGGGCCTTGACCCCGTGGATGTCAAGGCGAAGAACGGCACCGGCGCCACGGTGGCCGAATGGGCCATCTTTGGCCATGGCAAGGAGCATTCCGGCAAGCCTGGTGCTCACAGCAGGAGAAGGCTGAATGTCCGGACTGCGGCCACTTTGGCTGATCCGAGGAGCTTTATGCGTCGGCGTTTGTAAGGAGTGGTTATGATATGACGTGACATGACGAGGATTCTTGTGATGAACACTTATGAGTACTTGATAGTTCTGTGATAGAGTAGTCGTAATACTATAATTCTGATGCTAAAGTTTGATGACCGGCTCCTCGTTACTAGTGTTGATGCGATATGTGTTGCGCTATATGGTTACGATACACAGCTGGAGGCCTTGGACTTTGCAATACGATGCTTGAGGAGCAATTGCATCTCATAGTGCTACTACGCGTGAGCAGATGGTTTAATGGCATAATTATGAGGCTCATTACTTGTCAGCCGGCCTCGCCGTGTTATGATACGAGACTATCGCAACTGTAAAGATGGTAGCCTGCATCGTCAAGGTTGTTTTCCATTCTGTGATATCGGGGGTGAAGTCCTACATTGAACAAAGTTGTCCAATTCCACCTCTTATATATCCCCTGCCTTCAAGGCCAGGCCTCCAGAACTAGGAAAACCCGAAACCATAATGTTCAGTCACGTTGATGCTCCTCGGGACCGAATTCTCAGGGATTGCCGAATTCGTGTCCATTGAGACTCGGGACATGGGCTCCAGTGTAACCCTTTTTGCATGGGATTGAAGTTCTCTTGGGTGGGGGCGGAGACGAGCGTGGGAAGCCTTGTTCGACCAAATTAAAAAGAGTTTGTTTTTTGTTTGAAATGGAAGCTTTGCAAGACAGCATGGATACAGAGTCGTCTGGAGCGGTACATTTCAGGTCTTCGTGACGATGGTTGTATAGGTAGGGTTATACTACCTAGGTATGCCTGCCTTGGTAGAGCGGAACCTTCAGCCTGGCATCCGCTGGTGTGACAAGGGACGTATACTAGATGAGCGTGAACAGACAAAGAGCAGATAAAAGGGGGCCATCGGTGGCAATGATGTCGACAGCCGTCAGTGGAGTCATTCAACACCATGGGATTCGGCACCAGTTGCGTCTGTGTGGTTAGGAATAGCCTCAGTCATGATCGCCGGGCAGCGAAGAGTCTGGGGCAGCGAACATGGAGGGGCAGAGCCACAATCAGAACACACAGCAGCACGTACTGTCACCAAAGTGGCACCGAGCTGGCTGCGGAAGATCTCTACCCGTATAATCACTCGAAATGCTCATAGTTATATGCCGTGATCGTGAAGCTCTTCCGTCTCGATTCACGTCTTTGCGCAAGAAAACACGTTAAAGCGCGTGCATATGCAAAACCTCATGAACCCCTCCAAATACTGCCCGGCAGAACCAAGGGCGGTGTGCACCATTAGCGGGATCTCGGCGAGGATTCATTGGCCGCCTGCCAGATGCGGGGCAGTGCACGGACCGCGGGACCGCGACTGGGCAAAAAAAAAAAAAAATCTGGAAATCTTCTTTGCAACTTCACATGCGCAGTCATCGTCAACATATCATTATCCTCATATCTTGACGAAACTGTTCTTGTCACCATGCGCTACATTCTGGTCTCGGGCGGTGTGATTTCCGGTACGGCAACACTCTCTATCTACACAGAACCCCTACACGATCTGCTAACACTGCTGCAGGTGTCGGAAAGGGCATTATTGCCTCGTCCACCGGCCTGGTAGGCTTTGATGCTTCGTCTCGTCTCTGCCGGTCCTAGGATACTGACGCTCCGTAGCTTCTCAAAACCCTCGGACTCCGAGTGACCTGCATCGTGAGCATTACCTAAAACCCAGTCTCGCCTGAAGAGCCCTGAATCAGTTTCTAACTCGAACCACGACAACAGAAAATCGATCCTTACCTGAACATCGATGCCGGCACCATGAATCCCAAGGACCACGGAGAGTGCTTTGTCCTGGACGACGGGTATGACGCTCCAGCAGTGCTTTGTCTCCCCTCTCGACAATAAAAAAACGGGCAGCATAAAGACAAGTGTCTCGCAACTGATCGGAATCCGGGTCTCCTGAAAAACTTTGACATAGGGTGGGACTGACTCCCGAGGCTATAGTGGCGAGTGCGATCTGGACCTTGGACACTACCAGAGATACCTGGGCATCAACCTGTCCCGAGACCACAACATCACAACCGGCAAGATCAACTTGGAAGTTGGTCTGCGGGAGCGCCGCGGCGACTACTTGGGCAAAACCGTCCAGGTCGTTCCCCACGTCACCAACCTCATCCAGGAGTGGATCGAGCGCGTTGCCAGAATCCCCATCGACGAGTCGGGCGCCGAGCCCGATGTCTGCATTGGTACGTCTTCCACCTTCCCGACTGCAAGATAGACCGGCCGCCCGCTGACTCTTTCATAGTTGAACTTGTACATTCGACCCCTCCCTGACCCATCTGACCTGCGTCTAACTTTCTTGACAGGGCGGCACAGTCGGTGATATCGAGAACATGCCCTTCGTTGAAGCCCTCACACAACTCCGCCACAGGATCGGCAAGAACAACTTTGTCAACATCCAGGTCTCATATGTTCCCGTCATCAACGGCGAGCAAAAGACAAAGCCCACCCAGCACGCTGTCAAGAGCATACGCAGTGCTGGTCTCATCCCCGATTTGGTAATTCTCGCGTCTGGTACGATCACTGTCCTTTCAGCACTTGTCTAACTTGTTCATAGATTGCCTGCCGTTGCGAGCGTCCCCTCGAACCCGATACCATCAAGAAGATCGCCCTTCACTGCCAGGTCGAGACTGAGCAGGTGATTGCCGTCCGAGACATGCCCACCGTATACCAGGTGCCTCTGCTCCTCAAGGAGCAAGGCCTTTCCGATGTTCTAGGCGAGCTACTGGCGCTGGACAAGGTAACACCCGAGCCGGCCCAAGTCAAGATGGGTGCAGAGATTTGGCAGAAGTGGAAGGATGTCATCTCAAAGACGTACACCGAGACGGTCGACATTGCCCTGGTTGGCAAGTACGTCGAGCTTCACGACAGCTACCTCAGTCTCTACAAGTCGCTGGAGCACGCGGCTATTTTCTGCAAGCGCAAGCTGAACCTGATCTGGGTCAACTCGGAGCACCTCGAGAACTCGACCCGGGAGGTTGACCCCGCCCTGTACCACAAGGCGTGGCACGATGTCTGCTCAGCAGCCGGCGTGGTTGTCCCCGGAGGTTTCGGCGAGAGAGCGACCGAGGGCATCATCAAGGCCACCCAGTGGGCGCGAGAGCACAACACGCCCTGGCTGGGTATCTGCTTCGGCATGCAGCTGGCCGTCTGCGAATTTGCGCGCAACGTGTGCGGACTTACCGGGGCCACTTCCGAGGAGTTTGAGGAGCAGGCCGAGCACCCCGTCGTCATCTTCATGCCTGAGGGCTCCAAGGAGACCAAGGGCGGCACCATGCGCCTTGGCCTGCGCACCACGCACTTCCAGCCGGGCAGCGAGGACAGCAAGCTCCGCGCCATGTACGGCAACGCCGACGTTGTGGACGAGCGCCACCGTCACCGCTACGAGGTCAACCCGGCCTATGTCGACGAGCTCGAGAAGGCTGGTTTGTCCTTTGTCGGCAAGGACGAGACCGGCAGGCGCATGGAGATTATCGAGATCAAGAACCACCCCTACTTCGTCGGCGTCCAGTACCACCCCGAGTACATCAGCTCGCCGCTTACTCCATCCCTCCCGATTCTCGGCCTGGTGGCCGCCGCCCTCGGATGCCTCGACGAAGTCACCAAGGAGGTTTGCCTGGAGAGAACCCGCAACAATGGCACCGTGAACGGCACTGCTTGGGTGTGAGTACAGGTACCCTGAGGTCGGGCGCGACACCCGGCAGCGGCTCCCCGAGGTCGCGAATCCTCACAAATGCATGTGCGTAGATATAGGAACTCGGTTTTGACGGCTAGATACGGCGTGCACGCATCTCGTTTCTTTGCCATGGCGAGATGAGCCTATATAGTGCACGCTTCGGGCCTCCCTTTTTAACATAAAACTGGCGCCGTTTTTGGAAACTTGTATGCTAAGAAGTGTTTAATTGAAATCCGAACCGTTCCCTCCAGGTGCCTGAATAGGAGAACACCTCTGCTGGGACGAGTCTTGTTAATGGGACTGGCGTTGTGCTTAGACTAGGTAGAATATAATCAGGACGGCGACGCATCTGCTGGAAAAAGCAGTCATCGCACTTTTTTTAATTGAAGCATTATACTGAATCTCTCTCAAATTTTGGACGTGATGGAAGTGAGTTCATCCCAACTGCTCAGGAAACTCAGTTGACGATTCGAACAGACCTGACTACATACCTCTATATGTGTATACTCACAGCCTTGTGAATTTCATATGCGATTGCTTTTTCCCCCATTTATCTTTGAGAAGAAAACCCAGAGCAACTGTCTGCCCTTGTTCATGAGTTGTGTATTCGTGTGGGCAGCCATATCAAGATGATGTTTCGTCTCTTTTGTCACAGATAAGATGGGGCGCGTGGGATCCGTAGACTTGAGAGATTGAGAAGTTTGGAAGAAAGAAAGAGGGTCAGTGCGTTGGGGCAGGGGAGTTTCCGACTCGGAAGGTGAAGGAGTTAAGGTCTGTAAGGTAAGGACGGGCGAAGGACTTACGGGCTTGTTTTATCGGAATCGATGAACCTTTTTCTTTCTGCTCGATTTGATGTTACTAGGACAGTTGAACGGGAAGTGGTATGAAAGAGACAAGGGAGGTTTTGAGGGAGGGAGAGGGAGAGAGAGGAGAGAAAGGAGATGTGGCAATATAGCAGCCAGCTCCAAACTCTGGCAACAACTCGACAGTTACCTGAGTTCAGAATAATAGATGACGATTGATTCAACTACAGATAGCAATTGCTAAGTCTCTTACATTCTTGACTAGATGATTGTAAGGCGGAGAGGGGAACAAAACATGCATCAAGAATATGGTTTGCCTCTGTCGGTCGGGTATTGCTCATACGTCTGTCTATACCACCGACCCCAACGAGCTAGACTTCGACATAGAATAGCCACGAGATAGAAGATTCATCCATCACGAAGCAGTCATTCCATGCAGCCAACATAGATCGGTAATAGAACCCATACGCCAAAGCGCTATATTAATCCGATCATCTTCGGCAAAAACAAGTCTACATAGAGTGGCATCATGATCATCTCTATCTCTGCAACCCCCCTAAAAGAAAACTGAGTGGTGTTCAAATCAAATCGCACAGCGATCTATCGTCTCAAAGAGAAAAAAACTCGCCTCGAAAAGAATCCAAATCTCAAACCAACAGACCAGAAACCAAGAAACCCAAAGTTCATACCTCGAACCCAAAAATCAGTCTCAAGGCGCAAAATCCGAAATCGCAGAGCTCAACCATCAAAACCTGCAAAAGACAAAGACTCCCAATCAAACCCAAATCTAGTGCAAATTCATTTCACACAAAGCCCAGCAGCGCCTCCACTTCCCCCATTCTCCTCCGTGATCCCCACGCCACCCGCATTGTTCTGCGCGTTGTCCAGGTCCGCCTGGCCCTTCTCCCCCATGCCGTCCAGCTCCCCGCCCTCCAGCACCGTCGACAGCTGCAGGTTCGGGTCCTTGGAGTACACCCGGATGCCCACGATGCACACGGCGTTCCACGGCGCCGGCATGTTCTCCTCCTCCGTGTCGTACTCGTCGCGCGGGGGCGGGCTGGGGTACGGGAACTGGCGCGGCTTGCGCGTGTAGTCGTCGCTGCTGTACAGCTCTTCCCAGTCCTCGACGGGCGAGTCGGAGGAGTCGCCGTCGTCAGAGTCTTCGACTTCTGGGGTGACTGTAGCTGGCGGCGGCGCAGCAGACTTCTCTTCCTCCTCAGCAGCAGCGGGCTTTGGCTCCTCTGCGTCTTCCGTGGCGGGAGGCACATCTTCCTTCTTCTCGTCCGCAGAAGGGAAGACGATGGCATCCTCCGACTTGGGCGTATCCGTGGGGTCACCAGTAGAGTCAGAGTCGGAGCCGTCGTCCAGCGAGACCTTGGCCACGTCAATAGCCTCAATCACCGCGTCCATGGGATCTTTGCCATTGCCCTCGGGTGTCAACGGAGTGGGGAGGCCTTCCTTGATCTCAACGGCTGCCGGCTGCTGCTTGACCTCTTCCTCCACCTTCTTGGCCGCCTCCACCGCCTTTCTGGCCGCCTCCCGCTTGGCCTCCTTCTTCCGCTCCTTCTTCTCCGTGTTCTTCTTCTTCTGCTTCTTGCCAATGTCGCGGCTGATGTGGCGCCTCTCCCACTGCCTGCGACGCTCCTCCTGGCGGCACGCAGAGGCCTTCTTCTGATCCCGCTGCTTGCGGATCTTGGCCACCTTCTCCATGTGCTCCCAGGCCTTGCTGTGCGCCAGGTCGTACGCGTAGCCCACCTGCGCGAGCTTCTCGTTCTCGACCCGGTTCTTGGCCTCCCTCTTGACCACCTCCTCGACGGACGGCTCACGACTATCACGCTGGCCTGTGACCTTGAGATAGACGGTATAGTTTCCAGCGGGAAGATCCGGGAGCTCGACGGAAACCGATCGCTTCATAAAGTAGTTCCCGTGAGATCGGACAATGTAGTCTTCCGCGTCGGGGCGATCCTCGTGATGCAGGCGGAAGTGCAGGCGGAAGCTGTACTGGCCCTGGAGACCCTTGAAGTATCTTCCATCCAGCTGCGCCAGGACCAGGATGAAGGGAGAGTCCCTGGTCAGCTTGACGCGGAACTTCTCATGGTAATCGGCCTTCCACGGGACGTCGACCCCGATCCATCGCTGGCAGCAGCGCCAGTCGTCGTCATTCCGGAACAGGCGAGTCCGGTCAAAGTGCGTGTACTTGCGGACCAGGTCCTCAAAGGAGATCCAAAAGACCGAGTCGCTGCCAAACTTGTGTCCCAGCTCCTCCTGGACCTCGGTGGTCCACTCCTTGGAGCCGTCGCTCCACGGGCCCTCCCAGAGGCCCTTGCGGATCTCTCCCCAGGGGTTGCGGAGCTTGACCAGCCGCTGGCCCGACTTGAGGGTGCGGGCATCCACGACGACGTAGGCGTGTGCCTCGCTAATGCCGTCGCGCTGGCCGTAGCCATAGTCCAAGAGGCCGGTCGAGCAGCCAAACATGAACTCCTTGTTGACCTTGGACATCTCATTGTCCCAGAAGGCGTCGAGGTCCAGAATGTCGGAGGTGAGCAGCTCAGTGGTGACTCCACCGGAGAGGTCCTCCAGACCCTCGCCGATCCAGCCGCCAGAAAGAGAGGCATAGTCGCCATGGGCCTTTGCGTAGGCCTTTTCAAGGAGCGGCACCCACGTCTCGTTCTGGTCCTTGTTTTGGGCAAAGAACAGCGCCTTGGAGCCGGTCTGGTACGTCTTCCTGTAGACGGACTCGACGTCCTCGCGGTCGATCTGCTGGAGCAGGTCCCGCTGCATGCTAGGCGAGTCCCAGCAGGGGGACTTGAGGTACAGCTTGTCGTCGACGATCGAATAGACCCACTCTCCATCCCGGTAGAAGAGGAATCCGTAGATACCGATTTCTAAGGGGAAAAAAAAAGTCAGCATCGCCACCGTATACAGTATGAATGTGTATCTCTCTTACTGGTATCGTAAGCCACGCAGCAGCGCGGGACGCCGTCCTCGACGCTGGCCAGCGCGGTCAGGCTGGACATGAGCCAGCAGTCTCCCAGGCCTCCCTGCTTGACATCGCTGCCCTTGACATCCTTCATGAATGTGGGCTTTTCGAAAATCTCGTGGACTCTCTTGACCGCCTTGGGCACCACCGCCTTGGAGCCCAGCAACGTAGCCTTGGAAATTTCGAACTTTTCGGTTCCAATGTAGTTGAGGGTGTTGCCCTTTTCATACTTGAGATCCCAGTCCTTGCAACAAGTGTTAGCCAAAAAAACATCATGTGAAAGAAAACAGCTGTTACTCACCAGATCCCAACCAGGGTCACGATATCTCATGTTAACCCGCTTGCACTCCTGGACAATCTTCTGCACCTTGCGCCGACATTCCTCGGCAGCGCGTTCGTAACCCTCGGAGAGGAGCTCATTGGGGCGATCCAGCCCAGATCGCGGCGCCACGACAGGGTCAAAGGGAAGCACCGAAACCGCCTTGTGGAACTTGCGGTTAGAGAACCTCTTCCAGAGTCTGTTGATGGTCTGCTGCGGCGGCAGTCTCTTCTTCCGCTTCTTCTTCTGGTCCTGGTTGTTGCCTGACGAGGCTGGTTGCGAGCGCGGACGACGCGGGTCGTCCGACTCTTCGGAGGAGCTGTAACCGTGCATCGTGTCTATATTCTATCGCAGGGTATCGAAAACAGCAAAGTTCTCCTGCTCAAAGGAATGGCAGGTGAACTTGTCTAGAAGCAGCACGCAACGATAAGGGAGGGAACAAAAAACAAAACGCAAAGAACTTAGGATATCGTATACATGACAAGACCAAGACAACAGAGCAGATAGGGGAGAGACAAGGGGCATTATATACTCCGTCCTAATTCTTACATACAAAACTTTCTTCTCGCCCCAAACCTTGTACCTTTTGCCATGCCTAAAGTGCCCGGACGAGGCGAGGCTAACTGGGCGTGGCTTTGTGACTACACCGACAGCAGCAGATGGACAGCTGTGTGACATATCGGAGGGAGAGGCCTCTAAACCCATGCTAGACCCAATCTTAGCTGCAGCCGCAGGACTCGAGATCTGTACTTTGTGGGGTGCGCTATCGGCCGACCGCTTGGGAGCCGCCCGTGGACGTGCGACGTTGAATACTGTATGGAGAAGACGTCCCGGGAGAACTCGCCGCGGAAGCCAGTCTCGACCGAAGCCAGCTCCAGGCCGCCATCAGTGAGTGACTCGTAATCCAGTTGCGCGAGAGTTTGGGGCAAACACCACCTAATTTTGGTATACTCGTACTATAGCCATCAAGGTTTGGGGCTCACTTTTGGGCAAACCTCTGCTGCTGAAGGATCTATCTGCATGAGGCCTCTTTGTCACACGAGCGTCCCTCGCATGTTGTTCTAGCCAAAGTTGTCTAAAATTTCCGGAAGAGAAGCTCAGCGCTGCCAGACGATGGTGGGCAAGGCCATTGAAGCCCGAACAAGGTGCATGTGCATATACTCAAGTGTATACTGTGTCTTGTCAGCCATGCAATTCGGACTGGTGGCGTGCAAGACCGTGTCTGTAATCACGCCTTCGCTCTCACAGAACAAAGCTCCCTCTGGCTGATAAATGCACAGGTTGGTGTATCTCTGCCCGGTCCGGCACAGCAGCAAGCGTCTCCACTGAATCGTTGTTTGAATCCGTGGGGTCCGACGTTCCCCCTGAGCGCAAGGGCCCACAGCCGCCAACTGTCTAGCGGGATGGGATGGAGGGCTCAAGGGTTTTTGTCCTCCCTTTTGTTCTTTCAGGGTCCAATCCACCAACTTTGGGGACAGCTGCCTATCGCATTGTTGATCAGCATGCTTCTCAGGAAGCGGATTGCGTGGGCGACGGGCAGAGGCCAAGCGTTGAGAACGGCATGCAGGGGATATCGTGAGGACGTTACTGGCCTATCATTCTCTCTGAGTCTCTGACCGCGTCTTATGCTGACCACCATTGCAAGCCCAAGCAACGCAGTGCATAACAAGTGCTCTCTGGCTCCTTGCATCTCACGGCTCGTTGTCCAGGCTGCTCCGACAGAAGAGGGATAATGTGACAAGCAGTTACATAGTTGCGCGGTTGCGAAATAGCCCACATTAGGATCAACATTGCCACCCTTCCGACGCCGGGCGGTCTAAGGCATGGCCTGGACTTGTCTGGTCGTTTCGAGTGCAAGCATTGGCTTGACATGACAAACTCGCAGGCCACTATTGAGCGCCAGAGTTGTCATATGCCTCGCTTCCAGTTGCAGTCCTACTACCCCCCATTGGCAGAAGCAAAGGTGCCCGTCAGCTACCTTCTCCTTCGGGGTGCTCGACGACATCGCAGTTGACGCTTTCCGAAGAGCGGTCCAAACCCGAAAATCCTCCCGGGCAGGCAGCGTCGCTGCATCAACGCATGGCGCTTATTAGAACACCATCCATACCGCTTCGTACCCGAAACTCGGACTTTGGGAAAAGATTTCACAACGTGCCCGGGAGAGGAGGAACCACAACTGTGAAGGATTCCAGCACAACCGAGGCGCCGCCACTAATAGGAAGTCGAGCAATTGGAATTGTCTTTCCTGGCCTAATAGCAGTTCACGCCGCCAAAGGGGCCAGGAAGCGCAAGTAGCGGCAACCCCGATATTGAGAGGCGCAAACGCGACGCGGTGCTCGTTCAGGAGGCTCAAAGCTCGTTGTACCTCCAAGTAAACGGTACTCGGGCCGCTGCGCAAAAACATGAGGGCGTCGATCGCCGCCAGACGTCGCTCAACCTCTGGGGAACTCGTTGAGACATGCAAAGACCCTGACAGCCGCCACACCAGCGCGATTCCCCACCATCCAGTGCCGCGCGACAGTGCGTAGACTCGCCAACACGTGGCAGCTCGACCATCGCATTCTCTTTCGTCTATCTCTCTGGCGCTGTTGGGGGACAAGTTGGGCGATCAATCAATCCGAGGGCCAGCCTTTCCCATTGAGGTCGTATCCCAAGAATAGACGGTCAAGATAGGGAGGCAGTTGGCAGGCAACCAACCCGAAGGGCTGTACACGTAAAACGCGCGCGGGGGGACGAGGCTGAATTGTGCCGCATCGTCACATGGCATATAGCCAAAAGCCGCATATTCGGCACTGAACTTGCACAGTCGGCGAGTGACTCCCTCGTATAGTCCTGGAAGCTGATGTCGGGGAAAAGGATAGACGGCAGCAGTCTGTCGCAGGCAGAAGCAGCTTCAAGGCAGAATTCTGGTGTATATGACTAAGACGGGCGGTGGCGCCTTACCGGGCGCGGTTTCCTTCTTGGGCCTTTCCAGAATGCCGGCCATGGCGATAAGCTTTCTTCTTATCAGTATCAGGCTGCCTCCGAAGCCGGGCAACGAAGAGGGAAGAATCTTGACGAAAAGTCGCAGTTTTCATGGCTGATGGTTGTGGTGATACTGTGTGGCTGGATCAGCCCATTGTTGTCAAAGAGCCTCACGTCTTCGATTCATGAACACTTGACTAGCGCTGGATGGCGCCGAGGCTTGCTGCTGTAAGCTGGTGGCAGTCTGGGGTCTCTCTCATACGGTTGCCAATGCGTACTGTAAGGGTTGCCATGGCATGAGATCGAGTTAAGATGTTTATTTACATGCTCAAGACTTTCCGTCTGTTAACAAGCTTACAAATGGGATCAGAAACATCCTCGGTTACTGAAGCATTGTGACATTGGCAAAGAGGCTCTTCTTAGCATGGCTTGTCCGCAGGTTCAAACACGACTGTAAGTAAGCCATACAGCAAATTCTATAGCCAAAACTCGGGGTACAAAGGCCGTAAACTCATCGATTCATTAATCAACTGCAAGATGCGTGCTCGCCGTCTTTGTTCTGTTACACGGACTCATTCAGGACTGCAAGTGAACCATACAGCAGATCCCAAAGCCGACAACTCGAGGTGCAAAGGCCGTTAAACTCATCGACTTGCTAAACAACTGCAACCTGCGTGCTCGCCATCTTTGAGCCCTCCCGCTGCTCCAAACCCGGCGGCAGCTCCTCCCGCTCAACCTCGTCTCCCCCATCTTCACGCTCCTCTTCCACCACAACAGCCCTCATACTCCTCCTCTCCATCCGCCTCCTCCACGGCCCGTACACCACAACAGACCCGATCCCAACAATGACAAAAACCCCGCATATGCTCGCTCCAATGATGTCGAAGTGGTCACCGACAGCAGACACGCCGTCCCAGAAGCTGCCCGTCGGATCCGCGACGTTCTGCACCAGCGACAGGACCTGGATGATGCCAATAAAGGCAGAGACAACCACCGTAATGCCAGTGAGGACAATCGAATAGTACAATATGGCAACAATGTCTCGTGAAAAGGCCTTGGACGTGTACAAGGCCATCATCAGCGCGCCGTCGGTGCTGTCCACAAGACACATGCCCGCTAGACAACGCAATCAAGTCAGGATCCCAAACAAGAATCAACCCGGGCCAAGGAGGGAAACTCACCTGTAAACAAAATGGGGAAAATCAGAATCAGCCAGATACTCGTCCCCTGAACCGCCTGAATGCTCGCAATCCCCAGCACCGCAATCTCAGAGCTCGTGTCGAACCCCAGCCCAAACACCACGCCCAGCGGATACATCTTCCACGGCCGGTCAATTGTCTTGAACATGACTCTCAGAGCTCTAATCAGAAACCCGCCCCCCTCAAGCTGCAGCTGGTCATTCGCATGCGCCGCAGCAGCAGCCCCAGCAGCGTCCACCTCGCCATCCACGTCCTGCTCCTCACTAAAGCGTCTCCGCTGCGCGAGAACCTCCTTCAGCCGCCTCACCAGCTTGTACAGCACCCAGCCGTTCCCCAGGCACAGGATGATGAGCACCGCCGCGCTGACGCTCGTCCCGATGATGTTGCCCACCCTCTGGAACCCGTCAAAGCGGTCCCTCAGCGCCCCGCTCGTCGCCGCCACGACAATGCATGTGATGATGACAATGGTGCTGTGGCCGAGCGAGAAAAAGGTCCCCACGGTGGCAGGCCGCTGTCCGGATGCGATGAGCCGCCTCGTCATGAGGTCAATGGCCGAGATGTGGTCCGCGTCCAGGGCATGGCGCAGGCCGAGGGCGTACGAGAGCGCCGCGGGCGAGATGAGGGCCGGGTGGAAGTGCAGGACAATGGCGGAGGCGATCCAGACGAGGGCGTTTACGGCGATGAGGATGGTGATGATGCGGATGCTGTTGGAGGGGATGCCCTTGAGGAACTTTGGCCTGGGGAGGTGGTGGAGGGGCATGCTGATGGTGAGGATCAGAGAAGGCGTCTGATCCTGTTGTGCATGGAATCAAGTTGTTGTAGCAGTATAGACAGTCAACAACACCCACTCCGTCGAAGCTTCAAGCTCAGAACAACCCCTCCTTGCCCATCAGGGTTCATTCTGATAATAGCCGCAGAGAAACAAAATATCACAGCCGTCACGGAATTGATATCAGCGTTGCATCACCAAAGCCGGGCATGTGTGCCCCGCCAAACAGCCGCTGATAAGGACACGGGAAGATTGGAGCTAAGATCTCGACGAAGTTTAGTCGAGAGATAGAGGCATGTTTGCAAGAAGATGTGTGTAATGCCTCACATAGCGCTTACACATCGCAACACAAAGTTCCTAGATATTGGAAATTGCTGGACGATTATTGGAAGCAGCTTGTATCCTAGTTCCAGCGCTTGAGAGCAGCTTCGCTTCTTCTATATACTACGTCGTACACAGCTCTTATAGACTCGACAGCTGAATCCGAGCAAATGCGGGGGACGAATCGGGGAAAAGCTGGCAGAGGCAAGTCATCCACGCTGCATAATGTACCTACCTGAGATACATGTATTACACAACTAGTATCACCTTGATATCAGCCCGTGAATGTCTTCATCACATATAACACGTATCATCCACATCGAGCAGCATCACTACAAACAGCCTGATATCAAATGCCAGAACTCAACATTCTCGTAATACAGCACTTACACCACCAGCTCAGCAGCCCCAACCCTCCTCGCCTCCTCATTCAGCGCATCCATCTCGGCCCTCACCAGCGGAATCCCGCTCCCTTCCCTCTCCCTCTGCGTCAACTGCTCAATCTCCCCCGGAAAGTAAATCCTCTCCACCCCCGCCGCCCTCTCCGACCCTACCACGCGCTTATACAGGTACTCCATCCGCGCCCGGAACTCGTCCAGGTCCATGAACAGGTCCGGCTTCACCGCGACCAGAAAGTGTCCCACGTCCGCCGGCCGCGAAGGGTCGTACGGGTTCGTCACGTGGCCCGCAAACGCAGACCCCGACAGCACGCCCGAGAAGACGTCCATCATGATGGCCAGCGCCGACCCCTTGGGCCCGCCCATCGGCAGCATCACGCCGCCCAGCGCCGCCTCCGGGTCGTCCGTCGGCCGGCCCTCGCTGTCCAGCGCCCAGTCGAGCGGGATCTTCTCGCCCCGCCGCTTCGCCTTGTAAATCTTGCCCCGCGCCGCCACCGACGGCGCCATGTCGAGGATGAAGTTGTCCATGTCCCCCTTGCCAGGCGCGCCGCACGCAATGGGCGACACGCCCATGAGCTTCTCCTTGCCTCCCCACGCAGGCAGCGCGGGGCTCGAGTTCGTAAAGACGAGGCTCATCATGTCCGCGTCCAGCGCCTGCTGCACCACCCACGCGCTCATGCCAAAGTGATTCGAGTGCTTCACGCTCGCCAGCCCAATGCCGTAGACCTTGGCCGCCTCGATGGCCGCCTGCATGCCCATGTGAGCCGCGACGAAGCCAAACCCATTGCGTCCATCGACCTGCGCAACGACGGGCGTGACTTGCTTCAGCTCCGGCTGCGCACTGGCATTCAAGACGCCCTGTCGGACACGCTCCATGTAAGACGGGATGCGGTTCATGCCGTGCGTATCGACGCCTCGCAGATCCGCGGCCACGAGGCAGCGCGCGATGATGGCGGCATGGTCTGCGGACACGCCGTTGCCTTTGAGGATGTCTTGCACGAGACGCCGGGCCTCTGCGGCGGGGACGAAGATTTTGGGGGCGCTCTCTTCAGACATGGCCAAGTTATTGAGAGGAGGTATTATGAAGTTCTGATGAACCCGGCAGAAAGCTCATCCGGCTGAGTTGCTGGTAGGACATGATGTTAGTCAAGACGGCGGGGCTCATGAGCGATCTCGGGCTCGGCATAAAGGTGAGTGACGCCTGCAGGCACCAGCGGGAAGATGAGGTGGCCTATCACAAGCACATGTGATGCAATGGTCAATGATTCAGTAAACAGACGTGAGAGTCAATGCCCGGGAACTTACCCAGCAATCGAAGCAAAATCTATGAGTTGCAATCCTAAACAACCAACTTCCCCCGCCCCCCGCAATCCGAGTTCACAGCAATGGATGTTTCCCCGCGATTGCCCTTACAATTCCGTCTACCTAAGGTACGAATAGTCCACGACACAGCTGCTGGCATGCAGCGAAGTAAGCTGGAAGAAAGACAAATCTTAGAAAAAATGAATGTATAAAAGGACATGTTACTGGAATGCAAAAACAAAAAGATATAGCCAAAAAAAAAAAAAAAAAAAAAAAAACAATTCTTGAATCGTGCGTCATCCGGAACTCGAATCCGGGCCTCAACTTTTCGTGGTAATGGAAGAGTTGAATCCTAACCCCTAGACCAATGACGCTTATTTGTTGGAATCTGGTCCACACTTTTGAGCTTATATAGCCTGCTACACTCGCACACGGCATATCGCAACATCTCATGCCTGTATTAACGACTGATGAACATAGAGATGATAAAAGTTCCCTCAACACATATGTATACCGGTCAATTTACAGACAGGAACTCAATCAGTCATTTCTCATTGTCATGTATACACTCATTCTGTCTTGTCTCTAGATCCGTCCCCGATGCAAGCAGCATCAAACCATGCAGTCGCATTGATATCTCCCATCTCCTCACCTCAACCGCACAACACCAACCCCCCTTCAACACAAAACAACATACAATCTCAGATTCCGCATAGACCTCTCTCTCATCCAGCCTCAGTTCGCCGTATACTCCTCCGGCTCCAACAAGCCCTCACACCTCCCAACAACAGGATTACACCTCGCCCCCTTCCCCCCGGGCAACCTCACCGCGTAATCGCATCCCCACCGCGCACTCATCCCAAACGCCGCGAAGTCCGTCGACACAATGTGCGCCCCCGACCGCAGCGCCCGATCCCGCCTCTCCGTCGCACAGCTGTGCTCGACGACTGTGACCAGCGGCTCGTCCGCCCGCGTGCGCACCCAGTAGCCCGCCTTGACCTGCTCCTGGATGAATTCGACCGCCGCGTCCGTAGAAGGATCGTTAAGCTGTTCCGGTCACTATCATCAGCATCCACCACAACCATGGGGCCATCCTCCTCCCGAATGTCATAAAGACTCACCTTTTGAAACGCGCAATCGCTCTGCCCAGGCTGACTGTTCGTAAATAACACCCTCCCCTCCAAATTCTCCCTCCCCGCAACATACGCATCCCGCACATCCCCCACCGGCCCATTATCCATCAAGAAGAAGATCCTCCCCCTCGCGCTATCCAGGTCCGGCCACCCGTACCTCAATACACTCTCCTCCAGCGTCAGTCCCCCCCTCCGGATGTCGTCGGGCGTAATCAGCTGCGACCGGTTGAACACCTGCCGGATCTCCGCGTCGACAATGTCCAGCAGCTCCGTCGTCCAGGGGACCACCTTTGCGCCGCCCAGCCGCTCGCCCAGCCTCTCGGCCGTCTTGAACTCCATCATCATGGGCAGGGGCACGCTGTCCGGGTGGGCGTCCATCCACGTCTTGATGATGCGCAGGCAGGACACCAGCGTCGAGCACGTAGTGTGGTAGTCCACGTCCGGGATGTGCAGCACCTTTGTCCCCTTCTTCTTGAGCAGAGGATCGTTTGGCACGCCCAGCCCGGCAAACCTCCGAATCAGCGGCTCGCTATACATGCCTCCATCCGGATCCGCCAGCAAATCCAGCCTTTTTTTTTTTAAATCCATCATCCAAAATGTCAGTCATCACGACTTCACTTCCTCACAGGTAAAAAAAAAAAGATCATACTCACTCTAGATTCCGCAAATGCAGATACTCCAGCTGCACGTCCAGCGCGGCATGCGAATACTGCAAGTCAATCGCCGCCGGCGCCGCCGCGCTCTGCAGGTCGCGCTCCGCCTTGGGCGCCTCGACGTGGTAGCTGTTGTGCGACCCGACGACCTGCATGTGGTTCATGCGCACCGCGCCCGCCGTCCAGACGAGCCCGTTTCTGCCGCAGTCGTACAGCAGCCCGTCGCGAGAGCAGTCCCCCTTGAGGACAATCTCTGCTGGCGAGGACGGGACTGCGTGCGCTCTTGGGGCGACTGCAAGGGGAAACAGAGAGGTCAGCATCCGTCATCCCGTCATCCCGTCATCATTCGGCCATCAGCCCTCGAGATTGAAACCCTGCCTCCCAGAACATTCGACTCAAAAAATGAATATCGGCCCAACTCACGAAGCAGAGAGATGAGATATAAGGTTATCATCGTCGCAGCCTATCAACAACCCGCATCAAGTCAGTCAACCCATCGAATCATCACCCTCGTCCATCATCAACACAGAAACAAAACGAACCAGCCCCAAGCAGACTCACAAATGATGAAAAGTCTCCGTAATCAATCACCAGATGATGATGAAGGAAGAAGAATTTCAAATGCCTACGTCAACAACAGCGTTGACGTTGATCTGAGACAAAGCCACAAGGGCCGCCCACCCCAGCCAATCGTGTCCAAGGTCCAGCATGTCGCGGACCGCCCAGTAAGAGACCGGGGAACCCACGACGTGAGACCCCGTTTCGACGCCTATCCATCGTCATACTATCGGAAAGCCATCCGGCGGCCATCCAGTCAATAACAAAGCGACCACATGATGCAGCCATTCTCCCCTCAGTTATCGTCCACCTCATGCTGGTCAGCAAAGCTGCGGTTGCATCCTCGGCATTGCATCGATTGATCCCTGTGATGCCGCTGTTTGTCTAATACAAGTGCATCTCGTCACCTTGTTTCAAACCCTGCCGCCCATTTATGCATGTCTTGTTGCACAAGATGAACAATGAATAACCTCGTGATGCCAAATACAAGTCCGGTATCAAACAAGGCATTAGCGGGCATATCTGATATATAAGTCTACTACCTACTAATAGATTCCTCATTTATTACGCCAAACGCGCATCTGCGTCGAATCATCCCTTCCATCGCCCGTCAAAGTAATAAAAACGCCCAAGGCAACACAAAAGGGTCGGTTGCGCTGCTGCCCCAGTCGTGCACGTTACAGTCCATATATAACCAATACATTACCACTCCGCAAGTTTGCTGCTCATCCGTCTCGCACGGCCACTACGCCGAACTCTTGAATTCTCTTCCTTCCGGCTATCGTCGCCCGCTCTGTTGGGCCCTCTCTTAGACGCCCTGCCTCTCTCCCCATCCGCTTCCTCCGTGTTGTCTTTACTCGCGCTCAGCAGTTTCCGGCCTCTCGCCCGCCGCTCGTCGTTGGAGTCGAGGAAGCGGTGTATCATCCTGTGGTCGAGGATCCGCTCTTCTTTGTCCCCGGGTCCCGTCTTATCCGTCTTGGGCCACACATAGCCGTAGAGTTTCGAATGCCGCTCGCACCTAGGACATGATGACCGTGTGAAGTAGGCATTCTGCTGGACAAAATAGTTGCTGCAGATGGTACACTGAATCCACGCCATGTCGGGCTCCGAGAGAAGTAGGGGCGTCAGCACATAATCGCCCGGTGTGCGTCTCCGAGCTGGAGGCGGCGCTGTTTGCTTGGGGGGTACATCCTGTCGTTTGCGGCCGCGTCTTGGCTTTTCAGTAATCGTTGTCGCTACCTCTATTGTTGATTCAGCTTCTGCTTCGGTTTCAGCTTCGGGCTCAGTCTGTATGTTCGTTTTCACGACAATCTCCGTCTCGACTTTGATCTCCGGCAGAATTCGCTCCTCTTCCTGTTCCCGCCGCACGTCTTCTTGTCTAGGAATGAGCTCCGGTGTTGACAGGACCGCAGGCTCACTCGCCACTCGGCTTGTCGTAAAGGAATAGTATAGTTCCGCTGAATCGTCGATAGGCGAGGGATCGTTGAGAATGGAGGATATCGACATGGTCATCAGCCGCGGTGGCCGAGGGGCCGTTCGAGCGGGAGCCACGACCGCCGGCGGCATCGGTATCGGCGTCGGTATCGCGTCGGGGGAAGCACGGCTGCCCATACTTTGGGGAGACACCGGTTCCACGGTGGTGTTGGCCAGCTCTATATAATCTTGGCGCTCTTCGCTCTTCGTCTCGTCTACAGTCTCTATTGAAAAGGAACTCGGCGGCGTCTGCGTCTGTATCTCGGGATGCGGGCTTTCCCTTTCTGGAGACGCGATTGTCGTCTCGGGAACACCCGCGTGGCTCGGAGTCCCACTCTTGGTGCTCAGCGAATCGTCACCGCTCGCGACTATGCTGGGAAGCGAGAGTGAGTTCGACGAAGCGGCTGATGATTCGGACAAGAACTTTGGTCTCTTGGCTGGTGTAATGGGCGGTGTCGCAATCGCCTCCATGGTTCGCTTTCGCCCGCGCGGCGTCGCTTCTGGCGCCGGCGTCGGAATCGCAGACGTCTCTTGCGCATCTCGCATCTTCGTCTTTGGCTTCGTCTTGTAGATGCGAGGCCGCATGTCCGGCGTCACGGAAGGCGTCCGCGAGGAGCCGCCGATGCTGTCATCTCGCCGCCTTCTCCGCAGAGAGTACGTCTCCTTCGGCTCGTCCTCCTCCACGCTAACCTTGACATTCACAGCCCCATCCGCGGGCGCCCAGCCATTCTTCAGCTCCTTCTCGCACGACCGGCACAGACACTCGCAGTTGTTGTCGCCAAAATAGCAATCGCTGTACGTGACGGTAATCTCCTCGCCGACCTCAATGGGCCGAGACGCGACAATCTCAATGGTGGACTGGCTCGTGGTCATGAGCCTCGCGTTGGCGCGACAGTCGTGGTTGGCGAACCGCGCCGGCCCCATGAACAAGCTGGTGCATTTCTTCCTCGAGCTGACGACGATGCTGAAATCCTTCTTCCGCACCGTGATTTCCTTTTCCTCCTCGGGCGTGATGTTGATCTGGATGCCGGAGAGGTACTTGATGGTCTCGTTGCGCTTGATGTATCGCCGGGCAATGACGCACGCCTCGTGCGTGACAATGGTGTAGCGGTTGGTGGTGCTGACCTCCCAGGGGCAATCGGGCATGTAGATGCGCAGATATCGTCGCAGATGTTGCACGAAGTCGGTCTTTTCCTTTTCCAGCTTGAGGCCGCTGACGAACCTCTTGAGGCCGTCCACCGACGTCAACAGGCGCTTCTCAGCCGCCTCGAGATCCTTGTGGACAATGACTTCTTCCTGGATAATCTTGGCAACCTCGCCCTCCCGGATGCCCCGAGACGGGTGATACGACGAGCGGTTCTTGGGAACCGTAGCCCAATAAAAAGCCTGGCGCCCAACAGATTAGCTAGTCGAACACGAAACAGCTTCGTTTTGAGCAGGCGCCTCGCGCGCGGGAGTCTACTGACATGGTCGACGAGCGCATCGGTAAGGATGTCGTCGTAAGCGGCGAGCTGGGCCAGCGTCAAGCGCTGCTTCTTAGCCGTTGCCCCGGCAGCCTTGGAGGGCGGCATGTCAATACGGGGAGACTTGTCCTCAGACTACTATGAGCCCAGCCGAAAACCCAACAAAAAGGCGACAGAGAGCCAGGAGGAAATGAGGGGTTTTCTGTCGGTTGGCGACAGCTATTCAGGCGGTTGGTTTCAAGGAGCGGACAGAGAGACCTCACGAATCCCTCCTCATCACTCTGACCTCCACGGCTCGTCTGTCAGCTGCGGCCACCGATGAAACACACGACAAGGGCGTCTTTGTAAGCCCTCCCGTATCTTCGCAATCTGCTGCGCCTGGCGTCGCTCCGTCAATGAGAATCGCAGCTCGAAGCGCACGGGGAGCGAGTTGCGCCGTCGAAGGAAGGTCTCTGTCACCGGGAGCGTCTCGACGTCATAACTCTGCCAGCTACCCTATCCGGCCAGCTGAGGGAAATGGCGCCGCGGTAGTAGTGACAGTCGAATAAACGGGGCAAGGAGAGGAATGGAGTGATGGTTGATCGCGGTGTAGGTAGAAAGGGATAAGGTAAGGTAGTAAGCAGGAGAAGAAGAGTGAAGAAGAAAGAGGAAGAAGAAGAAGGAGAAAAGCGAGGCTGTGAATGTCCACCTCAGCGCAGGTCGCATGTCATGAAAGTGAGCAAAGAAGTGAAAGCTGCCAGTGAGCGAAAGGGGCGCCTTGCAGGAACGAACCGGCTCCAAGCGTCTGGTTGGCTGCCGAGCTCCAGCGACTAGCAGGGGCTGCACGAATCAGAATAAAAGAAGTGGGAAAATACCGAGAAAAACAACAGGTCCAGAGAGAGCAGCCGCCCAGCCGAAACAAGGACAACAGACAACCAAAATAGACGGCAGATCATACGTAGCCATTTGATCCAAAACCAACCCCCATGCCGCATTTTTCTGGCTGTCCGGGCGACGGATGGAGATGCTGCTGGCCGGCTCCAGTTTTCCCTTCCCGTTTTTACCCTTTTCAGCCGCCGCTCAGGCAAACCAAGATCCAGGCCCTGGTCAGATATGCGAGAGGGAGAGACAGCCGAGGATTAGCCAGCAGCTTAGTACATAGAGACGCAAGGAACGTGCTAGCTGGGAGTGGGAGCACGTGATGTCAAATAGCGTCGAAAACTCCAAAGGTGGGCTTTGGCGATGCCTCTGAAGACGGTTGGATTGGATTGGAGATTGGATGAGCTCTGCATAAGACGCTTGTACCTGCTGTTGTTGGTCACTCACAGCCTCCACGCAAAGGGAGGCGCCCGTCACGATGATTCAACTAAAGGTTCGCACTCCATTGATGACCGCATCCCCTCTCTGCCTCTGTCTAACCCGCTCCTCTCTCTCTCCAGACGATGCTCAACTGCATCGACAACTCCGGCGCCGCCCTCGTCGAATGCGCCCTCGTCGTCGGCCAAAAGCGTCACGCCAGAATAGGTGACCGCATCGTCGTCGTCGTCCAAGAACAGCGCGGCTCCTCCTCCGGCGGCATGGCCGGCATCTCCGCCGCCTCAAAGGTCAAGCGCGGCGACATCCGCCACGCCGTCGTCGTCCGCACCCGCTACCCGACCCAGCGCCGCGACGGCACCGTCGTCCGCTTCGACGACAACGCCTGCGTCCTGCTCAACAAGTCGGGCGACCCCGTCGGCACGCGCATCAACGGCGTCGTGGGCGCCGAGCTGAAGCGCAAGAAGTGGAGCAAGATCTTGTCCATGGCGCCGATGCAGGCGTAAAGGATGAGCAGGGAGGAAGAAGATGGGGACGGGAAGATGATGGAGGAGGGTAGAATGAGCGGAGGAGAGAAGAGGATGGAGACAGAGCCAGGGAAATGGGCTTGGACACATGTCAAGAGGCAACAAAGCATAGGCATTGTCCCTTGTACGAGGCGGGATCATGTACGATTACGAAACAACTCTCTGGCGGCATATACTCTACACGGCGTTTACGAGACGAGACATTCACAACAAGAGAAACATCACGGATACATTGCACTGCAAACTTGGTGTGCACAATTTAAACGTTGATGACCAAAGTATACGAGCTATCGAAAGAGCGAGCGGCCACAACATGTGCGCTTTTTATAAAGAGGACTGAAAGAGTCCCGTGAAACAGACCTGTGAATGGCATGCTGGCATGGCGTGATACCACACCAGCCTGACCAAACCGTAAACGCATCCCCTCAACGCCATTGACCTCGTTTATCAGTCGTCTATGCCGTGTGCAATCCTGGTACTTTGTAGACCCTGAAAATGACAATTTTCCGTACAGCTTTCCCCTCCTGACGCCGACCATTATTAGGGTAGTAAAACACCAAACGAACAATCAAGAAGAAACAATCAAGAATAAGAAAACAATCAAGAATAAAAAAACACCACATCGCCAGCCGAATCTCTTGATGCGCCTTCCCTTTCCTCTCTTTCAACTTCTTCTCGTTCTCTTTCCTCTCTTTTCCTTTCCTCTCGCTCCCTTTTCCTTTGCCTCTTCATCTCTCTTTGCCTTTCTTCCTTTTCCGCTTCTTTTTCACGATATATTCTCGTCTCTTCGTAGCCCTCGAGCGAAGTCCGTAGGCGTCTCTAATCGAAAATGTGACCACAGTCGCAGCAGACGTAGAACAGTTTCTGACCGCCAGCCATGTTAACAAACAATCCAGGGCAGGGGGGTGGGGAGGGCGCCGGCGGGCGCAGGCGCTCACCATGCCAGTATCAGCACTGCGTTCTTGTGACTGAAAGAAGACGGCTTCTTGATGACCGCATTTCGGGCATGTCTTGTTGGATCGTGGGAGCTATCGTCGGGGAAAGCAAGACAATGAGCACTCAGTCAGCCAGCCAGTCCTATTGGGATATGATGTAGAAAGCAAAATAGATGCAATCCAAAAGACCTGGGTTGCCAATCAAAAGGGTATCTGATGGGCACAAGGCGCGACAAAACACCAGAGTCAAACAATGTCCGTTGGATCCATGTGCTGTATAATGATACAGGCGAAAGACTCCTTGCTCCCGCAGAGGTCGTCGTAGGAGGACGCGGGCAGCCGGAGGGGGCGAAGTGCATTTACGCATCGTTGCATCCGTTGGGTTCTTCTTCGCACAAACCCTGGCTGCCGAGGCTGGTTCGGGGGGACTCGTGCTCCTCCTCCTCGTCGCTCAATTCGACGTCGTCCTCGACCATGTCCTCGCTGCTGTGGCCGGACGAGAGCAGGTCTCCCTGAAACAGGCTCAAGGTCCAGAGAGGGTCGTCGAAGCCTTCGTCATCGGGATCGCGGATGAGAGGGTCGCCGCAGGTGCCGCAGTAGACGACACCGCCGCAGGGAAGGCAGATGACGGGAGTGGGAGCATCACTAACCGTGGGATCAGAGGCGACATCCTGAGTGACACCGGCCGTCTCGCCAGACGAGCTGTTGAGCACGTTGCGGAAGACGCAGGTCGACTGCGCATCCTCGGTGTACTGGCAGGTGCGGCAGGTGAACTGCAGCTTGCGCAGCTCTTCGTCCTCCTTGGGATACAGCATGTTGGAGCATTCGGAGCAGAAGCGGAATGTGATCTGCTCGTGCTTTGGGGCGCCGCCGTCGTCGGTCGTGGTGGACTGAGGGGTCGCCATCTGAGCGGTTTGCGGTTGCGCGTCCGAGGATCCAAGGCGCTCCAAGAAGGGAGTATGAAATGTTTGCTTCTTCTCAGAAAGGAGAAAAAGCGAAGACGCGCGATGGTGCTTTGTAATGGGAATGGAAGTCGACAGCAATCGACGGCGAAGAGAAAAAGACGGTTGGTTGGGTCTGGGCTAGGCAGATGCAGCCTTGCGGGCTAGCGGCTCAGGCCCCGGTATCGAGATGTTGCAGTGGGGGGAGGATCCCCTGTGAGCGCTCGGCAGTAGCGGCTGGCGGCACTTTGTAGCGCGTGCTGGCAGTGATTGATTGATTCGTGCTGGGCTGACTGGGGGCGGGTTTGCTGGAGGCGACACCACGGCAAGATGCGGTGGTGAGAGATCAGGTTTGATGGTTGTTGGTTGATGCCGTACAATGTGAAGAGTTGACACGATGACAGGCTGGTAAGAAAAAAGCAAGAAATGCTGAGCGAAGCTGATGCCTAGCTATGCTCGTGCTTGGGGATAGTTGCTTTTTCCTTGGCTGGACCCGGGAGTCAGAGTGTGCCAGTCTGTCCGCGTGTGGTATGAAGGTATGAAGGTGGGAAGGATGATCAAGTCGAGAGTCTGCCGGGCAAGGGAACAGGTGCCTCTTTAAATGGCCTACCTATTACTGTAGCTCCTGCTTCTTGACAGCTGATCCGAGATGTCCAGTCCGTATCAAGTCTGGTGTTATCTTGATTTTGGCTCTAGGGCTGTACCTGGCGATCCAGCTTTAAATGTTAAGCTTGAAACTTACTTTGAGTCCGATGGCGCCTCCTTTGGTGGTGATGTTTCGAAGCGTACAAGTAGTGCTCGTCCCAACAAATAAATACAGCGTCTAGTCTTGACATGGCAAAGGCTCGAGGTTCAATCAAGGAAAATGCTTTCAGAGCATCAAATACTAGCACACCTACTACTGAGAAAGTTTGGGGCTTCTAGCTGCTAGATAGATAGTGGTGGCACTGCCGGCAGAGCAGCAAGACGATTCGCAGACGGACCGTGAGGCACGTTTATAAAACGCCTCCTCTAGAGCATCGCGTGTATGGCCAAGCATTGAACCTTATCATATAATACCTAGCCCAAATAAGCCCAAGACCAGCTTCAGGATGCGCCACATAAGGAGCTTTGTTCCGTAATTCTCGGCCTTCCAGTCACGATGCTCATGTCCTCTGCGGCGCTTCTCTCGCGAATCTCCTTACCCTGAACGCACGCCATGATTGCGCTCCATCACAGCTCTAGGCATCAATCATGGGGTGCAAATAGCCTGAGAAACGTGTGGACGTACTTTGTAGTATGCTAGGCACTTTCTTTCTAGAGCGTATGAGTACGTGTCCCATCAAATATGTGCTCAAGTTATCACAGGCATCTTGTTGGTATGATCAGAGATCCGCTATAGATCCGTATCGGCTGCATTCGTGAGATGGCGCTTCCTCCTCGCCTAGAAGACTTCAGCCTTTTGGTCAACAGTTGATGCTGAGATTACAAACAGGATCAAGTCAATGGATCAATAGTGGCAATGCGACGTGAATGTCTGAATGGTTGGTACAGCATTTGAACCTAATGTGTCCGCTTGGGACCTACCTTAGCTGTCTTGAGCAAGACATGAAATTACAATGTACTTCACGTTCCTGCAGTGACAATCTGCGAGCCTCGCCAGCACTTACGGCCAAGCCAGCTAAACTACCTACCTATGCAGGCCTTATGAGCCTGTCCGTCTGTATGACTGTCCATCATCCATCAGCGGGCAGCTTTGTCAGACCCAAATGCTGCCTGTGTGCTTGGCCCGTGGCTCGGCTGCGGTCACCGATTGCAGACTGCGAGCCCTGCTGGAGCCGAGTCGCTGTGCTCACGAGAGGAGATACTTTGGGATCTGAGGTGTCCCGTGACTGTCATGACTCGAAAGCGTCAATACGGGCCCTGTATGGTGAGGCAACGAGCAATTGCTTACTGCAGTCGATAACTCGAAGACGTGAGAAAATCAAATGATGCGGAACAGCGGATGCCCTCCAGATGGCTTTACGGCCTCATCGTGAATCTCAGCTCCATCTACACAACGGATCACACATAACATCACACATAATATCACAGTGACTTGCCCCTAAATCTCCTCCTGCGCAAGCCTCGATCGCCATTCCCATCGTGACCCCCCTCCGGTCCCATCCCGTGATCCCCCAGAAGCCCCTAGAAGCGGTCCCAAGTCAAAAACCACTCCCGCCTGGCCGTGATTCAAATCCCCCCAGCCCGCTAAAAAAGGCGCCAACCACGGCCTAGCGCCACTTTTCCAGGCCCTTTTCAACGTCATCAGGGTCACACTGCTCTTCTGGTTACATTGATCAAGGACATCAAATGGGAATTGCTCGTGGCCGTGTCGCAGTTCAAGGCACAGACGGCAAACACGTAATGAATCTGCCTTGTTTTGGTTGATTAGTTTATTAGAATAGCTGATTCCTTCAATACCTTGCTACATACTGTAGTAATCACAGTAATAAGGTAGATGTACAGGGACATGACATAGCATCACTGCCTGCGAAACCGCCCGCGCTTCTTCACTGCTCCGGTCGTCAAAGAAGCTGGTGTCGTCTCTTTTAGGCTCGCTCCCCCGCACACTTTCATCATCTATCCTATTGGCTCCGCGCCATTGAAAAAGCTCCATCAACCCGTCCTCTGTTGTTGTTCCAACTCCACCTCGAAACGACTCTCTCTCTCCCATCACGGACGACATACTTTCATACATACACCACAACTACAAAACTCAATCGCTAGAAACAAAGCGACAGAACCAGACGCAATGGTGCGTGCTCTTCTCCCCCCAAACAGTCTCATCCACAGCCATCTCCCATCCAGTCATGCCTCTATACTTCCCCAAAATCACCATCTACATACAGCAGTTCCCCCGGCAGCTAACACAATCTCGCACTTTCACTCTCCAGGCTGAAACCGGTCTCCCCCCCGGCTGGGAGGTTCGCCACTCCAACTCCAAGAACCTCCCCTACTACTTCAACTCCGTCGACCGCACCTCGCGCTGGGAACCCCCCGCCGGCACCGACAGCGACAAGCTCAAGCTCTACATGGCCGCCCACCACAGCGCCAGCTCCAGGCCCGGCGCCGTGCCGGGCGTCCCCGAGGGCAAGATCCGCGCCGCACACCTGCTGGTCAAGCATCGCGAGAGCCGTCGGCCGAGCAGTTGGCGTGAGGTACGATGACTGCTTCCCTCCGAAAGCCCCTTCCTCCTCCCATCGAGATATCCCCAAGGAAGACAGAGCAAAAAGATGGGGGGAAGGATCCAAAAAAGGGCGAAACACACAGAAACAGCGAAAGAATGGAGAAAGAATGCTGACTGACGAATTTCGGAATGAAAATAGGCCGAAATCACACGCACCAAGGAAGAAGCCATGAAAATCATCAAGGAGCACGAAAAGACGATCCGCTCCGGCGCCGCCTCCCTCGGCGACCTCGCGCCCACCGAGTCCGACTGCTCGTCGGCCCGCAAGCGCGGCGACCTGGGCTACTTTGGGCGCGGCGAGATGCAAAAGGAGTTTGAGGACGTGGCGTTTACGCTCAAGGTCGGCGAGCTGAGCGACGTCGTCTCGACGGCGAGTGGGCTGCACTTGATTGAGAGGTGAGCATTTCCTTTTGCTTGGATGTTTTGCTTGGTGGTGTTTTGCTGACGGCTGGGGTGAATAGGTTGGAGTAGGTTTGGTTACTGTGGTTGGATGGATGTCGTGCGAGCGGCGAGGTGTACTGTATTATACCAGGATTTAAGAACAAGCAGGAAAGCAGAAAGAGATAATGAAAACTCGACAAGTCATGATTTTCAATCCTTGTCCCCAAACAGCTCACCGAGAGCAACAAGGCAGCTTCAAACAGCGTGGCCAGCAGAATCACATAGGCGCTACATCCTTTCCGCATGGAGTGAGACAAACCAAAGACATTCACCTCATGCAAGACACCCCTGACAATGCACCGCAGCTGGAATGACCTCTATGTTACAGCTGAGCTACCTGCTGCAACCATCTTGCGTCAAGCAAATACTCCCCGCATTCCTCAACTTGCCTGACACCCCATACATCCAGCTGAAAATCTCATCGTCATCCACTCCATATCCACAGTCTGTTCCATTTTCTCCCATCTGTCTATCGTACATTCTTTTTCGTGTAAAGCGTAAATCGCAATGACCATCAACCGCCCCGTAACGTAACGCAGGTACATGCTCAGAAATGCAGACTATGCCAAACATCTAGAAAATCAGATCGCCTCCCACAGTTCTCTGACAATAGTCCTTTCCCGCGTCTATGCCCACCCGTCCACCCACCATCCTCTCCTAAAAGCGCCAGAGTGAAATGGTATCCTGAACAAAGTCGTAGCAATTCGTCAAAAGCAGGAAATAAACGAGTGTCAGTGGTTGCTCCCCAATCGTCATCGACTTGCTAGGCTGATGAGCGTCCCCTTGAACGGCTCCACTGTCGTAAACACCACCGTCATGACTCCAAAGACCACCATGGAGAGCGCTGCGTAGGGCGCTGCCCGGCTTCGCGTTTCGTAGAGGTATGAGACGCCCATCGCGGCGCCGTTGATGCCGATGGCGATGCCCGCGGCGACGGTGACGGGGCTGTCAGTGGTGGAGGTGCTTTGGTGCCATGAGATGGGCATGGAGGTGTTAGTGCTAGACGAGCTGGAGTGGCTGTTGCTACTTGAAGGTGCTTCGATGAACATAGATGCGTTTGTTGTTACCGTCTGCTGACTTTCTGCAATGCCTGTCTCATCGTCCCTGTCGTCCTCGTTGTCGCCCTTGCTCACACCCAGTTTGTCCAGGATAAAGGGGTACACAAGCTGTCCCAGTATGCCGTTACTCACCACGAGCATCGCGTTCACGGGGCTGTTTCCCCCAATGGCCTCCGTGGCGGGCTTCGCTAGGGCAAGAGTTGTGCTGCGGGCGGCGAAGCTGAGCGCCTCGGTAATGTGCAAGCCCATGGCGCGGCTGGCGAGCACTGAAAGAAAGACATTTGCCGCGGCGGCTGCGGTGCAGAGAAGGATGGCGAACAGGCCGGTCAGGCTGAAGATTTGGCGGCGGCATTCTGATAGCTTGAACCCCCATACGAGGATGCCGCATTCGAGTATGGAGAGGGCAGCATCACCAGCGCCAAACCAACTGGTGGGGTTCGAGGGTACTTGATTGCCGCTGACGGCAGCCGTCCAGAGTGCGTAGAGAGGTGTGCCTCCGCTGAACCTTTGCAGCGTCCTGGCGAGTCCACCAGGCCCTAGAACAGAAGCCTTGGCTCGTGTGTATCCCGTCATGAGCAGCGTGGTTAGTAGGACCGGATTCATCAACGTTGCTAGACCTCGCTTCAGGGGGGCTGAAAAGGTGCATATCTGAGAGTGCTTGAAGGCCCTCTGGGCTCGGACCGAGGATATCCACATGAACCACAGGGTGAAGCCATCGAAAAGACGCTCCTCGTGCATGGTGATGGTAAGGGGTATACCGACGGTGAATATGAGCGCTAGCGATAGCAGAATCGGAAAGTGTCGCGAGAAGAAGCTCCATGTTGAAGACTCGTCGACGTAGGTGCAAGAAGTTTCAGCCTGTTCGCTGGTATTTGAAAGTCCCTGGACTGGGGCGGTGCTTTCGAGTTGCTTTTCAGTGTCCAAAATCCTGGAAGTCGCAAGCAAGAGGCCATCCTGACTGCCTGTCGCTTGTTGTGCTTGAGCATCGTCCTCAAATTCGGCCGAACTAGAGCCATCATCAGACGACGAGGGCGCAATGCCCTTCTCCGAGCTGACGGAGCCTTGCTTTGGGGGCGACTGCGAGGTTAGTTTCGTGACTCCACCTATAGTCGCCACGGAGAGGAGGAATACTGCCACCCAAGAGACAATATTGGTCGCAACTGGAGTAGAAGGAGAAGTAGTTAGCATCTGATACCGTTCGTCCACTCATTGTCAAGGCTCATCCATCACCCCAGCTCTGGATCTACTTACTGAATGAGCCAATTACCCGCCCAATCTCCCCGCCGTTGAGCATCTCATCCTGGTCTAGCATGATCATGGGGATGGCGAAGCCCGCCCCGAGGTGAGCATTGATGAAGTCGACCTGTATACAGCCCCCGTGAATCAGCATGGGCAAACATCAACAGCCAAACCGGGGCAAACAGCACAGCCCATAGGGGGCCATCACCAATTGGGCGTCACGAACCCTTGCTTTGAGCCACCTCCGGTAGAAGTCGTCCATCCTCCTCTTCCACACCACCCAGCAGGCGGTGCTCAGGGCAAAAACCAGCGCCATGCCGACAATGGTCGAGAAGAACTCGAGTCTCGCGGTGGCCAGCGTCCTGCTCAGGCCCCAGATCAGCAGCTCGCTGGCCAGGCAGACGATGGCAGCCAGCAGGTATCCCGCGCCCTCAGCAACGGCCGTCTCCCAGCGGAGTTTCCAGATGCCGGCGTCGGAGGCGGCCATTTGAGGTGCTGGATTCGGGGAGCTCTGGCTGTGGCTGTGACTGTGCTGCTCTCGGCGTGTGAGAGGATGCGAGACGGCGGCACCACGAGATTCCGAGGGTGCGGATCAGCGTTCATGTGCTCAAGCTTCCTTTTTCCTATTTTGACCTTCTTGTGGCCGAGTCCGGAGAGAAGTTGATCAGCCGTTTCGCCCTGACTTGGCTCTCACTTTGTTTTTGTTTCAGCGGCCAGCTGTCAGGGTGGGCAGCTCGACTCTCGCCAGCTGATGGCAGGCGGTCAAGACGGGGCGACTTCCGAGTTCAGCTCAAAGTGTCTTTGGTTGGCATTTGATACAAGGATACATTGTGCTACAGGACGTCCATGGCCGGCGACGACGCAATGGTGAATGGAAGCCGTCGCGGTCTGGTTAAGGTGAGGAAGAGAGTCTGGGTGACGTATAGAAGGTACAAGGAGGCCAGGTACCGGTGCATCGCCTGGGTCACAGCATCACCGTGGCGGCACATGGCCAGCGAGAATGTTTGGAGGACCTGGCCTTGAACCTGTACCTGGACCTTGGCTTGCCCTTGTCACGCAGCTCCGCGCGGCGTCAAGTCAGTCACGGCTCCGACTGAGGCCGGATGCTGGGGCCGGTGCTCGAGGGTCCGTCGTTATTGCAGCTGCGTCCAGTCGTCGGCCGCCGGCCCTGATTCCGCCAGGGTTGCTGCGTGGAGAGAGGCGTCAGATGAAAAGACGAGCCGTGGGCAGAGAAGGACGAGACGAGCATGGCTGTCTGCAGTCCGGTACAGTCGACGGCGGGCTTCCATGTAGGCGGCCGAGGGTTGAGACATGTGTGCCACGTCCGGAGACTTGGTCCTCCGCGGATGCGGTCATTGCCTCCGCCCAATGCTTGACCAGCTGCGGGCTTACGGATGGACGCTCTTCTACATCTTTCTATGCGGCGAGGCGGGCGTTCGATGGCTTCTAGCCGGCAAACAGACGTGAGGCTGGTGGCTTCAATTTGTTTGCTTGGAAAGCTCTAGCTATCGAGGGAAGTGCTCGCCCGCCATGCAGAGATGGACGCAGCAAGGAGGGCATAGGGGAGAGGACAGCATGTGCGAGCGGTTAGACCATCTCAACCCTCACGGCGGCACCGTTGCTCCCGTGGAGATGCCGTGGCACATGGCGCAGAAGCACGAGAGCGGCTCGACAGCATCGTCATCTGCTTGCAGGGACATGCACACGCAGTAATTTAGGGATCCCGATCTCAGGGAAAGCTGGCAGGCAAACTCCATTGCCGTCGGGGCGATCCGTCAGCCACGGATCCTGTTTAAGTCGTCGATATAACACCCTTAGTCTGGCGGCTGGAGCATCATGGCTGCAGATATAAGATTGCCCTTCTTTGTAGGTATGGCAGCCAGATACTGTCGTGCCGCACAGAGTCGCGCAGAGCTTCCTGGGCCACAGCATCGGCGCTGCGAGACGTTGGACGAGGACAGGGAAACAAGACGGCGAGCCCAGAGAATGCACAGCTCATGTAATGATGCTGTAGACTGCAGTACCTGCTCTTGTCTGCCGTATTCTTCAAGCTGTGGACGGGTGGTCTCTTTGATCTGCCAGGGGTTTTACGATGGCTGCAGCGCCGGCTCGATGCGGTGAAATGCACTGCCCTTTGTTTGCCATCTTTGTGCGCGTTTGATCGCGGCTACTTGAACAGATGCCCTGACATGGCGATAGATTGGATTGCATCGAGATAGATTAATTAAATGGAAGACACCGATTGTTGATCAATTGCATGCCCGTCGATGCGGCTCGGCACAGACGGCGGGTCTTTGTCATTGGATGCCGAGCAAGCTGTCAGGCGGCACCTACAGGGGATCGCTGTGGCTTTACAGGGGCTGCTGCTTGGGGCTGAAGCTGCACGGGGATTGAGACCCAACAGCTCCAGCTGGTGCAACCCGAGATTCTTCATGTTGGGTACAAACACCACAGCAACTGAGAACACTCTGCAGTCGATTGATCTTGAGGAAATCCAATGCTGCGGCTACTGACTCCAACGACCATCGCCTAGCTATCCGAATACGAATTGGCCTTCTCGCGTCTCTGTCGGTGCAAGGTTACCAGGGGCTGCACCGCTCCTCAGCCTGCTCGACCATCACCTCTGCTCTGTTCTTGCTCCGCGCATCACGCCCTTGTGAGCTGTCCCATCACCCACGAGAGGAGATTTACAGAAGCAAGAAACAATCTACAGCCCCGTGTGCGCCCTGCAGACTCCCGTGAATCATCAGCACAGGGCGGCTCAAGGTGGGCAGCACAGCCAACGTCCAGCTCCCCCTCACCTCGCAGCTCCTGTACGACCGTTCTGGAAACGCCACCTCGCTCAACCACAGGCTCAGAATGGACCTCGAGGCCAGGGTGCATGCCGAGGCCCTCCTGCTCAAGGCCGCCCGCACGTACGGCGTCCAGGTCCGCAGGGACGAGGTGCAACAGCATCTCCGCCACGACCACTACGGCGCCGCATTGGCCGAGTGGGCGAGTTTGCATCTCACGACGGACAACCTCCTGACCCCTGATGAGCTGGCAATGTGAGTACGGAGGCATCCCGCTGCTAGGGAAGGAATCAGTGCTAAGCTGTCCGTCGCTCAGATACTCGGCGCTCGACAGGAATGGCCAGGTCGACATCCTGGCCAACCTCCATGACCTGTCCGAGGTGCAGAGCGTCACCGAGGACGACATCAAGGCCGCCGTCGAGGAGCTGAGGAGGTCTACCGAGAGCATCACCAAACAGAGCGAGACCCTCCGCCAGCAGCAGGATGCCCTCTCGCGCCTCGTCAGGAAGCGCGCTGAAAACGAGGCCCGGCGGCGGGATCTCGACCTGGACAGGCAGAGCAAGTCCGAGTCGGAACGGCAGCGGGTTGCCGCCGAGGTAACGTGGCCGGACTGCTGTACAGATCGGTTTGCAGACTCGCTGACGTGCCCCATCGCCACCTTAGGTAGAAGCAGCTTCGCAGAGCCTTGCCTTTCGCATCTCCGACCTCGAGGAGCAGGGCGCCCAGGCCGGCTCCAATCTCAACGGCACCCTGGGCGAGATATTCCGGGCCGATGACAAGCTGCTCGCCAACCTGCAGAAGCTGGGCTGGGAGCTGGAGCAGCCAGATCCGGACGAGACGTCCAAGCTTGACAGGCTGCGTGAAATCTGCTCGCGGTTAGCTGCCTGCGTCCCCATGTTCATCTCTGTTTGCTAACCGCGGAGCTGCAGTCTTGTCAAGATTACGGTGCAGACCATCCGCGCGAAGCTGGACACCACGTACATGGAAACACTCGTGGAGGCTGAGCGATCAGGCCGGGTCAAGCCTTCAACCGATGACGAGGTCAAGGCACTTGAAGCAGAGGTCGAGTCGCTGCACTCGGAGATTCTCTCCGTCGCCCAGCTGTCTGTGGAACACCAGTACCTTGAGCCGGCGCTCACAACGGTGTCCACAGAAGGGGGCCAGAGTGCAATGCGCACGTCCAATGCCTTGGCATACGTGAGGACCTATGCTAGCTATCTATTGTTTGAATGAAACGCTGACGCAGTCTAGATTGACCAATGCCTCGACTATCTGATGGGTCGCCTCGATCGAATCCAAGGACGCATCGAGACTCATCTGTCACACCAAGCCGCCGCCGCCGCACTCATCACCACCGCCAAGGCCGAGGTGGCCGTTGACATCCCACCGCCCGTGAAGCAGTCGTCGTCGTCATCGTCCGCGCCGGTTTCCATCTTTCCCAGCTCGCCCAGCAAGTCGGGCACCCCGCGGAAGCGCTCCAACACCGTGGGCTCTCAGCACCGCCGCAGGTCGTCTGACATTGCCAACGAGCCGCCGCTCGACACCCTCATGTACAATCTGTCGGTGCCGTCGTCGGTGTCCGAAGAGACGGATGGAAGGGCGCAGATTGTGGCCTTGTCCAAAATTCTCGACGAGCGATGGAACAAGTATGAGGAGATTGCTCGCGGCGCGCAGGAGGCGTTTGAGATGGGCGCTCTGGCGCAGCTCAACGACACTCGGCTTGCTATTCAGCTGGTGAGGGACAGCGTGTTGGCAGAGAGTTCGTTTAACGAGCCGAATCTGGTCGACCCGGAGATCTCAGGCTCCATCACCGTGTTGGCGGCAGAGGTGGAGGGCGCAAAAGACAGGCTGGCGCTTGTCGAGGGCCAACGGAGGGACTGGAGAAGTGAGAAGAGGGACGAGTTTGTTGCACGATGGCGGTAGGCGTGACGCGTGCTTCGTCATATCGCTCGCACATTCTTGCAGTTGCTATGTTAATGTCTCCATGATACACAGGTCTTCACAATCCCTTCCATGCCAAGTGCGATGAGAGCAACAAACTCCCAATACAACAACAGACTGTGTCCAGACCTCGACAGTCATCCTGCTGCAAGTACTTACAACTCTCGTAAGCGGAGTTTCGTAGATCATCCAATCCTCCGTTTTGCACAAAACGGTGTTAATATCTCCGAACGGCTTATTAGCGCACGATCTGCATTTCAAATTCTTTGATAAGCACCCGCCGGCCCTTGCATCGTGCTGGGATCGGGGGCTGCACAAGGACTTTATATAAACGAGGTTGCATTGAAGAAACACATGGAAATGGGTTAAGGTTGCATACATGACCATGTCTATGAGGTGCATCTCGGGAAAAGTTGCCTTGCATTAGGATACGTGTACTGTGTACCCTTGTAAGAGCATCCGTAATGGGAAGATGCGGACTATCGTGATGATCTTGCAAGTGATTCCAATGATGAGGATGACTGTACATTATCTAATGGATGGATCTGGATTGGATGAGATCTCGGCGAAGATAGTGTTCCGAAGTCCTTTGCCTATCTATTTTGAGATTCACTATATCGTCAGACGGAAGATGTAGTTTCATCAAGTCGAACAATCCGAATATATAACGCCGTGAGCCGTAACAACAACGTCGTCCATCCAAACAACCCAAAGCAACTCAAACACCATCAACACTAACTTCCATCGCTAACTCACCCAACGCCACCAAACCTCAAACTTCAAGCCCCCCCCAATCTCAACCCCTCAACTTTCGCCTTGCAAATTTCTCACAAGCAGCTCTCCCAATTTCCAAAAATGGCACCAACCAAGCCCATCGAAACCATCAACGAAATCTACTCCGCCTACACGCGCCTCCGCCCCGACTCCTCCGCCAAGGACCTCGAGGCCTTTGCGTCCTTCTTCTCCCCCTCCTGCAAGGTCTACCTCCGCTCCATGCGCGAGGCCAAGGAGCCCGCCGTCGACCGCGCCAACATCATCGAGCACCTCCGCGACATCCTCAAGGACCAGTTCCTCGAGGAGCGCGACGTCATCTCCCAGAGCGTCAGCGAGGACGGCAAGCGCGTCTTTGTCGAGATGGAGAACCGGTACAACGTCCATGGTCAGGTCCTGGATCGGTTCCCCGAGACGCTGGTTGCCACCTTTGATGAGGAGGGGCTTGTCAGCAGCTTCAAGCTGTACAGCTGCCGAAGCCATTTTGTCATGATGATTCAGAAGGCGACGGGGGAGGGTCCTTACAGCGAAGAGTTTTTGAAGTAAGTTGATGCCAATCGATGAAGACGGAAAATGCCACAGAGTTGCAGTACTGACTACAAGTTAGGAGTGAGCATTAAGCATCTTTGCAGTCAGCTCCTTTCTCTCGGCTCTTATTTAGCATATAGATTCACCATGAAAAGGTTGAGCAGGAGTCATAGCCGGTGTCTATTAAGCCTATCGTACAATAAAAATATAGATAAAAGCTATCATTTTGTCTCAACCCCAGTCCACCACTTTGTAAAGCCACCCAACTTCATCAATTGCTTAAGCACGGAAGCTTCGAGCAACACGAGGGGCCGGAACGCTTCGCTTCTTGGCAGAGAAGCCGCAGCCAGTCTTTCCGTTCTGGAACTGGGCACCAACACCAGAGCAGACAGCTCCGCCGTTGAGAGCGGCGCAGCAGCCGGAAGCGCAGTCGGCGTCGCTGAGGCAGATTCCGGTGATGAACTGCTGGCCCGCACCGTTTCCGAGGTTCTTGACGCCAGCTGGGTCACCAACAGCGGTGTTGAAGCCGGCGGGAGCGCTGACGGCGGCGTTGTTGCTGCCCTGCGCAGGAGCCGCAGCAGGAGTCGCAGCCGGAGCCGGAGCGGCAGCGGCAGCGCCAGATGGAGAGGAAGTGCTGGGGAAGCCGCAGCCAGTCTTGCCGTTCTGGAACTGGGCCCCGACGCCGGAGCAGACGGCACCGCCGTTGAGGCCGGCACAGCAGCCGGAGGCACAGTCGGCGTCGCTCAGGCAGACTCCGGTGATGAACTGTTGGCCCGCACCGTTGCCGAGGTTCTTGGCGCCGGCCGGGTCACCGACGGCGGTGTTGAAGCCAGCGGGAACGTTGGCCGAGGTTCCGCTGGTACTGCCGGTGTTGGCGTTGTTGCTCGCGCTGGGGGTGGTCTGGGCAGGAGGAGCACCGCCGTCACCGAAGCCGCAGCCAGACTTTCCGGCCTGGAACTGAGCACCGATACCCTTTGGATCTACGTGTCAGCCCGAGAGACAGAGACTGTAGTCGGTAGTGATAAAGAAACTTACAGAGCAGACACCGCCACCGCTGATGAAGGCGCAGCAGGTCGAAGCACAGTCCTTGCTAGAGAGACACTGGCCACCGATCTGGAGTCGTGGTTAGTTATTCGACGAGTTTGAACACGATGGATCGGGTGAAGAGATGACGTACAAACTGGCCTCCGTTGCCATTTCCGACGTTCTTGGCTCCAGCCGGGTCGCCGAGGGCGTAGACGGAGAGGGAGCCTAAACAGAGCTGTTAGACAATCCTTTGCAGGGGTGGTGAAGAAGATGTGGTTCGGACTTACAAGCAAGAATAGCGGCAACAGACAGACGAACCATGTTGGCGGTGTTGTGGTGGTTGTTCCTATTTGTTTATTGAAAAAGAGAGTGGATCGTGATGAAGAAGAAGAGACAAGTGTTAATGACAGTTGTTTTGAGAAAGAGTAGATTCAAGCGACACCAGGTCTTTGATTCTGCAGAGAACGAAAGTAAACGAGAAGGAAAGTGGCGCCAGGCCTTGAGAAGGATTGGAAGGAAAGATGGGTTTGTTGGTGGTGATGGAGAAGGGAGAAGGGACTGACTATAGGGCGGGATCGCAACTCTACTTATACGCAGCGGAAGGAGAGGGTTTCATGCTTCATGTTGTCTATGCTGTTTCTTGAAACTACCTTACTACCTCAATTCGCTCCGTCTCAACTGCTCTCCCCGACCGAGTGCCGGGCGAAGGAGAAGCCACGACGGAGGCGGAGAGATTCATCGCGGCGCTCCAAACAAGGGGCGAGATTCCCGAAACGAGGCGCTGTTTGATACGCATCATCCGGGTCGACTACAAGTATGCGCTTGACGGAGGGACCCGAAAAAAGGTTGTGGGGGAGGAGAAAGAGAGAGAGGACAGGGGTGTGTGGTGTATTCGGGAAGCCTGTTCCCTTTGGTGTCTTTTATGGTGGTGTTTATGTTCTGCGCATATTTCTGCGACGAGGGGGTCCAAGTTCATGCGCTTGAGGTTTTGGGGCGGTCGGGACGGGGGTCGGTTTTGGGGATAGTGGCATTCTTTTTATTTGCATGTGGATGAGGGATGCTTTGAGGTGTAAAGGAAACAAAAGAGAGGTTGGATTAGACGCAGAGTTGTTTCGTTTGGTGAGCGCGGCGAGATTGATTGTTTAGACTGTCTGTAAGTGAGGTAAGGATGGTCTTGATCTGGAGACACGCGATGGCGCTGATGATGGACATGCAAGAGTTATTGAATCAACACTGAAGGTCGAATACCTGAGATGTAGAATTGCCAATCTGGGCCGTGTCAATGCGCAGCCGACGAACCACAGATATCTATCTGATGACAGCAGCCTCAACAGTCGCCCGGCAATGTCGACTCCCGTCCTGCTTCACACTTACATGTGTCTACCACTACTACCATTCCCAACTGTAATCCTGAACCGCTGCCACCACCATTTTCTTCATCATTGTCGAGTCTCCTTCTCTTTTCTGCCAGTCATGTCCCCTCTCAGCGTCGCACCCGCAGCAGCACAGACAGACAGACAGCGGCAGGGCCCAGCTCTGGAAACACCCGCCGGGTTTCAGAGCTGAAATCGCCCCTGTTTGACGATGCCCGTCCAACGGCCGTTTCACCGTCGCGGAGCAGCAACAATGATTGTCCGGCACGGCTCGAGTCAGGGGGGAGGCTTTGTTTAGTCCGAGATCAAATGTCAACATCTCGACGTCGGAGACTTCTAAACGCGCCAGTGCTTCAGGTTTCGGGCTGTCGGGGGGGACTTGGGCTGGTGATGATCTGCTCAGCCTCGGTCTTGGCCCTGGCGTCGATATGCTTGTAAAAGACGATGCGGGCATGTATAATACAAGGCTTATTTCTACCACGTTTACTCAGCCAATTCTAATGCCCAATATGCAGGGAGGCGGTGGTTCGCGATGCTTCCGAGCTGGACCACGCCCCCCCGCATCAATCTGCCTTCTGCATTGGGCGACTTTGCGTTGCTCGATTCGGCGTGTCTTGTGCTCAAATTGACAAGAGCAATACAAGCATTTTACTCAAATGTTTCCTGGTTGGTTTCGGCGCTTGGCGTTCCGGTTCCAGGTGCTGTGCAGATGTCAGCAATGGTTTGCCTGTGGTCACGGACTCACGATGCTTCACTCAAGGGTAGCCTCTCTTTTCTGGATTGTCAACCCAGAGACTGCGCATTTCATGTGCTTACTGAGGTACCCTTTTATCTATACCCTCTTGTCATGATCTGTAAATTATTCACTTGTTCTACTGCTCTTGATTTACTGTACGAGTCAAGGTGTGATATGCATAGAATTTGCATGTATATTGAACAGTCTGTGTCCAAGGGGTATCATAACGTTTGCTACAACTACAGACTCCATAGTCCAAACTATTGCCCTGGGTATCCATCGCCGTATACATCTTATTCTTTCCAAAACCAGACTTCTCTCCCCAGCCTTCAAGTGAACCAAAAAGCACAGACATCGCCGCACTCGACCATCTGCCAACGCTAATCGTATCCAAAGAGAGGCCTCGTATAGATGAGGCTCTCCAAAGCGCCCGTACCAGCAGGCCAAGCTGGGGATGCCTCGAAACCCGCAACCGCCTGGTGGCTTGAAGCCCAGCACTCAGGGCACTGAAGCATCCGCCTGCAGCGCCAGTGCTCGACAACAACCTCCCAAGCTCTCGCCATGGTCGCCGACTTTTCGGGACACGGCTTGCCCTTGTCAGCCCACCAGCTCGGGACTGTCGGCCGGTAGCGAAGACAGTCCCGGCACAAGCTGGTCGTTGGCGACACCCTTCGTCCCGGCCCAAGGGGTGGGATGCGGAGGAGGAAGTCAATCATTGTCCTCCGCGAGCGATGGGCGGGGTCATCGAAACGGGTTGCCGTCTCGAAGTGCCGAAGGGACGTCCGGTTGGACGCGGGCAGGGTTGGTCGGTGCTTGACGGCCAGCGTCGAAGCGAAGAGAAGTGCCTTGCAGGTCAAGGCCAGACAGATGCCGTCCTCGTTTGTCCCGGCGCGGAAGACTTCGACGAGGAGCTCCATGGGGAGCTTCAGGATGCCGGCTTTGGAGTCTGTGGCGCGGCATGGCTCTGTCGACACCTACATTGGAAACTTGTTAATGTCCGTCGTAGACGGGAATGTGTCTCAGGCAAAAGGACTTACCACATTCTGTGGGACGACAAACTCTCTCGGGACGAGCTCGGGGTTTGCCGGCCAAGCTTTAGGCTTGGGCAGGATGCCTCCGAACTCCTGGGACGGAAGAAGCCACTCGATCTGGCCGGGAGTCTGTCGGGCCATGGCGTCTCGTTGCATTTTGTTGTAAAAATTTCCGGTGAGTTATAAGACCGGGTCAACGCAGAATATGTTTGCGTGTGGTGACTTCGAGTGGTCTTATAACGCGGAAACTGAGTGTATGTCTGTGAGACTGAAGGATGGACATGCTGATGGTTTATATAGGCGTCTGTGATCAAGGTTTCCCAACAAATGCTGCTGCGAGGAATCCCACCAGAAAGGTAGAGTTCAAGGCGAAAAGGAGGCGTAAACTTTGAAAACGAGGCTCGGTGCCTTATCGTGACAGCAGGGCACTACTGAGTATAGGGAAATTTTGGTCCGGTCCATCTTTGAACACACGTGGATATACTTGGAAGACATTCTGCCTACGACTACACCTGAGAAGTTTGTGGCTTTAACAATCACACTGTTTACATTTCTGAGCTATATTCGGTTAATTTTGGGGTTCCCTCATGTTGCGTGCCAAGATACGTCAGCGCACTCAGTACCTACGGCGAGAAGATGAGCGGAAACGTTCTGTGGAGTGGACAAACGATCCAGTGTCTTCCCCGTTGCATTTGCAGGACGCTGCTAAGGTCAGCCGGCCAATCTCCTGAATCATAGCGAAGTTTCAAATTTCCAGTCATATGTACCCTATTTTGGATCAAGATACTTCCGCCTGGAGAGACGTGGTAGCTAGAGGTGAGTGCCCTGGCAGAGAAACTGGAGGCGAATGTAAACTGAATTCGTATGACCAAAGGTCTCACTTTAACTTGACAACCCTAAGGTATGAGTAGGGCAATGGCTCAAGATGAGTCGATATGGCCGCGATACTCTGGCAGGATCGCTTTCTATCCAAAGATATATTTATATATATATAATAGATATATATATACATATTTAGAAATAAATAATAATTTTAGAGTTATTAGTGACATAGTGATATGCAGTATGAATGGAGGCGTAAAGAAGTATAGGAAAGCTCTGCCTTGGCTCTCAGCTTTCTAAGCCATTCCGATGGAAAGGGATTTGAGATGCCAGAATCTGAAGGTATATCTATAAGCAGAGTTTATGAACTGCATAAACCCATACTGATTCAATTAGTTCTATTCTAATTCCAAAACATGGCCTCCCAGAGCAGAGAGAACCACTCCTTTATGTGCGGCGTTGCCCTTCTCCAAGCCTCTGCAAGCATATTGGGATACTACTGGATTTCGGACACTTCTTCCACCAATTGATCTCCCAGAATTTCCAAAGAGTATACTAACAAGAGATAGATACATCTTAAGGTAAAGAATTCGCTAAGGAGGGTGACGGCCTCTTTAGGAGAGGAATTATGTTAGCTCGATACTTGTTAGCTAGATAGGGAAATTATCATACCTGAGAAGGACCAGAATATGTGCCGAAGCCAGATCTGTGCCCACCATAGGATGAGTCCCTTTGTGAGGACCGGCCACTCAAGGTAGAATCTGTAGGGTATAGCAACTGGGATCAAGCAAATAATGATTGCTTGCTGAGTCGGTGATCCAAGAGGTATATCGCTCTTGACAAAATCAAGGTACATGACCAGGTGAAGCAGACAGTACCAGGCATAAGAAGCGATGTCTCTGAGAATCTCATCCTCAAAGAGTGATGCTAGCCCGCGGATCCGAGATTCATATCTCCGAGACTCCAAGTTCCACCCCATCCCGGCCCATGGGGCTGTCAAATGTAGAAGGATTTTACGTTGCATGGCCGCCCACATCAGACTGCTGACCATCCAGATAAGGCCAACAGAGCCAGAGCAGACGAGAGCCAGCAGAATCGAAACAGTTTGCTTAAAATCGTCGAGTCCGGCACATTCTGGTAGATCGAGCGTTGAAGCGGTGTCAAATGCGGTGTAATTCATCGCGGAAGACATCTTGACTGACGGCGGTAGCTATGACTCTGGTGTATATGGATTTGTAGAGGGCCCATGAATGAGCAGTGATGATGAGAAAGGGGGGGTGGAGGGACATTATCTGGTTTGAGGGGAGGCGTACTATATATATACAGTCAAAGCAGACACACTTCTACAAAGCCATAAGAATATGATGATTTAGCTTTCTAGCAGAGAGCTAGAGCCAAGGCAAGCTGCGCCGATTACACGCCACATTCTGCGGCTTTTGTCGCTTGAGTCTTCTTCTGTAGCGTTCAAGTTTCTTATTATACACTTTAGGGCGAACAGAGAGCGGCGAAAGAAGTCGGTAAGCGAGAGGAGAGAGACAAGGAATGAAATGCGATTCAAGGGGTTGACAATTCAGATGCGAGGCTTTTGACTCTTTTTCTCGGGTCCATCAGCGAAAATACCGAAAACTGAGCCTGTAAATCATGTATGTTTTCTTCAATACACTTGCATCTAGTGTAGCTCATTCAGTCTAACGTCATGTACTTGAACATCGTCTTCGTGATCGCCTTCCTGTCGCATCACTCTGGCCCACTGGCGGTACAGAGAAGTGAACATCCAATCTTCTGCATGCATATGATCTGATATGCGTATACTATCATTGATGGCTTTGTTAATTCAAGACACTTTCCAAGAACCAGTCTCTCCACACCCTGGGCAGAGTGTCCTTCAGCTTTGGGAACGATAGCTTCCAAGTGGCCGCCAGAATGTTAGGGTGCGGCTGTTCTGGGGCCTCAAGCCTTCGTGCTGAGAGTTGGGCAAAGTCTTCCAGGAATTGGCACATGCTCGAGATTGAGAAAGCCAAGGAAAGGGCGTCTGAAGGCAACAGGCTTTGTCAGTTCCAGAGCAACCATGTAAACAGAGGGGAGTATCATACTTCCCGTCCATGAAACGGTTTCTGCAAGGGTGACTTTTGCCCACCACATGAGAAGAGTCTTCGATACCAGAGGCCACTCGAGGTAGAATCGAAAGGGTAGAAAGAGCGGAACAGAGCTGATGGCTAATCCGGTCAAGAGCGTCTTGGCGGGTACACCGGCGGCATCAAAAAAGCCGATGTACATGCTCACATACAGCAGGATACAGTGGAGGTACTCTGAATCTTCGCGGCCTCTCTCCGATGGACGGTAGTCATGCTCCGAATACCAGATGGTTGGGTCCTCGTATCCACGGGTCACATCGTTCCATCTTCTTCTGGACAATGTTGCCGTCAAATGCACGAGGAGTCTTCGTTGGATGCCCGCCCAGAGTATAATGGTGACCAACACGAGAAACTCCCAAGAGGCGGATTTGACATGACTCAGTAGGCTTTCGATGTCTTGCTTGAGATTATCAAGCAGGTAATTGTTGGAAAGCTCGAGTGGTAAAGAAGCCATTTTGGCAGCGGTAGCTGTGCTTTGTCGTGCGTTGTACGTGCGGAATGCCAGGTTATGAGTGACGAGAAAGAATAATAAAAAATACTTAGAGCATTGGGGGGGGGGGGGGGGGGAAATGTCCTATATATTCTCATGAAGTCAGCCATGCTTCCTAGAGGTGATAAGCGTATGGCAGTTTGGGTTTCTAGCGGAGAGGGTTAGTCAACTTGAGTCGCGCTGATTATACTCTATACTACGGATGTTCGCCTCAAAGCATAAGAGAAGAACGCTGCCCAAGCGGTCTTTAGTGATTAAGCCACATAATGCCAGCCTATATGTGGTATAGAGCGGCCAAAAAAGGTTTGAAGCCAGGAGGAGAGAAGGACGGAACCTGGGCGCCGATTGAGAGACAAGGCTTCCAGACTTACTCTCATCTTCACAAGCAGGAACCCAGACGTTCTTATTCATGCCAATCCATGTATTGCTTGCGGTAAGTACCACTTCTTTGCCTTTCCGACATGAGATTTGGTCTAGTAGATACCCGGCAAGATCCTCCACCTGACAGCCTTCTTGTACTTGTCCCAGTCCTCACCATACTTTTCCGCACAGGCAGCGTCGTCCCTTCTCTCGCGATGTATCAACAGCGAGGCAAAGTACACAACGTAGAAATACGTGTACACCATGCCCCAACCCCTCGCCGCTCCCTGAACCACCTCCCGGCCGTCCAGCATCGTTGCCACGCCTGCTCCGGCGGAAGCAACACTGCCAGCCGGAAGAATCAGGTAGCCCGCCACGCCGGTGGGAAGACTGAAGGGCGAGGCCTGCAGCCAGTCGCCAAAGTAATTGATGTGGCGCGATGCTCCCCACCAGCCGCCGGCGAGAAGACGGGTTCCTCGCTTGGTTTGGATGTAGGGCATGTCTTTGACGCTGGGGTGGTCGGGCTGCGCGCGGAAGATGCGTTTCTGGGAGTTGGAGGCGCGGAAGATGTAGACTCCTATGGCGAATACAGCCGACACGATGCTGATTCCTGTCCAACCCAGTTGAAGGGGGTAGACGGAGAGGTAGCGTGTCTGGGTGGAGTACAGGAAGGGTACCCAGACGATGTCGCCAAAGGTAAGCATGAAGCCTAAGCCATCGGTGATGGTGTCCATCATGCCGAGGACACCAGCTTCGGCATATTGGCCTTCAAGAACGTAGTATGTCTGCACAGCAGTAACAAAGAGGATGCTGTCGGACACGTATCCGTAGTTGCGGTATTGCTTTGCTACAAAGGCGAGATCAAGCAGGATCCAACCAGTCAGGCCGGGCCGCATTTCGAGCCAAACCTTGAGATCAATCTCGCCGAAAAACGGGAGGGTGATGCGAGGGTTCAGTTCGCGACCGATAAAGAAATCGTACATGATGTTGCCCGTGTGGCCTCCTTGGGCGAGCTCCCTCAGTTCGCTGTTGCCTGGCTTGGCGCTGAAGCTTCGTATGTACACAAACACAGAAATAACGTAGGAGAGGATGAGATTGGCCGTGTATAGCTGCAGGTAATTCTTGTCGATGAAGGTCCAGAGGGCAAAGTCAGCGCCGTATAGATACGTTCCGATGGCGCACGCAGCTAGCTGGACGAGGGTAGAAGAGAAGGCTATGAGCTATCAGCAATTGATCTCCTCGATCAATGGTCCTTACTTACCGTTGAGCTTATACTTGAGAGGTCGGCCAGATTCCCTCAGCTTCGTGCCGTACAGCTCCTGTCCAGGGAGCACCCGGTACAGCACCAGGCTGAGCAGATAGTAGCCCGTCAACCAGCCGCTGGCCTCCCAGCTAGCAAACACCCAAATGCCATCCTCAGGCCAGGGTATCTGGCTCTTCAGCTCTGACAGCGAGAGCGAGCGAGGCTCGAGAAGAGCTGGCGCGGGACAGCCGGCGACGTCGTTGCAGGTGAAGTAGAAGAAGTAGAGCAGCACTGGTAGGCCAAAGACAATGGCGGCGGTGCCTGGCCTAGAGGGCGCGTTAGGAGCACGGTTTCTTCCTGTTAAGACGCGCTATTGATGCTGTTGGTGAACTTACGGGCCGCCAAACTCGTACTTGGGCTTGGTGTTTGCCGGGGCCATCTTTCGCGAGAGGCTACCTATGTAGATGCACGGGTCAGGGTGTTCTCAGGCCACTCTGGATGATGATGATGAGACTTTTCAGGTGGTTTCCCCTTCAGAGAGAATCACTTATTGCTCTATCGTCTCTGCCATCATTGTACTAATTTTACGTCCGGTCCGGTGCTGGCGTTCGTTATATGGTGTATATTTACGCGGAGTCCGATTACGAATACGGCGGGGCCGAGAGGCTGCGCCGGCCTCAGCTGATGCGGATGGGCGGCGATCCGGGGAATTTTTAAGCTTCAAATATTGGCACCGAAATTAGTAGACGGGAGCCGGAGAAGAGAGAATTCATGAAGCTCCGGTTGGACAGGTTTCAGGCCGCGGATTCCGCTCCCGGGCGCTTGTGCTTGTGAAACTCCGGAGGAGAATTGGCGGCGTCTCTAATGCATGTCTTAGATTGGGAGTCGACAGGCGGTAGTATACATGTACTCTGTATTCATGTTTCGTACCTAGGTAAGGTAAGGTACTCAGCGTGAAGGTGTGGCTCATGATTGGAGATGTATCTTATCAATCTATATCTCGGCAGCGTCAACTGTCAATGCAATGGACCATGGAGTGAAACCGGTATAACTGAGAGACAAACTTGTTGTTTAGAATCATTTTCTCGCCTGCTTTAACTCCAATGGCTTGGTGGAGCAGTCCGCGATATGCCCGTCTTTTGGTATGTATTTGAGTCTGGAGAAGCACCGCAATCAATACCGGATGTAAGTGATTAAGAGCACGATCCAAAAAGCATCATCTCTTCGTCAAAAAGTTGACGCGCTTCCACTCCATATAAACTGAATAATTTCTACTAGTATACTGCTCATCAATGGCAACCCCACACCATTTCCCCTGATCCCGTTCGACGCAGAAGGACTTACGTATTTGTTCGATGAGACACGCAGAATCATACATGCAATGCATGCTGTCTCGCGTTATCGACAGAGTGTTGTATTTCGTCTGTTCTTTACGGACTCATCCTTCTCTTCAATTCAATCACAAGCGCAGCCATCGCTCTTCTTCTCTTCTTCTCTACAACTCACACCAAAGGCTGCGAGACTGAGATGAAGTGCAACAAGATCCCCACATAATCCTCTCAGTTGCCATCACTTTACTATTTAAAGATCAAGCAGAGCGTGTCAGAGCTGCTCATTCGGTTCAATTGCAGAAGTGAAAATGATGGCTCATACTGTACCCTCATTGACAACGTCCAACAACATGTTTCAACCGGTGCTGAATGTCACCCACATGAGGTGACATGCAGGCATCACGCACCGCTCTGCTTTACAGTACTGCAATCTCGCGCATGCAAGTATCGTTCGACTCAAGACCATTCTGCAGAGCCAACAACGACAGGAAAAAGAGGAATCAAGCGTTCAGCAACCCGGACGGCCAACACAAAGGACCGGAAAGGGCGGGATGCAGATCCAGCAAGTTGCATCCGGCGCGCAATCGTGCATCAGAGTTGCGGTATGATAATTCCAATTCTAGCCTCTCATTTCTCGCCACAGGGGCATCTTTCTTCTCACACTCTCTCTCCATGGGTCTTCATTCGAAGCTCCGCTTGTGGTCTTGCATCTCAATCAACGCCCGTCTGGATGAATAGAACCTCGCACCAGCCGGATAATGTATGCACGCTGCTGATGCTGTGGCCACTGGTGCATTTTGCCACGGGCCTAACAACAGACAAGAGGTTTTCCTGCAAGTGGACATTGATAGGGTCTTTTATACTGGAAAAGTGTCGGTGAGCTCCTGGACGCACACAGACAACACACACACACAGACAAGCGGATCACTTACGCGTAGTGGACCGACTCCATCTCTGCCCATTAGCCGGCGTAGTGGCTTTTCTGGATGGGATTTTGGGACATGCAGGGGGTCGGTTCACGATGGCTACCTCGCGTGGTACTGGAGAGACACATGCAGGTACTTTGGATAGAGGGACGCCCCCTGGACGTTTCTTTGCTGCTGCTAAGAAGCAACTAGTTTCCCACGCGATCATCTTTCTCCTATCTTGCTCGGTACCAGCAGAGGGATTCAAGAAACGTGCTTTTTCACCGCTTCGTCTTTTTTCCTCTAGCGATGGCTGTGCGTTTTTGAGGGGCAAGCCGAGGCCCAGTCATTCTAGAAGAAATGGAATTGCGGAGAAGGCGGATGACGTTTGGTAACTGATATTAGTCAATACGAAGGCATCCAAGAGTGAGATTGGGCGTTGAATGACATTCTGTGATGGATCGATGTCAGGGTGTCGACGTCGAAGTCCGTGAAATTTGATTCAAGTCGACACAAAGTTGTCAAGACGCGATGATCGTTCTTTAACTGCGCACGATGAGACTCGAAAAAACATTGACGACAACCAGAGCTATGATCAGCTAATCTTCTTCTTTCGTTTCGTAGCATGGCAATATGATTGTGGACAGTAGAATCATTTTGCTGGCATAGCACAGTCTACTACTACTTCAAAGACTCGATACCGGGTAGTCCACGATGTCGCCCGGCACTGACACATTCCAAAAACGTAAGGTCTCATTGCCTTGCTGCAAATCATTGTGCAGCATCTCCGGTCGCACCAGATGCAACGCTCGGTACCTAACGTTGGGACCATATTGTCGTGGCTGCCTGATGTAGGACTGATGCTACCTCTCGGCACTTAACTCCACCCCATCTTTTGCATGAAGCCTTGTACAAGTAGGATGATATAGTTGTAGGTATCTTTTAGTACTCAGTATTCAAGGTATCGCTCTATAATATGGTTCCGGCTCATCTGAAGAAAATAAAAACAGAAGGAAATGTCTCGTTGTCAAAAGGCATACATATAGCTTGCACAATCTCTCGAGATGGGAAAAGCTCCGCGAATCTGATGATGCAGAGAACAAAAGTCTCACAAAGAAGAGAAAG